AGGATACGGAGGCTATATGTCTACGGTAATACTCTCTGACCGACTAACAGGATACTCGTGGGACTACTACCTTAAGGACCGTACAACAGAGACGCTCCTCGAGGTATTCGATCTCTTCATGGCCATGATGAAGACGCAATATAATATACAGGTCAAAGTCTTCGAATGTGACCGCGAGGTTGCAACGATTCATCAGCAAGTCGCCACTCACCTTCAATCTCAAGGGGTGGTCCTCGAACCCTCTGCGCCCAATACGCAGGCCCAGAACGGAGGCGCCGAGCGAATCGCAGCAGTTATCAAGGAGAAGGCTAGGACCCTTCGCGAGGCAGGCAAGTTCCCTGAGATGCTGTGGCCCGAAATCGTTGCCGCCGCGACGTATTTATACAACAGGACGCCGTCAGCGGCGCGCGGCTGGAAAACGCCCTTCGAACGGTTCCATAATCAGTTTCGCGGCCCAGATCTCGGGAAGCCTCATCAAGCCCACCTTCGAGCGTACGGCTGCAAAGTGTATGCGCTCACAACAGACGCACAGCTGGGCAGGAATAAGTCGAGAAAGCTTCAACCGAGAGGATGGATAGGCTACCTCATTGGGTACAGTACTAGCAACTCCTACCGCGTGTAGAATCCGCTTACTGCCCGCGTTATCACAACGCGAGACGTTGTGTTTAGGGAAACCGAGTTCTTTAATAGAGATATCAACGAGCTGCGGGATGACCTCAAAGACCTCGACGTGAACGAGCTCAACGCTCTTCTCGCGCGACTAGAGGTCTCGCCCACAGGGATAACATCTCCAGAGTACGCACACACCGCAGACGAAGAAGTCGATGAAGTCCAGTACATTGAAGACGAAGAGGCACAAGAATACACCGCACCGCCGTCGCCTAAGTACGTGGAGTCACGATTCGAACTCAATACACCACCGCGGACGCCACCCACCTCGTTCTTCGCAGGCCTTGAGGAGGCACTCGGAGTGAAGGGGTGGAGGAAGAGACGTGCTTCGATCGCTCCTGAGGCGGTTCATGCACGCGAATCGATCCACGAAGAGTTTCCAATTACCACTCCGCGTACCTCCTGGCAAGCCGCTTTCCTCGGCGGCACCAGAACGGGTAGAAAACGAGTGAAGATGAAGCAAAAGGCGAAGAACGCCGATACCAGCCTGGAAGCGGTAGTATGTTGGAACAACAGACTCGAAGGTCTCACCGTAGCCGGACGTGGTAATGGTATGAACCCTGCCCCTGGGCCCAGGAGGAGTCTTAGAAACCCTGGGTGTGAGCGTGCCTTCGACCTCCGTCAGGGAAGAAACCACGTTGATTCGAGGGTAAAGGAAGACCTTCCCTCTGGGCTAAGCTCCCACAACGGTAGGCCCGTGTCAGGTGACGGGGGGCCCGCGGTTGAGACCGTGGCCTCTAGCGTTCCGGGAGAGGACCGTCCTCTGCCCCAGCGAAAAAGCCAAGCAGGCGTACTACCCCCAGTGCCTCAGAAACATGCCGATCTATACGGCCACCCCTACGAGAGGGGATTCCGAGAAGCGGAAGAGAAGCACCTCGCGAGCCACGATGAGATGGATACATACGTCGTCGTGGACCGTAGAGAAGCCGCCGGGCACCAGATTCTGGGTTGCCGGTGGGTATACGTCTATAAAACGGACGAGAAGGGAGCACTCTAGAAACTTAAGGCAAGGATCGTTGTTCGAGGAGATCAACAGGCTAAAAACGCTTTCAAGGATACATACGCTGCAACCCTCGCTGGACAATCGTTCCGAACCCTTATTGCCACCGCGGCCCAGCAAGATCTTACCTTACTGCAGTACGACGCAGTTAATGCCTTTGTCCACGCTCCGATCGACGAGACAGTATATATGGAGTTTCCACCGGGCCATGAGCAGCAGGGGAAGGTCCTGCGGCTGAAGAAGGCTCTATACGGCCTTCGCAGGTCCCCTCTACTGTGGCAACGGCATCTAGAGAACGGTCTGAAAGCAATGGGGATGGAACGCGTCGCAGGCGAGAATTGCTGCTGGCGGAAGGGACGCGTGCTCTTCTTCTTCTATGTCGACGACTGTGTTCTCGCGTTTCCCCCTGAGTGTAGAAACGCTGCTGAGCGCCTCATTAACGGGCTCAAAGAGAAGTACCACCTGGAAGGCGGAGACCCTCTTCACTGGTTTCTAGGAATCGAGGTCACGCGCGACCGAGCCAAGAAGAAAATCTGGCTATCTCAGGCAGCATACGCACAGAAGATCGCACGGTTGATTGGTCAAGGCACACATAAAGGATCACAGAGGAAGAACACTCGATTTACGACACCTATGACGAACGAGGAGCTACTGCCCGCCGAGGAGCACGCCTCAAAGAGCGAAATAACGGCATACCAACGAAAGATTGGATCGATCCTATACTTGGCGGTGATGACGCGCCCCGATATCGCCTTTGCTGCAAGCCGTCTGGCGAGGTTTAACCAGAATCCCTCTCAGAAGCATCATCGCGCTGCAGATCGAGTATTGCAGTACATCTTGGACACCTGCTTCCTTAGTCTCGAGTACGATGGCAACAACAAGAGTTTCGAAGTCGCATCAGACGCCAGCTTCGCAGATAACTCGCTAGATCGAAAGAGCTCTCAGGCGTACGCACTACGGCTTGCTGGAGGATTGATCGGATGGAGAGCGAACAAACAAGACACAGTCACAACATCAACGACAGAAGCAGAGCTTCTCGCCCTCTCACAAGCAGCACGCGAAGCTATATTCGTTAGCCGTCTGTTGAGTGCTCTTAATACGACGATTCCAAGCGGCGGAATAACGATCCAGTGCGACAACCTCTAGACGATTCGAATAGTAACTGAGGAACTCGTGACTCTAAAGACGAGGCTTCGTCACGTTGATATACACAACCACTGGTTGAGACAGGAGGTTGAGAACGGCACCATCAACGTCGTCCACACACCAACGAAAGACCTTGTTGCGGACGGACTCACGAAGAGCCTCGCAAGGCAACCGTTTGAAGACTTCATAAAACAGCTCAACTTGGTGAAGAAGGAGACGGAACCACTACGCGAAGAGAGGGACCCTCTCGCAGAGACCGCATGGAGCGGAGGGATCTTTGAAGGAGGAGAGGAATAAGGAAGAAGTCGGTTGGCCTGCCACCCCTAAGGGTAGCCTCCGCTGCTGCGTATGAAGCGCGCAGGAGCGCCCTAGGACCGAGGTCTCGAGCCGCGAAGGCTAAAGGTGTGTGTCAAAAAGGGTGGTAGGCCAGGGGCGCTGGAAGCGATGCACACGCAGAGCGCCTAGGATGCCAGGAAGGCGCTAGGAGGAATGTTTGGCCGAGGACCGCGCTAGGTGCGCTTAGTCACAGGGAACACGCCGGAAGAAGGCGCGTAAGGGATACGGACAGGTCTTAGGAAAAGAAGAAGCACAATACACATCACGATTGACCCCTGAATGTGCGCCTACGAATATTCGAACAATGATCCTCCTATCTACGATATCTCTGCCTGTGGCCCTGAAGGCTTTCCCTCGCGCGCCGCCCTGTGCCTCTACATTAGTGGGCCTTACGCGCTTCCAACCCCTTTAGCTACTATACATTCTAACCCTGTCTCAATATAAGAAATAATAAGTTACATCTAGAATAAAAGAACTATTAACTAAAAAAAGAAGGTTATATAAAGATTATATAAGAAGCTATTAATATAACTCTTATTATACTAGTAGCTAATTTTCAAGATATTAGCTTATAATATTAAGAAAGTTATTCTTAAGGAATAAAGACTTATATATAGACTAGGACTTAAGTATTACTTAAGGCTTTTAAATAATTTTTTAGTAATTAACTTATAATTTATCCTAAATAACTTTTAGCTTAGCTTATAGTTTATAATATTACTACATTATTACTTAGTATAAGCTTAATTACCTTACCTTAACCCTTAATCTATTAATATAATCTACTAGTATATAATAAAAGACTTATTATTAGTATTATAGCCTTAAATTCTATTAGTAAAAACCCTACTATTACTAGCTAGCCATACTAGTTACTTTAATAATTTTAAATTTCTTAATGTTATTAAAGAAGTATTATTATAATATAAATTATAATAATATAAAGTAAATAATATTAATAATAAAGAGTAATATTATATAATAATAATATTTAATAGTTTTTAATAATATAACTAAATACTAAAGTATTAATACTTTAAAGTTTATTATAATTGTTTACTATTAGTAATATTAGTAACTATATATAATATAAGTAATTATATTTTAAACTTATAATATTAATTATAAGTAGCTATATAAAATTAAAAGTCTAAATTAAATAAAAAATACTTATATAATTATAAATAATACTTCTTTAAAAGAAGGGGGATTAATATATAGCGCCGCTAGTTATTATAGTTATAAGAATAGATATAAGGTAGACATAGTTGGCTATAGTGGCTGAAGGAGTGGCTGATATGACTTTGGTTACGTGATCTGAACAGGGAGCCAACTGGCTACTTGAGCGCCTAGCGCCCAAGGAAAAGTTTCCTTTCTCTTCCTATGAGAGTTCGCCTAGTTCGACCTGTATACAGCTTGCTAACTTGCACCGCACAAACGAGCCGTAACAACAGTCGGGATAAAACCAGCCAAAACACACTTATCAGTATGCCACAGGCGATAAAATGTAATTTAGCTTTGCATAATATTGAATGTCTTCTTGTCAATTCTTTTATGCCGTTGTGTATAAGAACAGCATACTCCTTTCGGCTGAATATATGTGGGGATTTGATCCCTCGTCGGAAATGCCCGTGATTGCTGGAGAAACTCGAACCGAACTAGTGAGGACCGGCTAACATTCAGCGAGCTGCCAGACTTCCAACCGCCTTTACTTACACCTGGTTACTAAACAAAACTTCACACGATGTATGAGTGTATTAATAGCCAGGGTATCATGCCACATGGATTGTGTTCATTCACATTCTTCTGTATTGATTACGGCCCAATGCCTAGCTTTAACTACTGAACGATGGCTTCTCCAGAAAACGCAGCAACCTTTCTGAATCCAGTGATTCCGGGGTTCAACCCAGATCCAACGGTCTGCGTTGTCCCCGCGACAGACTCCAGCCCGACAACATATTTTTTGTCGACCTCAACATTTGAATACTTCCCCGGCTGCGCAATCTACTCTTCTTTAGATCTTATTAACTGGAAACTTATTGGGCATGCTCTCACACGTCGAAGCCAGATTGAGCTGCGCACCGTCGAGCCTGGTGCCGGAAGTTGGGCAAGCACCCTGCGCTATAGACCGCAGGAGAAGCGGTGGTACTTAGCTAACGGGCTTTTTCAACGGTATCGGCCTGCGAACGATGTAAATCTTTTCCATGTGCCGTGTCATGTGATAATGCTCATTGCGAATCTCACCTAGGAGCGCATCTTTCCACGCGGATTCTACGTGTGGACAGACAACATCTGGGACGATAGTGCCTGGTCAGACCCTGTTTATTTTGATAACCCCGGATTTGACCAAGATGTAAGTTCCCATTTGGGTATTGGCATATGCTTGGTTGCTAATTCAAAGCAAGCTGTTTTGGGACGATGACGGAAAGGTCTATCTGTCCACCACTGTGCGCATGGGGAAGCGAACACCAGGGTTGAAAATGAAAGACTTCGCAATTCATATCTCAGAGATCGACATACATACGGGAAGGACCCTTAGCCCTCCCCAAGTCATTCGAGAATCTCCCCATGGTATTGCTGAAGGCTCGCACATCATTCGAAAAGGCGACTATTACTACTTATTTACCGCCGAGGGTGGTACGGAAGCAGGTCACCAGGAATGGGTTCTCAGAAGTGAAACCGGCCCTTATGGTCCATGGGAGGGACAGGGGAAAGCTCTATGGTACAACGGTTCCGATGAGGAAGTACAGAGGACCGGACATTGCGACGTCTTTGAAGATGATGCCGGTAGATGGTGGGCTGTGATGCTAGGCGTTCGTCCCAGCAAGTCAGCAGACAAGTTCATCGAGCCCCAAATGGGTCGGGAGACATTCCTGGTGCGGGTCGATTGGGTCGATGACTGGCCTGTTTTCAACCTAGGTCGCAACATCACTCTCCAGACGGTAGGCAGGGAACGCATTCAGAAGGCTGCAGTTGCGGATGCGAACGGGTTGAAGTGGAAGGCGGACCTGTCAAGTTCTGCTCTTGAGCTTGGTTGGTATCAGAAGAGTACGTGATGCCCGTCGGCAAATTCAGGAAGGTCGACACTAATCAGACCAGATACTCCACTCAAGCCCTGCTACAGTCTCACAGAACGCCCGGGCTACTTGCGACTGTATGGCAACTGCTACGATCTCAGTAGCCCCGAGTCTCCAGCGATGTTGCTGAGAAAGCAATCATCTTATCGAGATACCTTCACAGCTAGGATGTTCTTCAAGCCTAGCCGAGTGGGCTATGAGTCTGGAATTACAGTTTGGTGGAGCCAATACTCTTATGCCACCATTGGAATCGCCGGTACGCAGAGCGTGGATGGTCAATCGGTCCGCCCAACTGTTGTCATAAGAGAGCCGACAGGGAAGGTCAGCGAGCTCAAGGTATGGACTTGGGAACCAATGTTCCTTGAAAGAACCGCTAACCATTGTTTGTAGGTTTCCTACCCTCTACTGGAATCATCCGGGTCTGCATCGGAAGAAGATTGGGACTTAGACCAACCTGTCCAGCTTGCCATTACAGCTTACCCGACGAGTTACGAAATGCATCTTTCCGTTGGTGGGGTACAGGAAAAAGTCTCATTTGCATCAGAGGCCTTGACAGTATTGCCTCCTGTTGGTGGAGCTTTTTGCGGCGTGATGTTCGGCGTTTATTCGTTCGGTCGGAGCGAACCGGTTTTGGATCCAACTGATTTTACTGATATTGAGATCATGGAAACGAAGGAAGAGTAAACTCAAATGTGAAAGAGAGAGATTGTAGACCAACATGATTTCAGATGGCCACGGATCTCAGTCAAGAGGTACACGAAAGCCCCTCTTTGGCGAGCATCGAGAAGAACCCACTGGCAAACAATTTTGGGATGTATTATTGTGTGTTCTATTTAGGAACGTACTTAATCAATGTCGCTCGGGGCTGTACGATGTATGCCGCCGGTTTATGTCAAAAGAGATGGCGGCAACATGTGGAAAGTTCACGGACATGCTCCACTGTCTCCGGTTTCCACTCTGGCATAGAATTCATCGTTTCGGACGACAGAATGATTATCGAGCCCGTCCCAAGACTGATTCTAGTGTCTGGCAACTGCAGTTGTGAACCTTACGCGACGAAACGCCCACTTAACCGTCACTCAACCCTATGCTTCAAACAGTCGCACTGACTATCTTGCAGCAGAAGTGAACCAAAGGTTATTTGTCTCAATTGTATGGAAGTAAAAAGGGTTAACAGCGTTGCCAGCAGCACACTGCGGGTTGGTATTTGGTAGATAAAAAGGTTCCAGGTTCTCATAAGTGTGGTTGAGTTTTGCCCGTCGCATTCACAGGAGCGACCTCTCATCTTTGCGTCTCAGAGGCGACGCGTTTCCTACGCGATTATTATCACTGGCACGCTACTGGCCTCACAAAACCCAAACTACTACCATGGCGTCTTTCATCAAGTTACAACACTTTGAAACATATCCCGGCGTGTCCCCTGCTCGACTTGTTGGGGAGTTTTCCCGAAGAACAGTCTTATTGACCGGAGGCGGCTCGGGGATCGGGGCCACCATAGCTCGTTCTTTTGCCGAAGCCAACACTGCGAAACTCATACTCATAGGCCGTACAGAATCTACTCTGAAAGAAACCTCTACGGTCCTCCGCACCGAGTTTCCAGGGCTAGATGTCACTTATCATGTCGCCGATATTTCCGCTCCGGAGCAACTAGCCGAGGTTTTCACAGCCATCGGTAGCTCGCCAGATGTCCTAGTCAACAACGCCGGCTATTTACCGGAGCCAGGAAGTTTCGTTGATGCAGACTTAAAGGACTGGTGGCAGGCGTTCCAGATCAACGTATTGGGGACGGCGACCGTGACACAAATGTATCTCAGGCACCGCAGAGCTCAAAGTACCAGTACGCCAGGTGTGATAGTTAACATCAATACCAGGGCAGCGTTCGAGACGCACTTACCTGGCTTGAGTGGCTATGGAGCTAGCAAGGCTGCCATTTTGCGCCTGGCAGAAGCCATCACCGATGACGTTCCAGCATCTGAAGCGCGAGTGATCTCTATCCACCCTGGAGCCGTGAAATCGGCTATGCTCACAAAGTCAAAGCTGAATCGACCATTGACTGATGTGAAGCTTGCGGCGGACTTTGTGGTCTGGACCGCTTCGAGCAAGGCGGCTTTCTTGAATGGACGGTTTGTGTGGGTGAACTGGGACGTAGAGGAATTGGAATCTTGGAAAGATGTGATTATTGACAGGGACCTTCTTAGGACGAGTATCAAGGAAGTTTAGAAATAGTATTTGTTCGATTGAACACTGCGTCCGGTTTCCTGGCTTTGGAGAGATGCAATGACGTAAAAGATCCTTGGAGGTTGATTTTCGTCGTCACGGCATATACGATGCCTTCAATCTCACGGCTATCAATATAGCCCGTGGACTATGGCCTTCGCTTGCATGAAAAAAATTACCAAACGGACAAGCCCATTCCCTTTACTGGCCAGGCAATGACGGGCGGTTTCTAGCGGGTATTGGCGACCGAACGATTGCGAAGACCTGCAGAGGCTACATAGCCAGGCGGGTTGATGTGCAAGGCTTCCATACGTTTGATATTGATCACCTAACAACCTATCGTGTTTGAGTGGCCTGTCTCTTTATTAATTCTCATTGCATGAATTCTGCCATTGGACCACTGTTGGTTGCCGCCCATTGTACTCGGCCAGTCTTCTCCCTCAGCGAGAAATTCGCCATAGAGAGACCGGCTGTCAGGGATTCCATCATCAATGCATTTCGGCGACAGACTAAAAGACGAAGAAACAAGTTACGCACGTGGTTCCAGGCTGGCGGTTTTTAGTCGGCGAGTGGTGACAAAGGAGATGTTGGCTAGGCAACGAAGCTCAAGGGTCCGCTTGTGGTTGCATTCAGTGGGCGGGGAATGACATAAGCAGGACAAGCAAATGACGTGGAGTGATGCTCAGCCCCGGAGGCCTCAGGAACAGCGAGTTGTTGCTGTATGCTCATCCTGTCTGTACATTCTCTTGATCCTCGAAGAGCTAAGAAAAAACATATTCCTGTAAGAACCATCCTCGGACCGCATTTCAGTATCACTGTGTCTCAGCAGCACCTGCCTGAATGAAAAGACAATGTCCCGCTTCTCCCGCTACGATACCGATGACGAACGGCTGCCTGAGGGCATGCAAAGAGTAGGCTACGACGCCGACACGCAGACGTACACATACCGCGACTCGGATGGCAGCTACTGGGAGGGCGCCCCAGGAAACGAATATGGCCATTTAACACAGGTGTCAGGTGGAGGCCATGCCTCCCGGCATGCTCGGCAACCCGTCATCGACCCTGACACTAGAGGACGGCTATGGGAGGAAGAGCGGAAAAATTGGCGACAGGGCTGGCAGCCTCTTCTAAACTTCTTCCTCATAATAGGGTTGTTTCTCATGCTGCTCACCTGGTGGCTCTACCGGACTCCTTCGGAGGAACTGCCGCAGTGCGGTGGGCAGGCGGTGCCTTACAAGATTTCCAAGGGCGATACGTGCTGGGCCATCGCGGAAGAGCATAAAATGAGTGTGGAGGACCTTGTCAAGGCCAACGACGGTCTGAACTGCGACAAGCTGCGACCTGGCAGTTCCATATGTGTGCCTTCAATTATTTAGATACGAGCAGTCGGAAGAGCGAGGCTCGCGACGACGAGATGTTGGTGGACAGCTGGATGGAGAACGCATTGGACCCAGACCACTGCTTTTGTTAGTCGGAATGAAAAAGTCGGTCCTGGCTCCTAGGCTGGTCCTAAGAGTTGCAGTCTGTGAAGAACGGGTAACGTTGACCTGAGTGAGGCATCGCACAATAGTTTGCATGTATATTAGATGGGAAAGTTTCTGGCTTTGCTCTCTATGTTATATTTCTAAAGGACCGGAAGCAATACGCGTAACGTATCCCTTGCCCAGCCCCGTGCCGTTCAATTCGTGCCATAGGTGTCTAAATAGGGAGTGTGGTCCGTTGTATCGAAGGTATGCGTCGACTTATCTGGGATTCTGGAACTCCACATCACATGCAAGGGATTGGCAAAATTGCTGGATTCTGGTCTGTTGGACCATCGTGAGCGGAGCCAGTCCAGGTGCCTGGCATGCCACGGCCGGGAGATGGGCCAAGACTGTGCCTGTGCCGCTCGACCCCATTTGGTGCGGGGGGTTGAAGGGCGGGGTGGAGTTACCTTGCCGGAGGTATCAGTGTATACCCGGACCCACCAGTAAGTACCTGACGGCAAGTATCTTACTCACCTCCAGTCATCGTGTTGCTCGTTTTAGTACTGTCCTGCTCAGCATCCTGCGTATATGAGGTAATTGTTAGTCGTGTGCCTGCCAACGACCATCTCTGTAAAGCCATTGCGACGGACATCGCATGTTGAATTGAAACAACAGATCGTTCAAGGAGATTTGTAGCTCTTGTTATCTTCTCCTCCCATTTTCGCCCAAGCACAATGACTGCGCTCGACCTTCACCACTTCTAGCAGCCCAGCAACAGCCCGCCCCAGGGGACTGCTGCGTACCCGCACCTGGCAGTGGGGACACGGGTATCGGGACCACTGAGGGGCTCGCCTGGGGGTCCTGTGCGCCTTCGTGGTTTAGCGCTGGTTTCCCCGGAATTACAGCGTCTGGGGAAGTGGGTTCAGGCGGGCCCCTGTTGCCAATCGCCCCACAGTCTCCTGTGTCTTGTGTGTCTCTCCTACCGAGAGGCTGCTCACCTTAAGCACCCCACAGACCTCAAGAGTCTGTTATGCAGGCAAATAAAGGCTGTTTTCGGCATGGATACCATGATTTATGAACATGGCATAGCCCTGATGGTTCATGTGAGGTGGCTTCATGCTGCCTACACAACCCCGCGTCCTCCTCTGGGGAAAACACCCCAATAATCAGTCTCGGTTCCTCATCTTTGGATGTTTGGTAAGCTATGTTCACACTCTTTCCCCATCTCTCTCGCCTCGTCAAGGAGGCGTCTGGGTACAAAAATTGAACAGAATCCAAAGAGCATATGGTTTTGAATCGAAAGTCCAGCCCTGGAGCTTCAGATATGACATGTTTTCTGAACCATTGTTGGTGAATACATACTCACTCTACTACTAATAGCCCGACCGGGCCATACTTGCGTCACTGATCTGCCCACCCTTCAGGTTGTAGCGTCGTATCAGGCGGCTGGCTTCCTAGACCACTGCGCAAGATGGCAAACCTGCGGATAAAAAGACGGGTTCCAGGTTGCTTTTTGTCCGTGTGCGCGCAGGTTCCTCTACCTGGTCTCCCTCGTCTTGCCCTCGACTCCCATCCCCTTCCCCCTCCTGTGGTTGGCTGTCCGCGTGATGGTCTGTCTTACCCCGCACGCCCAAGACAGACAGGTGTAGAGGCCTTGCCCCTGAACTTGGGATCCCTTTAAAGAGGACGCCGTCTGCCTTCTCTATAGAACAGACAGTTTTGATGTTGTTTGTTCTTCGCATCCGTCGAATCATCTCACCTTCTTCCCTCAAGACTACTTGCACGCTTCATTCATCACCTACGAGGGAGCACAACCTGAGTTGAGCCAACTGCATCTCGACACTTACACCGATACCAACACCAACCTTTTTAAACGCCACTGCATCACTACCGCATTGCTGCCTTGCTGTCCCCCTGAGCAGTCGTTTTACTCTAGCTACCAAGACACCCCAAAAAGGTATACGATCCTTCGTCCTTCATCGTATACTCATGAGACCTTGTCCATCAACCTCTTGCACTCGCGCTTGTCATCCTGTATATTCAATCCAGCTCGTCATTAACCCTTTTCCGTCTCATACAGATCTTCCACAATGGCCCCCCGTATCTCTGCCGGCAAGTCCACCGAGACTCTCTGCTACGGTGTCGCCACCGTCGGCGCTTTTCTTCCCATCTACCTCATGCTGCCTGGTGCCGAGCAGCGTCTTGCCATGCAGACGACAAAGTGGGCGCCTCGCTGGGAGCGTAACGTCTCCTACTTTACTCCTGCTGCCGAGAGAGGCATCAAGCGCGTAGAACCCCCCGTCTCCCGCATGGTCAAGCGCATTGATGACAGGCTACCCCTTGAGAAGATGGCCAAGGGCATCGACAAGCGCATCAGGAGCGGCATTGACCGCTTCAACAACACCAAGTAGACTGAGCCTGCCTGGCGTGGCACAGGGAAATTTGGTCTCATCACGCATTCAAGTACATGAGCGTAGTTTGCAATGCGGTGGAGAGAGTGACCAAAGAGAGAGGGGAAATGATACCATACATGGCTCTAGAGATATAGAGGATGCATTAGATATCTCACTGAAGACATAGCAACAAACATATTAACAATTGGAAATAAGGACAAATAGTTCAAACCTACTGGGCCCTCACTCACATAATTACCAAGGTTTTTCGCTTGTGTGCCGCGTAATCCGAGAGAATTTGGCGGTTCTTCTGGGCCAACTGCAACTCGCATGCCGCTGTAGGGTGTGGTAGTTTCACTAGTCGATTGTGGGCATGGATGCCTGCATCTCACTGTTACCTCAATCTGCAGATAATCAGGCCATGATTGACGACTTGTATAAGCAGTGTCTCACTTACCCGAGCGGGGTTGCCATCGATCCCCAATTCTTTTTCTTTCGCCTTTCCGTCGTTATCCTCAGTCGTCGTTTCTACAAATGCTGTCGGCAAAGGACAAAAAGCAAAGCAGAGGATACATAGTACTTCGACTTTCAGTGTCCAATAGGGCACCCTCTTGCAACGACCAGGCGGCTACATGAATTGCAATGGGCCTTTGTGGCCTCATCCTCAGCCCGACTGCCTTCATCCTGGTCCGTTGGGACTGGAGTCATCTCCCGACAATTGCTTGCAAGGCCTGCGTATGGAATAAATCGACGACGTCTCGTTCCATGCGCGTCCTGTCTTTTCCCGTGGTCGCGACTTTAAAGACTGTCTCTCCTGCTTACGGTTAACCCCCACCAGTTCAATATATCGATAGAAACGTCGGTGTTCAACGATGAGCCTGGCCGCGTCCGAAGTGACAATGGCCATGAGGATATCCCAGATACACTTTGGTGTTTATCTTCACCCGGACAGATCTCTTCTAACTCAGCATGGCTACTCGGCCCACTCGGCCCCTGAAATAGATCTTGCCATCTGAAGCTTTAGGTCCTTGGATCGTTAGGCTTCTATGCTTCCTCGATCACAGGTCGGTTGGGTAACACCAGTGAACAGGCTTTCAACGGCCTACGGTGGTCGCAGATAGCCACTTGCATTTGGCTAGCCACGCATTTGGGCATGTCGCATTGGTCTAGACGAGCCTGCCATATGTCGGACATCGCCACAGTTATCCTTCTGTTGTCAGCCCACGCACAGGACAAGTCGTATGTTCTTTGAAGCCCACAGGAGACAGCAGTCTGAGGCTCTTCAGTGTTGAGACTTCCCTCCGACTGCTCTTATCCACTGAAGTTAAGTTACCAGCTTGAATCCCTGGTAATAGTGCACACATCGTCGCCATTGATGGTCAAAACGGTAACAGAATGACATATGCCTCGTCGTTGACCCCAGTGGTCTTGACAATGGAAATGACCACTGGTTCTTGTACGCCTGGAGTCCATAGCAACCTATATTTCAGTAAAGCCATACTTTTGCTTTTATGGATGCATGATCAAAGGCTAATGATTGTTGTTGTTTGTTATACCATGTGAAGGTGTGACTCGAAGTGAAGAGCCGGACACGTAAGCCGAGCCTGCCTCGTTCAGTTAGTGAGTAGCTACAGGCAGTCTCAGACCATAAAGTATATAACACTGTGAGGGAGAGTAAAAGTAACCTGCTGTTCGTTCAGTGTTCAGGGCTTTCGATGTTCATGATAAGGGGAAAAAAAACAAGGTAATGCTAATGGTGAGTTATGGTCAGTTGGCGCCAGCTGACAGAACCGTTCTCCATACCCTAGCCACTACTGGCGATAATTTCCAACGCATGAACCATCACGACGCGAACGCGCTCTCGGCCGGGCCAGAGTCACATTTTACGCCCATAGTGTCGATCTGTTGATGGCAACAATTCAATTGACAACCCAACATCCCTGTCAATGCTTCCCGCAAAGGGCAATGTGACTCTTCGATTCTTAATGCGCAAAATCAGCACTCCTCGAACTTAACTCTCGTCAAACGGCCATCGAAGTATAGTCTGCCGATTCTATTTCCCACAGCAGCTAACTCATACCACCGAACATGGCCTCAACGAACCTCCCTCGAGCTCTTACGAGCTCTGCCTGGCGTGTAGTTACCGGTAACCCATTGGCGACCCCGCGCCCCGCGGGGTTTCTGGCGCAACGATGCTATGCGACGCGCGCGAAGACAGCAACCACTTCAACTACTGTTGCGACTGCCGCTGCCCCAAAAGCTGCGACTGTTACCTCTGCAGCCAAGAAGACGGCGACGACGACAACGACCAGAAAGAGCGTCAGCACTGCGGCAACCACAGCGAAAAAGATTACAACCACAACTGCTGCTGCGCCCAAGACGAGCACGGTTGTGAAGGCCACAAAGACAGTAAAGAAAACTGCGTCGGTTGCCCCTGTGGCAAAGACTACGACAACTACATCCGCAGTTGCTTCCAAGAAGACCGTTGCGGTCAAAACACCTGCTGCTGCGAAAACACCTACCGCAAAGCCTGCTTCTGCCGCGGCGATTCCGGTCAAGCGTCCTATACCTACTACGGCCTCAACCAGCTCAAAGGCATCTGCAACTGTTCCAAGCCCTGCGACTCCGCCGCTGCCGTCTAGTCCCAAGTCCCCACAGACAGCTACTGAGACACGCCCTGCCGCTCCGATGTCACCTTCGCCTTCGATCCCCGCGACCAAGGCTGCTCACATGCCGAAACCTAGCAGCAAGGAATACCAAAAAGCATACAATACCGCGGCGAGGAAATGGACTGCGACCATGGTGGCTATGCCCATCTTGCTTGTCACCTCATACTTTCTCTTCGATAGACGTAAGCATCCTATCATTCCTGGACTATCAAGTTTCGAAAACTAACATAACCGAAGTTGCTTTGGGAAACCAGCAAAAAGCAATGCCGGACTTTGAAAACGCCAAGAGGAAGGCTGCAGAGGCGCAAGCCGACACGGCCTAGAACTTAAGCATATTGTAATGATCTTGATGAATACCCACTACCACTTCACCTCTCCAGCGAGATGGCCACACGTCCCTACATTGAAATATCCGATAAAGGTTTGTCATGCCTTGGCCTTCCTACATCCTTGATTGCGGGAAGAGTATCTGTGCCCCCAACAGCCTCCGTTCCCGTTGCAAGTGAGGTTAGCAAAGACGAACCATAAACGTCTCTCGTAGTCTTTAACAATGCTTCGGAGCTTGCGTTTATACAGTGTTTAAGTGATAGCAGTTGTTGGCTGCATATATTGCAGGTATGGGCCACATGCGGGTGCGATCTTCGTGGCGGGCTTGGTGTTGAAGTCGACCATGATCTTGCGTACTTCAAACCAGTTGGTTGGTAATGAACTCAAGCGGAAGATGAGGCAGTCGTGTAATACCACAGCTTAACATTTGGCTCGCAGTCTCGTCTGGCTTTGAGCTCATATTGCACCAATGGTGGACCCCAAGTTGCAATGAGAGCGCAACATTCATCAAAAGTCTCTGCGCGTTTTTCTTGTCTGCAGCTATTGGAAAACTACGCTCCCGCCAAATGCCCATAGTATAGGCACAAGTGCTCTCGTGCCATCGGATTCACGACAGGCGAGCCTTCTCGCTGCTCTCTTTGGAGTGTCCAGCCTCCCCCGACTTTTCGAAATGGAGACAATAACCCTGTTTTTGATGGCGCCACTTTTGATATTTCGCTCTCCGGAGATGGCCAAGGGTGGATCGTCGTCCTTGTCTCCGATGAAGTAAGCCAAGTCGGCCGTTTCTTCGAGTTCGGTTTGAGAATAGCCACTATCGAGCCATGCGAAGCGGTTTCCAGGACATCTCAACCATACTGTTGGTGTGGCATCGGTTAACGACATTCAATATCCATTCAGCCTGCGACTCGATGACGGGGAGTATGAGGTTGTTGCTGATAGGACAAGTAGGGCTGAGCATGAGGAAGTAGATAGGGAGACCGGCCACTGTGATGCCTAGCAGCCCATGTATATTGGAGATTCCCAACCGACGGGGCAGTAACAGGGAAACGCGGCTTGAATGATGTGTCAAACCCAGTGGTACATATGAGGGTATCTATATGGTACTCCTTGCCACTATCGCTAAATACATCCGCGCTCGGTAACCTTGATATGAAGGAGGACACCTTCAAACTTGCCGAGACCGGATATAGCGGGCCATTTCCAATTATCGAGAATGCCACCGTCGTTGATGAAGATGCCACCATGATTGATAATGATACTACCCTTTTCCTTGTCGTTGACAAGGACATCGTAGCCACTGTTCTTCGACTTCCAGTATGCCTCTATGTTCTGGTGCTGAAGCTGGATGTATAGATAAATGAATACTTTCTCACGATGTTCTCAAATTTCTATCGTGCTTCAGCTGCTGAAGGGTAACTTGCTGACCAGGTCACCTTAGGTTCGAAACTCCACGTATAGTTATGAGAAGGAATGCCACAGGCGCAGCTGACGAAGGCCAAAGTGCCAGGATTGCTCCTCTCGTAACCGGAGGAAGTAATCATACTCTACATACCTGTTCTCGAACCATGTGCGCTGGCAGCTGGGGTTTTTCTCATACGAGACCAGGGAGTAGTTATCGAAATGCTTCTGCAGCTTATACGCAGTCAACGGCCCAGACGCCTAAGCACCCACGCAAAGCATGCGGGCGCATCGTTCGGCGTGGACAGGCGCCGACAATTTTTTGATCACATCTCGCTTCTAAGGCTGCCCAGTCTCTTGAAGCAAATGGTTATCTATGACTATGCTGAGGGAACAGGCCGTTAGACAACAAGTCAGGACATATATAATAGAGGTTGTTAGGGACGGGTTTTATGCCAATCTAGGAATAAGCAACGGGGCCGGGCCGCGAGACTTCAGCCGTGGGGAGCCCAATCCAGGATGAGACATTTGAGATGTAGATCTGATGTCGTAATGAACATTAAAACCTTGGTAGAGCCGCATCTTCATCTAGCGGGGTTCCTTCCCGCTCCAATGTGACATGGAACTTAGTCTACAGTCGTGCCCTTGTGCCATCTGAACCTATCAGTGCAGCGGCGTCCCTCTTGGACCACTCCCGCATTGTTTTTCTCTGGATTTTGCCGCTTGCGAGCCTTGGTACTTCATCGACGAAAACAACCCCGCCTACGAGCCACTTATGTTTAGCCACACGCGATTTGATCCATTCCTGTATATCCACGGGGTTTACTTTCCCCTTGGATGGTTCCTGGATCGCCACGTAAGCTCTCGGCCATTCATTGCTGTCGCTGAAACCAGTAAGTCTACTGCACTAATGGTAAAAGGACTTCTTTTGACTTACATCATGATCCCTACCACAGCCGCATCTGCTACATGTTCGTTCTCAAGAAGGACAGCCTCAAGCTCTGCAGGGGCAACTTGTAGAGCATTGACTTTGATGAGCTCCTAGTTGTTCCGAGAGTTAGTTAAACAAATCGTTGCATGTTTCCATATTTCTCACCTTTTTGCGGTCTACAATCCAAAAGTAGCCTTCCTTGTTGCAAACCGCGATGTCTCCTGTCTTGAGCCAACCATTCTCGTCGAGTGCCTCCTTAGTAGCCGTCTCGTTCCTCCAGTACCCAAGACAGATATTGGGGCCGCGGACACAAAGCTCACCTGGCTGGTCGAAGCCGACTTCTCTGCCCTCGTCGTCAATCAATTTACACTCGCAATTCGGATCGAGCCTGCCAACACTGCCTGTGTCATCTTTAATGCCGCCGGGCACATGAATGGCACCGCAAGTCACTTCTGTCATGCCCCAACCCTGATTGATCTGTATCTTGAACCTTCGTTGACATTCGTTCTGGAGTTCCCGCGATAACGGGGCTGCACCGCAGAGCACCTCCTTGACGCTGGAAAGGTCAAAGCGAGCAGTCTCGGGGCGTTTTGAGAGCATGACAAGAATTGGCGGCGCGACTTGTAAACTGGTTATCCTGTACTTGCCAATGGCGAAGAGGAAGTCCTCGTATCGAAACTCTTTCATGATGTACACTGGGACTTTCAGCCTGATCGCCATAAGAATGGTGTATAGCTGACCGTACGCATGGTAAAGGGGAAGAAAGCCAATCCATCTCTCTTGGGGGCGCGATTCAAAGGTATAAGGCCTGTCTGCGTATCGCATGAAGATTGTTTGCTCGACATTGGCAATCAGATTATGGTGCGATACGCATACTCCCTTGGGAAGGCCAGTCGTCCCTGAACTGTAGTTGATGGTTGCCACAGTCTTGGTCGACTCTTCAGCACTTAGCTCTGGCCATTGGTAAGAGTCTGCCTGAGCTGGTGTCCCGATCATGTCTCTCCAATCATGGATGCCATGCCTTGTCTGGTTCTCAATATCGGAGAACTGAAAGATTCTACTCTTTGGCACGTTCGCCTTGGCGGCTGCCTCTAAAACCTGTTCCAAATGGTTCGGGTGCGTCAGTACGGCGCTAGCAGCTGTGTTGACCATTTGATGTACGAGCTCTTGTGATGATTAGCTAATGCTTCAGCAACCCATCGTCCTCACAAAGGAGAACATACCAGGAACAGTATACGCGGGGTTTGCGCCGCTGAAGACACACCCGGTCGCGACGATGCCCAGGTAGGCGACGGGTACATATATTTGATTCGGCGTGCATATCATGACAACGTCTCCACGCTTGAGGCCCAATTGCTGGAGTCCGAACGAGAGCCGCTTTACCCATTGTGACATCTGTCTGGGAGACAAGCTTATGCTATCATCTCTACAGTCGATCCATAGAGGCTCGTCAGAGAGACTGGTATTTTTGGGGAACAAATACGACAGTAGGTTTGTCTTTGGTATGTTCAGATCCGGGTAGGGAGAGACGATGACCATCTTGTCATCTAATTTGTAGATCAAGGTACGAAGCTGACTGAAACTATCCTGAGGCTGCGTATGGGCAACTAGCCGTTATAAGAAAATAACTGGAGGGGGTACAAGTCAGGGAACTAGTTGTGAGGATCTAGTAAATAGCAATGCAACAGAGTTGCTGCCCAGTCAGAAGAGCAATTATACTCTTGTTACAGGATTCAGTAATAACCGGCATCAAATCCCCCTATCATCCTGGCCGCATCTTCCCTCGGGATCGTCTCGGTAGCGGCATTGCGGGGTAAATAGTTGGGGAATCTGGGGTAGCTGCCCCGAGCTCCCGCTTGGAGCTCTCGACTACTGAAACCGATGCCGACCGATAATAACCACGGAAAGCACCTGACAAGCCGAATACTGATATATTGCTGTCTGTGATAAGGTGCGAGGACGGTCCTTGACTCTGACATTTGGTGCTGACGTGAGAATCCTTCATGTTTCTGTATATTATCACTGACGATGAAGCTTAGACTCCAATCCCAACACTCACAAACGATTGTATCTTGTCTTTACTGAGTCTTCTTTTGGGCTGGTCAACTCTCTCACTAAACCTCATACTCCAAATCATGTCAGTACTCAAGGAATTTGGGGCTGCCTTCCGTCTGGAAAAGAAGACGGCGCTGGTGACAGGGGGATCTCGGGGACTTGGTCTCCACATGGCCACAGCTTTTCTTCTCTCCGGCTGCTCGCAAGTTATCATTACGGCGCGAAAAGCCGATGGTGGACAGGGTATAAACCAAGCGGTTGAAAAGCTGAACAATCTCCCAGGAATACAAGGAAAGGCGATCGGGATAGCAGCGAATGTTGCAGATTCGAATGACATCGTCCGGCTTATTAGTGAGGTCAATGAATTGGTGGGTAAGCAGGGTTTAAACATTCTGGTATGCAACGCTGGGACAGCCTGGGGGTCCAGGTTCGAGGACGCCCCACCAAGCAGCTCGATCAATGTGGGCGAAACCAGCACAGAACGCTCAGAATGGGAAAAGTGGTGTTGTTGGTTGGAAGAACTAACTAACTGGCTAGAGGGCTGTGGAGGCTGGCTAAGACCAGTGGTGGCGGCCGTCAGCCCACGTGACGGGCCGGCGAGGCCTGCCACCCACAATCAAGGTCCTGGATCTCAATGTGCGAGGCGTGTTCGAGCTGGTGCAAAAGTGAGCACAATAAACGGCTGCGGCTTGCGCATTACTGATGGCGTCGTAGTTCGCTTCCATTACTGGAAAGAGCCGCATCGAAAGAGGATCCTGCTCGGTTGCTCATTGTCAGTTCAATCGCAGGCGACATTGTGCCTCACGTAGGTGAGAATGGTACCATCATGTACTCAGCATCCAAAGCAGCTGCAAACGTGAGTTTTATTCCTTCCATGGCACACGCGGCCGTGGGCAAGGATGATTCTGTTAATAATCCCTCAAGCACTTGGGGCGCAATCTCGCCCTGGAACTCGGCCCTCGAAATATCACGTCGAACGTTATTGCACCCGGGTTTTTCCCGTCAAAGTTGGCGCAGGGCCTCATTGAAAGCTTAGGCGGGGCTGAGGACTTGAGCAAAGACAATCCCTTGGGCAGACTGGGTCATCCTGAGGACATTGCTGGCGTTGCAGTTTTCCTATGCGCGCCGGCAGGGAAATACGTGTAAGCGACTGTTTCCTGACCGATTTAATATGCTTTGAGATGGATTTTCAGCTGATCTTGTGGCGCTTTGCATGTAGAAATGGCGTAAACATTGCAGTCGATGGAGGAGCGCGATTATCCCCTGGTAGGATGACCAAGATTTGAGTATTGGGAGATCGGTTCATCGGTGGGAAAAGCGACTCGGCCAAAAGAACGTTTCTTATGATTTCAATCGCATCGAGTGTGATGGTGGTGATTACAATACAGAAGACGGAGAAGCGGGATCAGGCCTGCGGGCGCTATAAATGCGTTGAGTTCAGTGAATGCAAGAGGCAGATGATTGCAGGGGGCTTAATTTAAAAAGATAAAGGGCAGCCGGCAGTGAACAAACTGGCTGGGGAGTTGATCAACTACCTACAGAAAGCCAAATAACACACTGTGTGGGCACTCACCTATCAACATTTACTTGTTTCCTTCTCCCCCTCCTCAGCTAACATACACACGCAGTCATCCTCATCCCCACTATCCTGGCATCATCAACAGCTACCACATTAATACGTCAAGTTTACCATGACGGTCTTGGGTTCGGTGTATGACCTCAGTGCATGAATGGCGTTCTCCCTACCTTGACCACTCTGCTTAGTGCCACCAAAAGGCGCTGTCAGGAAGCTTAGGCTGATGCAGTTGATGCCAACCATACCGCTCTCGAACTCGGACGCGATCCTCAAAGCCTTATTGATGTCCTGGGTGAATACACCAGCCATGAGTCCATATTCGGTGTCGTTGGCTTTGGCCATAACCTCCTCCTCCGTTTCGAACTTATGGATCACTGAGACTGGTCCGAAGATCTCCTGTTTGTTGATCTCGATGTCTTCTTTGCCAGCCTCAAAAACAGTCGGCTGGACAAAGTATCCCTATGTTCACATTAGCAAGACTCACTTATAACACCACGCTGGCTGCGCATCTCACCTTCTCACCCACACGGCCTCCTCCGACCAACAAGTTTCCTTGGCCCTGCTGGCCTCGCTCTATGAAGCCCTGGACCCTCTCAAACTGGACCTTATCGACCAAGGGTCCGATAGTTGTTTCTGCCGACTCGGGGTCGCCTACACCTCTAATCTTTTCCTCCATCGCCCTCTTGTAGCCGGCCAAGAACTCGTCGTATATGGATGCTTCAACGTACACTCGGCTGGCCGCAAAACACACCTGGCCCGTGTTTGCAGTGATACTATTGGCACACCAGGTGATCGCATTCTCCAAATTACAGTCTTTGAAAACCACCGCCGGGCTCTTGCCGCCTAGCTCCAAAGTGACTCGCTTTAGATTACTCTTGGCCGCTGCTGACATGATGGCACGCCCCGTCGCTGTTGAGCCTGTGAAACTGATCTTGCGTACCCTCATGTGACTTGCAAAGAGGGCTCCGGTACTGCCGTCACCTGGGATGACTTGAAAGACGCCGGGAGGAAAGCCTGCTTCTTTTATGAGGGTTCCAAGCGCCAGTGCAGCAAACGGTGTCTTCTCCGATGGCTTCAAAATGAAGCAGTTTCCCGTTGCGAGTGCAGGACCAGCTTTGACCGCCACGGTCCCAATAGGTGCATTCCACGGAACAATACCACAAGTAACGCCCAGTGGCTCGTTGCGTACAATCTTCAAGAAGCCATCCTCTTGCGGATATGTTTCGCCTGCGAACTTGTCTGTCCAGCTGGCAAAGTACCTGAAACATTCGCAGGCTATGTTGAGCTCAGCAAGCCCAAAGGCTTCGTACGGGGCGCCAAGCGTGAGCCTGCTCAATTCCCCAATTGCCCTTCCATGCTGCTCAAGCAGCTCGGCAAGCTTGAACAGCATGTCACGCCGTTTGTTGGGGTGAGTTTTCTTCCAGTCAGGAAAGGCGGCTTCGGCTGCTGCTACTGCAGCTTCAACATCCTCCTCGCCACCCAAAGCGACATCGTTGGCGACGAGCGATTCATCTTTGGGGTTGAACAGCTCCAGCTTCTTGCTGTTCTTCGAATCGACATACTGCCAACACGTCAGTCAGATGTTTGAGTTCACACAGACAGATGTCTCTCGTACTTCATTGTTGATAAAGAGCTGCTTAGGAAGGTTATCTTTGTTCCAAGAAAACGTAGAGCTTTGGTTGCTCGTAGCCTCCTTCGAAAATACACCGAATATAGACATGTCGAGGTTCTTTCGATTGCCTGGCTAGTGTCTGTGGTGAAAGTCTACCGATTAAGCCACTTGAGGACGAAATGAAAGGTACAGAATCTTTTCAGAATCTTTTCAACTATCACAATGCAATGCCGCTTTGAAATATAAAGTGGCCAGGACGGTATGGCTCGCTGATGGTTAGCTGATATATGTATCACTCTCTACTCTACAATAAATTCCATCCCGTAGACAACAACTCAGGTTGTACCCTCCATACGGCCTCCCATTTCCTAGTGCAAGATGGGGGGTATCCGCCTGTATGTTGCACTTGGCGCAGCTCGACAACACATGTTGCCACCGAGGGCTTCGTGTTGGCCTGCAGAAGATGTCATCTTGCCGTAGGGTGTCAAATGATAACTCGAGGACCAAGAAGAACGGCTCCACGTATCGCAATCAGAGAGTTCATCTCCCCGTGTAATAAAGAACCGGACTCCGTGGAGCGTGACCCAACTCGGGACGCGGAAAGCAATAAGTTCCCGCGACGATCAAATGGCCCATTAACCCCGCATGAGCTCCTCTTCAAGATGGGGTAGACTCATGGCGACAGGGAGTGCAGCTATGACCTGAAGTCATGGGTGGACCGGCGTAGCATTGCTCGACTTCTAGCGTCGAGCGGGAGCGGGAGCGGGAGCGGGAGCATTTGATGCGGCCAACCGTAACCAATTTAAACCTGCCACCAGTAGGACACCCAGGAAGATCAGTTCCCGTCTGCAAGGAGCCGATGCTATCTCCACCAAGTTCCAGCTCGATACATATGAAAATCAAAGAGTGGCTTCGGGCCAGAGACCTGTTGCTGATGTCCCACTCTAAACATGGCGTGATAATGGTCGCATGCAAACTCCCAAGTCCAGATTGTGTTTTATTGATGTTTGGATCTCACCGAAGTCGTCTCACTCTTTCAAGTTAATTTCTTCTTGTCTTGACATAGAGGCACAGATCAGTGCTCCCATAACTTCTTGATTACGGCTTTCTCACTGAATCGAGCTTCCGAATAAAGCTTGATGTGAAATTGCCTGAAACACGTTCCTAGTCATAGGTTACAAATTTCTCCCCGTGGAGCTCTGAAAACTCTTTGTATCTCTTCTGGTACATTTGATGTCTTCTGGTGACCTCTTCCGCTTTCTTCAACTCCTCTCTTCCAACCTGATGCCTATGTGCGGCATCTGGTCCATCTGCCACCCTCACAAATCGGGCATATGTCCACATTTCAGGAAGCGGCGTATGTTGTGTGAGGCCTTGACCGCCAAACATTTGCATGCACTCATCAATGATCTTGGTGGCAAGCACTGGCACTATAATCTTGCTCTGTGCGATTGCGCGCTTGCCTGCCTTATTACCAAGGAGATCCATAGTATCGGCGGCATTCAGGACGATCAGCCGAGCGGCGTCTAACTCGAGGCGCATTTGCGCGATGCGTTCAATATTGGAGTCAAACTCACCAATGAGCTTACCGCGCGGCTTCTTTCGATGGTCAGTGCAGCGAACAAGAGCCAGCTCATAGGCACGCTCGCACTGCCCGATGAGACGCATGCAGTGATGGATACGTCCCGGCCCTAGACGACCTTGAGCGATTTCGAAAGCGCGACCTTCACCCAAGATGATGTTTTCTGCTGGTACGCGGACATTTTCGTATAAGTACTCCCCATGCCCTTCTGGAGCGTAATCATATCCCATTATGGAAAGGTTGCGGACTTGTGAGATACCGGGCGTATCGCAGGGGACGATGATCATTGTATGGCGGGACCACTTGTTGGGGTTCTCGGGGTCGGTACAGCCCATGAGTATGTAGAAGGATAGCTCCTTGTTCCACAGGCAGTTCCCATATAACTTCCTGCCATTGATAACGTACGAGTCACCATCACGATTGATGCGAATCCCAATTTGCGTGGCATCTGAGCTTGCAACATCGGGTTCCGTCATGGAGTAAGCAGAGGCGGCAGTGCCGTCGAGGAGTGGCTGCAGCCACTTTGTCTTCTGAGCTTCATTGCAGTATTTCGCCAAGAGCTCTATGTTGCCCGTCTCAGGAGCATGGCAATTCATGGTCTGTCACTCGTCAGTATGGATGAACAGTAGCATTTCCAGCTGCACAAGACGTACCTGAGCTGCCCAGTAACAGCGGCCCATGATTTCCGCACAGCACGAATACTCCAGGTTCGTCAGTCCAGGGCTCCCTTTGAAATGTTTGGGCAAGAATAAATTGAAGAGACCGCGATCCTTCGCCTTTCTTCGTAGCTCGTGCATTAATGGCGGTGTTGTCCAACGGCGGCCTTCGAGCTGGGCCTTGAAAATTTCTTCTCTCGGAATGCACTCGTTCTCAACCCAATCATAAACGGCTTGTATCTTTTCAATTGCCAATGAAGAGAGTTTTGCTCGAACCCATGGTGGAAGGTGAGAGAAGGCTGGACCCTGGAGGGCAGGGTTGTTCGTGTTATTTGCGTTGGGTGACATTGCGATCGGGAGATTGGGGAAGCTCTGATACAGACTGCTAGTGAGATGCCCTAGGGACAGCTCTTACCAACAGCCTGGGCACCACAAGAGAACGCAGAGCTTTAGAAGTGCTAAAGTACGGCTTCAAGAACAGCTCCAGCTCTGACAACTTGGCCGAAGCGGACGTTATATTTAATGGCTGCAGTTGGGCTAGTTATCAGTAACCCCTTGAGAAATAACGTCGGCAAACGGAGCCGGAGCGCTATAACTGACGAGGCACACATTCTCCTGGAAGCTTTTACTTACATCGGCTGACACGACGGCCATTTTTGGGGGGGCTTGACCTCGGTCTTCTGCGGTTCCTTAGAACTTTGCCGCTGCCGCTGCCGCTGCCGGTGCGGGGTCGGCGCGGGCCCGGGCGAGGTCCTTGCGGTCCACACGGTGGTCCACGCGATAACAAGAGACGAATTCAACTTCCTCGATACGTATTGCAAGGCACCTTATTGCTTTAATTCTTACCGCAAAGTCAAAAGAAGTAGGCTATGTGGGGCACTTCTCATGCGGATTCGTCTCTCTGAAGCGTCAGTGCTCTTATCTACATATTCGACATGAAGACACACAACAACCTTCGAATGACCGTGCCGAATTGCCAGTTCATCTTGTTACAACGCATTCGACTTTGAATACTGTCAAACTTAAACGACCTAGACTACCTGGTGTCAATCTACGATGTGGTACGTCTCCGCATCTAGGGTGATATGCCCCCGAAGCCGAAGTATTCACAATCGCCGACTATTGCTTCTTCCAGCACCAAGTATGTGACTTTTTCGCCACTTCTAAACGCTATGAAGAAGTTTTCCTGGTACTTGAAGCAGTAGGAATGCATATTTTAGTGGCAATGCCCTGACTGGACTGATTTCGAAATTTCTTCCGGGACTTCTCACTCCAAGGGAATGGACGATAAGTCACTTTGGCGTGCAGCTCGGAATAACGCGAGACGGGTCTCGATTATTTGTGCTAGTTTAGAAGTTGCTGCAAAAAGTAAGTCTGATGAAGCCTTCTGCTTTATCTTACACCAACTTCAACTCTTTCCCTTTGCCATTTTCGCAAGCATGTCTGCCTGGCCGTGTTAGAATATCCGAGAGGCCAATGGCTCTTATATTCCTGGTAAGAATTTGCGGAGCGAGTAACCTGTTGGGAGAAGAAATTAATCTAGCAACAACTGCTGCAAGCTTTGATGTCTGCCAGCGCGATGAGGAACTTGAGGTTCGAGACTAGCTTGCCGACGGTACTGACAGTCTTCCCAGTGAAATCTGTGTTCACCTGAAACCATATTCTGGGTTCTTGCACTTTATTCAAGCTGGGTTATTGGTCGGTATCTGGCTTATGTCTTACTTTCCGACATTTCTCGAGCCAGTTGGCAGCTTGAATCTAAGATATCTATGCTACTAGCAACTGGAAGTGGCGGTTTTGAGTGTGGACTGTTGGGATACCCCCGCGACAAACTTCTGGTCGGTGAGAAACGTTACGGATGCGAACCTTGTCTTTCTGGCTAGCTATAGAGAATAGCGATGTAGTGATAAATCTAGTGATACCGCCTTGCATTTGCAGAAAAACCAGTCCACAAATATCATAAGTATGAGCCTGACATGCCATATATGAGAGAAGAATTGTAATTGTTGATTTTGAAGTATCTGCCGAGTCGGAAATGTGTAACACTCAGGGGTCTCAACCGGAGACAGAGGAGGCAAGTAACATTCCATCTCATCTTTACAATTTCCCATGGGACCCTAAGCCTGACTGGACTGAACACTGACATATTTGGGGTGATTTGCTGATCGACATGGATCTAGAAAACATATGAAGCTCAACATCAATGTCATCGGAGGCCACTGGGACGAGGATAAGAAGCTCCTGAGCTTGACACTCGAAGATCAAATGAACACGGGAACATGAAAGAACTAGCGCCATGCCATTTTGAACGGAAGCGGTATCTTGAACAAGTGGAAGTGACCCAATATTAATGACTTGTACAAGTTTCCTAGGCCCAATATGCACTAAGACGATTGGGATCATACGGTTGACTTCAGCCGAAGAGTATCGGAGTCATAGAGGTCGGTAGCACGTCGGTTCAGATTGTTCCCCAGACACAGAAGATTCACGAAAAGAAGTCCAAGTCTTCATGAGTTCACCCAATTAGTGTTGTTCTCTAGTGTCGGAGCTGCGAAAGGGCGCCGAAGAAGAGCCATGGAATAGACAATTTACCTTAATCGGGGAAGATAAGCAGCGATGCCGAAAAAACCCCATATCATTTGACGTTCCGGAAGTGGATTGGAGCCAAGATCAACTTTCTCTTCGGTATGTGCCGGCAAGACTCACATATGTCGAGGACGATGAGGAAACGTCGCTATCGAAAAATGGATCGGCGTATTGGCAATTACCTTGGGAACGAAGAATTGAAGAAGCTCATCATTCCTAGTTACCACCGCATCTCAGCTGGAGATGGTTATCTCGAAGCTCTAGTCCAGCCCATTGTTGAGTCCGTATGCGGCGGAAAGATGCACAAGACGGACATCCTTGTTTGCGCGACTGGCCTCGAGAACGTCTTCAACCCACTGTGTAAGCTGGCCCAAGGGAATGGACAGGCACTGGAAAAGCATTAAGACGAGAGGATCAACCTCTATCTCGGAGTTTCAACGCCTCGGTTTCCAAATTATTACACAGTTGTGGTACATGGCGCTCATGCTGTATTTTGTTGCGACTTTAGCCTCACCATCCATAGGGCCGCAGCGCAAACATGGTCGTCTGGCGCCGTTCTTGCATCTATCGTGGCAGCCATCGAGTATTAGGTTAAGAAGATTAAGAAGATACAGCGCGGGTGTATTCGATCAACTGAGGTAGATCAAGAAGCCTTAGACGAACTCGATGCTCACCTTGATGAATTTCATGCTACTACCCCCTTTCAAGAAGAGTGCCGAAGCTGGTTCAAAGACGGCAAAATCAAAAACCGTATTTACCTATGACCTGGTTCTATGTGTCAAAGTCTGTTCCGCACTTTTTTATTAGTCAAGACAACAAGTTGACAGTCGTTTCCACGCAGACCATCCATTACCTGAAGACCAGCAAGGAGACTCGCTCGGAGGACTGTAATATCCGATACCGATTCCGTAATCGCTTCGCTTTCCCCGGCAATAGCGAAGTCAAGGCGAACAAAACTAAGGATGTCAAAGGACTGAGAGCCTACATGCGAGATGCAGACCACGAAGGGACAGTTGAGTGAGGGGAAGACTACTGGAATTACCAGTGGCGGGGACTGCATGTGGCGGCGATGTCATGTCTCGACCGAATACTGCTCGAGTAGGAAATAGGCCAGCTCAAGGCGGCCAAGAACCAAGCAGAGTGTGTGACCCGCCGTAGTGGCAGCCATGACTGACGTATTTGTGTTGGAGTGCTTTATGAGGGGTTTTGTACAGCCATATAGCTTCATTTGAAAGAGAGAAATAATCTGCGTGGATATATGTTGAAGCTGATGCTGAACTATGCGACAGGTTCCAAGGTTTCGGCATCAAGTTATGAACCGCCATTATTCGGATTGGGAGATGAATAAGCTTCATCTTATGCATATGTTAGACAAATATGAGAGAGGCAAGGGCTGGAATTAATGTTGGGTAAGGGAATTCTAGACAGGCTTGACCTGATAACTCGACCACTTTTGAGTGGATGACAGGGTATACTGTGACGCCACACGGGGAGGGACCTAAGTCGGCTAGTTTCTCGGGAATGATCTAGCAGCATTGACTCTCCTAGTGTACATTCGGTGTACGCTCGGGGAAAGGAGGCCAACAAGACAGCGCCAACGGTTACGAAGCGACTTTCCTACTACGTAGTGTAGTAAGAAGACAGAGATCCATACCGTAGTGTATCCTTTGGACTTTTGATGGAGAACAAGACAGTGATGTGCATGGGGCCGACAGCGGGCAAGGCGGGGAAGGCGGGGAAGTGGACAAAGTGGGGACATAGATATGACCAATCACCATATCGCTTCTCCGCAGCTCCGCAAATCAACACAGGACCATTGGGTGAAAAGATGCCAGACCGAGATCAGGGTCCACTTGAGTCAGGCTGTCGTGGTCGCTAGTCTCTCCTGAATCAATGCCCAGGAGATAACACGGAGTTGGACAACCCTATCGCATGTTTGGTTGAGCTGATTTGTTTTTGGAACCGAATACCTCTCTCTCCTTCTATCTCGTCTCCTGTTTTTGTTCGTCCTCTTTTGGGAGTTTAATGCATGAGCTCCTTCTCCCCTGTTGTCCGTTTCCCAATAACTCTGCCGTTTTATTTACTCGTAACCGAATGTCCGGACACAAGCTCTTAAAGCCCCAGCACGTTCTTCACTTGAGGATCAGTGACAGCACCAAGCCAGCATCTTGAGCATGTCTTGTCAAGCTAAACCAACCAACCAACCAACTAATGCCCACGCAGCACGCAGCACCCAGCACATCAGTGATCGGGAATCAACGAGCAACCCAGCTTACATTTGGCGTACTAACCCGGTCGACGGTTCTTGAGGGGTAGCTCACCAACAGTGTTGATTTTGGCAAACGATGCGGGTGTGACAATATGCAGTTCAGCTTCAGCGTACTTCCTTCCACACTGGGTAAAGCTAGGCTCCAACGAACGTCCTCGTCCCCGCCTCCCCACGATTGGATCCTTTGAACCTGTTATGGGACAAACAACGGGACCGACATAGTAATCGAGGCGCTATCTAGTTTAATGATAGGCCGGTTAGTCCGGGGTAGTACCGGGACTCGGAGCCTCCACTGTGACATATTCCCATAGCCCAAGGCACCAAGCGCTTGCTGCAAGTGCGGAACTGGGGAAATACCTTGTCCAGCGTGTTTTCTAACCATGCACCTGCGCCTGCGTCTGCGCCAGCTCTATCTCCACACATCTTACCTTGCTCGGGGTCTCGAGAGTTCCGATGTCTTTCCCAGGTCTAGCAGCACACTCCTGCAGCAATCAGGTGGAACGAGACATGGGAGGGGCAGCCTATGTGACGTCTCTGCCGTAGGGCCCCATGGTTCATCGTCACAGGCGGGGGCATGGCGCCAGACTCCAACATATGCTTGACTTGAGCATCTTCTTCATCCTGCTGTTGACGTTGTTACCTCTTCTTTTCTTAGGCTGGTCTTTCCAGAGCATATGAAGCTGTAGCTGCTCATTCACTTGAAATCATTTATACAAATTCCTGCTGGATTCCTATCCCCGACCTAGAAACTTGCAGTCGAGTGTGAGTCGGCAATTTGGAACTCGGCCAGCAGCGAACCTCGACAGTATGAACATGAAGAGCCCGAAGGGAAGAGGTAAACCCGCTGTGGATGAAGATTCTGGAATCGCCACACAAGAAAACGCCTCTCATCGAGCCCATTCATCCCGCCAGGCCAACAAACAGCAAGTAAGACACAGGGCATCTGTTGCATGTGCGTCTTGCCGCGACAGAAGAATCCGATGCGTCGTTCCAAAGGGTGAATCTGAGTGTGTTCAATGCAAGAAGGCTGGCAATGAGTGCATAATAAGAAACGACGATGAACGGAGGCGGTACGTATGCTGTATACGGTTGAGCGACATACGAGTCTGTTCCTGTGGCTGAACTGATTCATATTTCTCAGGCCGATATCCAAAGCGTACATGTCTTCCCTATCCGACCGTATCTCGATGCTTGAGGGGATGCTGCTGGAAAAAGGAGTTGAGCCGCCTCCTGCTACACATCCTCCGAAAACGAGGCATGAAAATCAACCCAACCCTCCAGAAGAGGAACAAAAGCGGAATGGAATGCAGTCCAAGCCTCACAAATCATTGGTTCATCCGTTTCGAACGGATGTTCCGTCTCCGCCAGACTCCGTGAATGATGAATATGCGATGCAATTCAGCGATCGCGCCGACAGTGCCCATGCCGACGGCCCAGTCCCAGCAAATTTTGTCTCCCAGCCCTTACCAAAAGAACAGTCTCCTTTCCGTAAGCTTGACTCAAAACACGAAGATATTGTCCAACGTCTCCTATCCACGAAAGGAAACCTGTCTTTCGACCAGCTTTCTGGCCGCTTACGCTTCTTTGGGCCGACTGCGAACTCGCACGTTTACGCCGGGACATCGTACAAGTTTGACTCCCGCGAGCCTCCCGAGCAAGTACGACGTGCCGAACGGATAATAAGATCGCTGAGTATAGGAACGCACGATTATCTTATGGAAAACTTCTGGGCACATTATAATTCGGTTCTGAACATCATTCATCAAGATGCTTTTGAAGCCGACAAAGAGTCCCAAAATCCAACATTCTACTCGTCTTTTCTTCACATCTGCATTCTCGCTATTGCTTTCCGTTTTGTAGACGCTGATCGAGAGGACATGAAGAGAATTGCGTTGGGCAATCGGGAAAGTACTTTGCACCGGGAGGCCAAATACATGCTCGACATCGAACTTGAACGCCCAGGCGGGATTCCTAGCGTGCAAGCCCTCCTGCTTTTGGGGGACCTAGAATGCGGTGTCGGCAGAGATAATACAGGTTGGATGTATGCTGGTAAGCTAGAAACATGAATGCCTTGTAGACCGACAACTACTTACTAGATATAAAGGGATGGCAAATCGACTGGCGTTTGACATCGGCCTTCACCTAGACTGCCGCAGTAATGATATCAGCGAACAAGAGGTTGATATTCGTCATATGGTAATGAGAGCCTGCGTGATTTACGATAGGTACTGGGCGTTGTTTCTCGGTCGACCGACGAGTATCAAAAACCAGGACATTGAGATGGACTTGCTCTCACGCCGCTTTTCTCAGTTAACGTCACTCATGAGTGGACCGGGAGCCCTGAAGAAGAACATCACGGCTGATATTTATGACCACTTAATAGAATTGATGGAACTTGCTGGTCGCATTGTCGAGACTCGAGATCATGGGCAAGCGCAGGAAAAGCAACGAGAAGACGCTACTGATAACGCGCTCAATCCGCCACAGAGCGAATACAACGCATACCTCCATGCTATCAACCTGGATCGTCAACTACAGAACTGGTACAGACGATTGCCAGAGCACCTACAGTGGAAACCTTCCGTCATCAAAAGCGCACCATCCAGTTATTTCCTTTTACATCAACAATATCACGCCTCCATGATTCTTCTACACCGGCCATGGGCCAGGTACAGTGAAATTGTCGGCGACAGTCACAGCACCGCGTCTCAGCCAACTAAAACGTCGGGTCGCGAGTCAAGAAATGTTCAAAGCCAGCATTCGTCCCCATCGTCCAGCCAGACTCGAGGAATCAATGATAAAAACTCGATAGCAGACGAGAGCAGAACAGCATTGTCTCGGAACATCTGTACGCAACAGGCAGTTAGGGTAGCGCGTATCTTTGGGCAGCATCGCCAGCGGTTTGACGGCACCAAGATCTTCGTCACAGGAATTCAACAAGCCGGAACAGCAGCAATGGCCTTGATAGCAGCATTGGCTTACAACCACAGCGAATTCGAAAGACGAGCGTATCTTGGATATCTCGAAATTCTCTCAAGTGCCGTCAGCGATATGAGTCATACCTACCAGCCAGCATCTCGAATGGATGATTTGCTCAAGGCGGTCCTGGTACAGCTTCGAGCCGATATTGGTGGTCATGGTATCAAGAGAGAGTCACCTATCACCTCGACGGGCGGTGATCAAAGTGTGTGTGCGAGCTCCGAGTGGAAGAGAGGCGTGGGCACGACTTGCCCCACTCTACCAGCGAGGCGTGAAGCAGACACTGAAAGCAGTCAGATACATAAGAGACGGCGTCCATCGAAGAGCAGTCGAAGGTCTTCGGAATTTACCCGTCGGCCGCCGCCTTTCTTTTCGGCGTATTCTCAGCCAACGCTATTAAGGACCTCGCAGGGCCAGCCGTCGACCAGTCATCTGCCACCATTGGACCCAGCAATGTACTCAATAGACGGCAATGATGTACAGAGCTTTAAATTGGACTTCTTGGATGGCTCTGCAATTGATAATGACCCTGAAGAAACCTCGGAAGCAACAATACAGCCTGCCGAAGACTTTGTGCTCGTCGCATCGGAATCTGATGGCTGGACATTCAGCAGAGTAGCTACTGAAGAAGCAATACAGCAAAGAAGCCTTGGATATGACAAAGTAAATTTGAATGGATGGAGGATTGCGACAACTGGCACACACGCTGCATCCGCTCTTGGCCGTTCACACTCCTTTTCATCGGTGTTGCAGCACAATGAGCGAGGGGAAGATAGGACGAAGGGAGACGAATCGACTGCCCCACGAGGACTATTTAGCGACCAACTAGCACAGCAGCTCTCTGAGCTCTCTGATACTGTGAAAGAGGATGCCGCAACATCCATAGCGCCGAACTCAAGCGGCCCCGGCGACATGGATTGGATGTGCGACTCGAGTGGATTGAATGCCCTGAGCCCTGTGAGTCTGAGTGGACTAGTACAAGAGGCAATACCGGATAAAGGAGAGAGTGAGTCTGCAGGAACTCACAGAAACCACGAACTAGATTTTTTCAGTTTTTGATGGGGCCGGATTTCAAATCGTTGATGACGTGTGGGCGGTGTTTCGCGATTATCAGCCACTTCTAAACTTAATTTGCTTGTGCGACTAGTCAATTATTAGGCGACTGAGTGATACTAATATTGATATTAATGAACACTACCCTCAGAGGTATTTCCTCTTCTTGTTCACTCGTTTATGGACACTGACTTGGCCGAGAGCTGTTGGACTGCGAAGCTTTCATCGGCCACAAAGCCAGTTTCTGTGTAAGCTATCCGTTTGAAAACAAAGAGCTTGAAGAATGATGATCTTGTTGGATTTTGCAATATGATCCAGTGGTGTTGGTTGGTCCGATATTGAGGGCCAGCGGTGACTTGCTACTCTGGGCCATGGACTCGAGAACGAATAGGCTCAGCATAGTAATTGTCTTTCGTTTTGTCTAATTCGAACATGTTGAGTCGGCGTAAGCATTACCCACCTGAGAGAAATGACAGTTATTCGAATGGCTGAAGAGCTATAAATGGCGTTTTTGTCTTTGTTGCGACCCATGACCTGTTTCCAGATACAAAGAAGCCATAGATTTTTATTTTCTTTTTATCACAGGCGATTCTTGGGACTGATTTCCGGGACGGGAGAAAAGGAAACTTGATGGGCACTGGTTCAGGGTAGCATGAGGCGTGGCTCTGGAGTGGCTGGCATTTATCCGGAGAAGTATATACGACTTGCCTTGGACCTCTGTAACCGGTGGACGACGGCCGATACGATTATATTGGGTACACAAGCTTGCTATATAAGATGTGCCTTCTGTATTTAGAGTAAAACATTTTGCTGTTCTCTCCTTTTTTTCTTTTTTCTTTTCTGGGGGGTGGGGGAATGCTCTTTTCTCTCCCTGGGCGTGCTTGGTGGACGTCCCCTGTAAGGTACATTGTCTCTGTGTTCCTCGAAACTAACAGAAGAGCAACGGTGTGGATTCGGCCTGGTATTCCAAGCAGGCGACCCACCTACCGTAGCTTGCCTAGTGCACTATAATAGTACCGTCACGATGTGGGCACGTGGGGTTATAGCATGCTGCACGGACAGTGTGAGGTCATAGTCAACAAACATACCTTCTATTGTCTTCCTCACCTTGCTCACCTCAGGCACCTTACCTCGCCAGCTGAGCTTCCATGCACGCATGTCCACAGTAAACACCTACACTTCTTTCCCGTCAGATCCCCACCAATTTGGTATTATTCGTGCCGCGTCCACGCCAAACATCGTTACTGCGGTCTGCGCTCCAATCGGTCATGGTCGAGGCTCCATTGCTGGTCTGACGACCCATGAGTAGCTCCAGATTAAACCACCATGTCTCTGATTCCATACCATCCGCGCGAAGGCCGCGAAATCGTCCTGTATGCCCATGCGAACGCCTTGTTCACTTTTAGAGTAATGCTCGTGCTGACGTTTCTTCACCCCTGTTTAGCCGGCACCGAAATGCAATAGTTGTTCGCGATCCTGCTTCTCAGCGCCTTGAGATTCGAGCCTTGTCCGAGTGCCCGACATGCCGACAGCCCTTGCGATCATCCTCTCCAGATAGGCAGTTCGACAACGCTCAACACCATGATTCATTTGTCGACCCAAATTACTTCCGCATGCTGCGAGCCGGCCCTCACAACGCCCGAACAGATCATCCCCCCTCTAGTCCGATTCGTAGATTCGTACAACCTAGCCTTCCAAACCCGCAGCCGGCCGTCATAGAGGATACAGAGGATGCCGAGTTCATTTCAAGCACGCCAGCTGTCCAGGAAGGCAGCCGTATTCGCCGTGAGGCTTTCAGCCCAAACTATTTCAAGACCTTTTTTGTCGAAGAGAAGGAGCTTGGCCGTGGCGGCAAAGGCGTTGTGCTACTTGTCCGTCATGAAATTGATGGTTGTCATCTTGGTGAGTCCTCTTTGTGGCAGCATTTTATACACAGAAACTAATTACTGTTAGGCCACTTCGCCTGTAAGCGTGTGCCAGTTGGCGATGACCATGCGTGGCTTGAAAAAGTGCTCGTCGAGGTCGAGCTGCTCGCCAAACTTTCTCACCCAAATCTGGTCTCCTATCGCCATGTCTGGCTGGAGGACGTTACTTTGACACGATTCGGTCCCAGCGTGGCATGCGCTTTCATCCTGCAACAGTATTGTAATGGGGGTGATCTGCTTCAGTACATCATAGGAGAACAACCTAAAGAGACAACCAAGGAGCAACTGAAGGCACAGATGCGCAGGAAGTCCAAAGGCCAGCTCGAGCTTCCTCGCGACCAATTCGCCTCTCAAAGGCTTCTCTCTTTTGAAGAGATCTTCTCGCTTTTCAGAGATATTACATCCGGACTCGCCTACCTCCACGCCGCCAATTACATCCATCGCGACCTTAAGCCGAGCAATTGTCTATTACACCGAGAGGGTAGTGGATTGGTCTGCCTGATCAGTGACTTTGGCGAAGTTCAATCAGAAAATATGGCTCGCAAATCCACCGGGTCCACTGGCACCATTTCCTACTGTGCCCCAGAGGTCTTGAGAAAAGACTCAACGGGACGCTACGGAAACTTTACAACAAAATCTGACATTTTTTCTCTCGGCATGATTCTCTATTTCATGTGTTTTGGTCGTTTACCCTACCGGAGTGCCAATGCTATCAACGAGGAACTGGAAGATATAGATGAGCTTCGCTCAGAGATTACCCAGTGGCAGGGCTTTCAAGATGAACGCAGGGAACGCCCAGACCTGCCTTCGAAACTGTACCAACTTCTCAAGAGGCTAGTCGCTCTAGACCCTTCTCAGCGTCCTAGCGCGAATGAGGTCCTAGCAGCTATGAAAACCGAGTCCACTATGGATGGCGCTCCCCGAGGTAGGAGCTCGAGTCCATCAATAGGTCTTCACGGCCGTCGTATCCAAAATCTCGACTCTCCGATGCCTCCAAGCACTCCTGTACCAGGTTCGTAACCCATGACGTTGCGGTCACGACACTTTCTATCGAACTGACTTTGTTACAGACCCTCAGAAACAGTCCAGATTCTCATCTTCTGAAGAAGGCTACAATATCCCTAGCAGGACTGCTGAAGATGGATCTCCTCGTCCGAGCTTGCAGACGAGTATGCAGAGACATTCGGATCCCAACTCACCACGACATCGACCACACGCAATGGTGGCATCGCGCAGCCCCCATAGTTTTACCCGACTATCTCCAGAGATAGCAATGTCGGAAGGGAGCGCCGAGTCCGTTAAGGATGAGCCTCTAGGCTCGCCGCCACTTTTGATGCCACCACCTGGCACCCCATTAGATTCCTTTCGACATAAGCTCATGGTTAGTTGCCTACGAGCAGGTCAAATTTTCCACTATAATGCCACTCCTTTACTGGTGGTTGTCCGCCTAGGACTTTTCCTGAGTAAGCTTTATAGCTTGACCCGCCCATGTTGGCCGTACATGGTCAGCCCAGAAATCGGAGCCCTCTTAGTTGTTCTCGCTGCGGTTGATCTCGGTCTTGCAAACTCTGATACATCTCCAAACCCGAGATATCCACGAGAACTAGGAAGACATAGACCAGCGAGCCTGCCTTGGGCATGGGGATTACGAGGCAGCATATTTCTTGCAGTCTTGCATTTAGCCATACTCTGGTCAGCGGATCATTGGAGTACTCTATGCACTACTGGACGGCATTCCTGGGATGTCTGAGCGCAGATCAAATGACTTGGATTTTCGCCTCGGGCACGAATCTTCGAACCTTACAAACTAGAGCGAATTCAATCTTCGCCAAATGACCTCCAGCGTACGGAGAAGCGATATTACTCGTGATACCGAGAGACACACGGATGTTGAGCTGGAGTGGTACTAAGGTTTAACTCTGCTTGTCTTACAGTCTCACAAGATGACGAGTGTCAACCTGAATATGACAGACCAAGCGGTGCCTGACATTCTGGTAATAGTTTGGCAAAGCATTTCTCATAGCAGTGATGCAAAATGCATCGAATGAGCTGGGTCGTACTGGAACGTATGCAACGCTTCTCAGACCTGCTGCTAGAAGTTCCATGTCTAATTCCTGCTAGTCCACAGACATTCTGATCAGGGATATATGACATGTCATGTGGAAGGAAGGACTGCCTGAGAATGCTAATTGAAACACATTCCGTCACGATAGTCGTTATTCTATACGTCACGCGAAAAGAGGGAAGTAGTGTAATACGGATAACGACGTTCTTGGCGATGATAGCCACCGATAAATGAGGCCCTTAAACGATGGGACATTCCGGTTTTGTAACGCACCGGGCTGAACCATCATGTTTACTTTCCTGTAGATATGTGTGACCTTCATGGCCCTAGGACTTGACTAGTTCAGCGATAGAAGTCGCGATTATGCAGTGAAAGGAGAAATAGTCTGGCATTCCAAGCTCTAAAGAACGATCGCACGCCGCCTGCTAGTATACTATCCCGCACGCATCTGCATTTCTTCATTTTAACAAGACGTATGACCCAGATGTAATGAGGTATTGGTTGTGAGCTGCGATAATAGAAGCATGGCCGTTTAAGTGGCTTTGGTATACTATCTTTGAAGCAGTTCAGTACAGAGTTAAACAACCTGTCGCATCGCGTCTCAAAGATCAAGTATTCTCACCGCCTCTATATATATGTTCAGCAGATAGTACCTAACCACGTGGATTTTCTATAGGCACAGCAACGGGTGAGATCAGTGTTGAAAGAATGCTTTATAGTTCCTTAGGAGATTAGGAGCGCCCTTTACGTACTGTCGAAATCCGCATGTGCCCATGCAATGCCTTATTGACCGCTGGTATAGCCATAAGATCGCCGAACTCAAGGAGCTATCCAACTGTCTGGGCGTAATTCAAGAACCGCCCTCGCAAATCAGGAAATATGCATGACACAACCGTGTATGTTGCTAGGACGGTTCTGATAGAACTGCTTTCAGAAATCTTCAGGCGAAACGAAAAAGGATTTTGCCATCAAAAGGTTGAATGATAATGCAGGAGACTTGCGGGCGGGGGATGTCAACCCCAGTTCCTCATTGCTAAACTGCCTTTGAGGACCGCCACCCGCTCGCTGCCTTTCATCAGGGGCCCTGTAGAAATGAGACAACGGATACCCGTTCCATAAGGAATGGGAAAAGAGGCATGGATGTGGTTATTTGTAGCTGTGCGGGAATGAGACATTATGTAACTCCCAGTCAGATAAGGAATCTCAGTCGACTATACCAAGTGGAACAAGAACAACTTCAGCAATGAATACAAGTACAACCAGTGTCCATAAAGGTATTTGGAAAGATTATAGGATTGTACAATCCAATGCTCCCCATGAGTATGTTTCTACTTATATTGCTTGGGGGTATCGTGATGTTTCAGGCCACGACTCACTCGCTGTAGAATTATTGTACTTTGCTCTAGACCTATCCAGATACTCCTTGCGCCTCAAAACAACATGCAGATGGACCATTAAAGACTGATACAGAAATGAGTAGCCAGATACTCATACAGGAGAATACGCCGGACTGAACTTTATCCTGTCTGATCGCAGACGGCAAGGCCGGAGACCATGAGGGTGAGATGCGGATTTGTCCGAAATTGCGTAGTCAAGGCAATTTCCACTCAGCGATGGCCAACCGAGACGAAAGCCAACCCATTTAGGTGATATCTCTTTCATGAAGGATTTGCCATTTGGTGTGAGAGGAGTTGATATGTGCGGCTAATAACGCGGGTGAATCGTACGACTCTGTAATACCGCTCGGGACGCAGAGAATGCACCCAAAGACGCCTTTGTTAGAGTGTGACTTGGCAAGAAATCGGCTCGACATCCGAAATCCCTCTTTGAGGACTATAGAACCGTTATTGTCGTTAGGAAGCGGTTTCCAACGATAGCCACATTTGCACTTCTTTGTAACTGGGACCGGTTTGGTGAGGTCGACCTGAAGCATCATGGCCTCCGGACAGAACATGCTGAAGACGCTGACCTTCGGGCGGAATATAAATGTGCCGCTACTGCTACCGCCGGCCTCAGAGGGAGCAAGCGTGGATGGGGCAAATACAGACGCAGAATCGCTGGCAATGGGTTTAGAAATCGGCGGAGTCGGCGGAGGGGAAGGCGGATCAGACCGGAGACGACTTTGCTCTACACAGTCAGCCAGCGGCTTTTTCATATCGTCATCGTTGCTTCCGTTTTCGATATTAGAAATAACAATTTCATGTGCCCGAGACAGAAGACTGCTTTGTCGTGACCTGGGTTTCGGTACTGGAAGGTCTCTGGGGATGGGGCGACCGGCTGCAATGCGTCCATACAGTCCAGCCAGCGCTTTCACGGATGAGAGGCGGACAGATTCAGATACCTGAAGGATATCCGATATGCTGAGCGTAGCAGTCAGATGTACGGAGTTGGCAGCCCGGCGCAGGTGAGTAACCCGGCTGCGGAGATTGAATGTTTGATCACAGAGTATATCTCGACATGTTGCTGTATCACGTTGAGATTAGCAACGCTAGATCAATCTCATTCAACGGGGAAAACAAAAGGGAGCCAAGACGTACTGTCGCCTACGGAGAAGTCGGATCCGACAATAGAGAATGCAATGTCGTACGTTTCTTTGAGCTGAGTTCCTGCGACGTCAAATGAGGTTGCCAGAGCACAAGCAACCCCTTTGCCTTTTTGACTACTGGACCGTGATAACTGGTAATGGTTCTGTCTGGAGCGTTGCGATTTCCAGTGCGTGTAGTGTCGTGAACCCTCGGAAAATGTCTCGATCAAAGTGGAAACGCATCTGATGACTGTGGTAGGCTCCATTTCATGATTGTTATATCGACCGCATGGCGAAGACCTTCAAGTTCTTGGCCCTTCATGTAATCGCTAGGAAACGCAAGTAATAAGATATGTGGCCGATGTGAGAAAGTTCCCTGGGAGTAGGCCAAGTACGAAACAAGCCAGACAGGAAGAACCGAGGAGCAGACGACAATGGAAACGACCCAACGAGCAAATAGCCTAGTACTATAAGCTACGTACGGGCTCAGCATAGGACAGGGCACCTAGACAAGACTTGGCAACAGGATCATGTAAAAAAGGTGTTCATCTCGCCAGGCTAAGCTTTTGAGCGATGGGCAGGAACGACTGTGTGTATCTATGGTGCATCTAAACCTTGACCCTCATCTTACCGATCGACGGGAACCAGGGAGGACAGCGGGGAACTCAGGCTAAGCTGCATTGAATGGGGAGACAGAAATTTAGATAGACATTTGGCGGCCATACTTTGTACTTCGCAGACCAGAGCAATGTGGCGTTGGCCGGCGGGCGCAAATTTGACGAACAAGCCCAAACGGGCGCACAGGAAGTTGGGGCTAATAGCCGACATGGCATGATGCAAGGCAAGGTATGGCAAGACAAGACGTGGATGGTGTGGTGACAAGGACAGGCATCACCATCGATCGCGTCGGCCAGAGTCGTGAGCCACAGAAGCACTTTAGACTTTTGTGGTTTTGACTTATGAGATCGCTAGAAACGTCGACTAGAAGGGCGGACACCTGGTAGGGGCAGATAGAGCGGCGATGGTAGTTGTACAACGTTGTGAGCTAAGAGTGAGAAGCCCAACCTAAAAAGGAAGAGGGTGTAGGGAAGCCAGGAAGTTGCTGACTTGTTCAGCAAGCCAGGGCAAACGGACATCACCGGACAGAGCCAAGGCCCTCAGGACAGGCTGAAGAGACGGGTGCCACGCTTGCGGTCCATAGGTTTGTTTTACGATTCTTCAGGTTTAAACCCTCTTGGGTCTTTACTGTGCCTCATGCAAGGAGGCCTAGGAATCAGGCCTAGGCTCTAAATAAGATGAACCAGCTGCAGGAAGGCAAATGACAGGCATTGTTGGCGGTCCTTTAAAGTGATGTTTTGTTCGCCTAACTTACCATGTCACTTACCGTGAGGATGAACTGCAACCATGAGTGAGGACCTGCAAACATATAGAGGGGAAAAAAGAGGGAAAAAGGGGGGGAAGGGTCTGAATAGTGCAATATTTATATGGAACGGGTATTGTATCCATCCGAGCCTTTGGATGAAGCAGTCTTAGCGACACAAATGTGCGCCTGCTGGTACAGATTTACAGGGAGATATACAGGGAGAGCCTGCTCTCTTCTACAAGAGGTAGAAAATGATTGTTTTAGTGTGAGCTGAGCTGCGGGCGCTACGGGACGCTAAGATGACCAGCGGAGCTGATCCGCCGGCGCCGACCCCGAGCAAATGGGCCTTCGACGGCAGGATCGTAGCGTGATTGGTTCGGATGCAACAGTGCTGAGGAACGCGTCCAAAAGTACAGATGAGGTACCCGATCAGGCCGATGTAGCCCTTGTCACTACGTGCCTGCCTGTCCAGGCAGGCACCTTTGCTTGACGCATCAATCCTTCCACTTTCCTGTCCTCCCCAACAGAGATCACGTCCTTTTGACGATGCCTAATTACCTTGGCTACGTCTGTATCTCTTGTAGTTGCGCCTGCCAAAACCAGAATTTCCATTCAATGCCACTGCCTCCATGTGTCTTACGTCAAGAAGCCGAGGCGACAACAACAGCACTCAGTCCTCCATCAGACCAATAGCATAGGGCCAACCTTCTTCGAAAACATGCTAAAAGCCTTGCGTCTCTCCTCGTAGCCAGAATGCCACTTCCATCGCGTACTCGTCAGGCCTGCGACAGATGCCACGGTCAAAAATTACGATGCACAAAACAAGTCGGTTCGGCCATCTGCGCCCGCTGCTTCAAAGCTAGCGTTCCTTGCGTCTATAGCCCATCTGGCCCACAGCCAGTACCACAGAGCTTGTCGCTAATTGACGCTTCTTTTGCCGCTGAGTCGGCAGCCTTAGAATGGGGGGCTTTCTCTTTCGACCAACTTCTAGGCCCTTCAAACATTCCACAGGTCGACACGTTCTTCGTTGAGGAGGGGTCCTCATCGCAGAGAACACATGAAGCTGCAGTCAATCTAAGGTCCCAATGCTTCGGTAGGCTTTCCAGTGTGATGGTCAAAGTAAATGAAGCATTCAACGGCCTGCCACCTGTTTCCAAGCTTCACGTTCCTGGCCCCGACTTGAAGCTGTTTTGCATGCAGATCTCAGAATCATATAACTTGAAGCGATCGCTTGAGTTGCTGCTGAGCCAAACTCAAGAACTTGCTGATATCTATCCAATCGTAATCCAATTGGCCTTCGAGCAGCAACACACTCCGGACTGTACGCTTCCACAATGTGTACACACCTACAAGTCCCATCCCACCTTCGGCGAAGATCCCTTTGAAATCGGAGTTGGATCGCCTAAGATTGATTTCACTTTATTAAGTCAGCTGATTTCTTGCCACTACCGCCTTCACGACACTATCGAACTACTGGCTTCGCAAGCTCAGGTTTGCTTCAAAATTTCGGCTGCCTCTTCCCATCATGGTATCGAGAGTCACCGATTCGATGTCCCGGAACTCCGTATAGGCTCCTTCACCCTCTCATCAGTAACCTCATCTCCTGCCATGGCCACAATCTTGGTCGATCTTCAATTCTCCCTGACCCAACACATACCCAAGCTTCAAGCTTCAATAGGCAGGGACGGAACCAGAGAGGGGAAGGTCCTTTCCCTACAATGCGATATGCTGAAAGATCGCGCAGACTCAATTTTGGTGCGGCTTAAGACGCTGAGAGATGCCATTATTAGCCACGGCACCACAAACTAATGCCCAAGCATCACCGAGGTAGATAAGAATGTTCAAGTTCCTCAAAACCACCACCATCCTTGAAAAGCTCTTGTTCCAGACCTAGTCTACTGGAGGTATACCAAGAGAGCCTCGCTAGCTGCGACATTGAATGTTGCCCGGCCGTCCGAAACTGTCGTCGTCTCAAATGTCTCTGCTCCACCGGTGGTGCAGGTGCCGTTGTTGAAATATTGCCCCCCAATAGATGCGTTCCCGCCCCGATCTTGTCTTGCCTCGGCACTCGCCGCGGTCACTCGTTTGGAGCGAACCCTGGTGCCAGAGACTCCATTAAGAACGAAGGACTCGGTATTTCGTGCTCCAGAGCCCCCAAAATAGTTGGAGTTATATAGAAGCGCACGTAGAGGCGCACCGGAGGCATCAAAGGCGACGTAGGCTGCGAAGGCGGACTTGCCGTCGTCCAAAGCTGTTACGTGCTTGGCTCCAGCTAGAAAGGCTGTGGCCGTGTACGCACCCACATAGGGGTTGCCCATAGAGTAGCGCCCGAAAAAGCTATAGGGGTTGTTACCAATTGTTCCATGGTGGAAGTATATGCGAGAGACATTAGAGGCGACCAAGCGCACTGAATAATCCATCACCCATAGAGCCGCACCAAATGTTGGAGAAACATTTGCCGCGCCTCCTCCAGAAACTGCCGTAACGTATTAGCATTGAAAAAGGTCTTGTGGGATTCTTACTAACCTGAGTTGGTCTCCCCGAAGACGTATGGTTTCTTTACGGCCAAGGCACTGGCGATATCATTGTCGAATCTAGCCCTGGTCAGCAATGTACCGACACATCTGATTTGTTCGACTCACAGTTGTACATTTTTCGCAATGTTTGCATGGGACATCAGGCTGGTCACACTGCCGCCAGGGTAATTATGATGACTATAGGTCTTCACGTACTCCCTAACGGTAGCGTTGCCGCTCGCAATTAACTCTTCGGCACCCCATTGTGGTGGAAGAGAATTGGAATTTCCAGCTTGGATGATGGTCTTTTTGCCAATGGCGTTGCCAACTGTAATGGCCCAGTTGTTCTGTGAAGCCGCATCAATGGCAGGATTCCAGGACCCAGAAGCAATAGGCTGAGCTCCCGGCCAGTCTGTACTCTTGGGTCAGCGCTATTTATGGAAAAAGTCAGAGAAGCTATATTCTTACACTCAGGCTCGTTTCCAAGTTCAATGGCATAAATGTTCTTTATCTCTTGTACTGCAACCTTGGCCGCTGCTATGGTGTTGTCAATGTTGTTTTTACCTCTGTTCAAGCCCAAAGTCACATCACCCGCATATGTTGCAGCTAACTTTATGAAGTTCGGCCCAAAGGTCAAGGTCCCCGGCGCATCAGCAGGGTTCGCAACTGAGTACACGACATATGCCGATGTGGACGGGTCATATGACGCCCGGTCTTGAGTTGTACCGCCGATTCTAATGGGCGGCCAGGTACCGCTCAGTGCCTTGAAATTGGCTAGACACTGATTCGTTGCTGTCACGTTTTTGAAATAAGAGGGAAAGGCAAAGAACTCGAATCTGGACGCAAGTTTAGTAAGAACACGGATTCCAGCACCTATGGCGACTCACGACAGGCCAACGGGTGCTGCCTCGACAGGTGCGTACGAGAGACCACCGGTATTGACCTTTGCTGGCACATTGAAAGTGACAGCAGCGGCTACATGTGCGACCACGGGGAGGAAAGCTAGTGAAGGCCCCAAGACCATGGTGAGAGATATTCCGTAACTGGATTTGGTAACAGCAGAGAATGGCCTGGCCTTTCACCTAAGGTGTGGTGCCTCGAACCCTATTTATGATGCCTTCATGTTGTCACTCTCGGTAAACGGCATGCCCATATTACATGAATCAATCAAAGTGAAAGTTTAATTTTTCCACCATAGTAGATTGAATGTTCTCAAGCTAGTCAGCCACTATTGAGAGGAGTTGCCAGCCCACATTGTCGCATAAGTGGCCTCCTGCCGCAATTTCTGGTATCTCCTCATAAACAAGTCTGAAGTTAGCTTTGTAGAATGTACATAACCACAAGCATGCCTTGTTGTTCAAGAACCTTATTGGAGCTTTTGCCGTGCGCAATTTTACCGGCAAAGTAGGTCCTTCACGATCTTAGGCACGAGCCAACACTATTCCCGCTTCCAGAAATAGACCATGAACTTCCCCGCACCTGTCCAGTCTGCACAAGCAATAGAACTTCCGCAAAGCTTGCTGCATGGCTAAGTATGGCTAGACTCACAATTGGAGCTGCCAGTTTCGGCTGATCCCAGGCCAGAGAGATGCCGACTGATCTATTACCCAGTGGTTTGATGGGTACGAGGGTAAGTGGGTCGGGCTTGTTTATTTTATAAGTCGTCGAGTTGCTTTAGTTGAGAACCTGACGCACTGTAACCAGCACAGGTAGAAAGGCAAGCATTAGTAGTCCAATGATTGAATTTTTAAGTTTTTCGATCAATATTTTCAAGACAAGGATTCCCGACAGAACTTCCAGACTGGTCATACTGATTCTATACGCTATCGCTACGGTTCATCTGACCTGATCGCTCACAGGGGTAACTTTTTGGTTGGTAAAGTCATGTGTTTCGGCTTATCAGCTCTTATCCTTGCCTTCACGAGCGTCGCCACTCCGATCAGTTAACAAGCATGGATCTCGAACGAAAACTAGCAGACGAGCGGAGAGCCTCCCGGAGCCTTATAATTTTGTGGGACTGGGTAATAGATGTTCACAACAAGTCCAGGATCGTTAGAACTGTATGCGCCAGGGAATGACATGAGGTTGGGCTTGTACGTTCCTGTGCCGCCGGTAACGCGGAGCTGCGCGCAGGAAATGTACAACTGCGCGCCGCCAGGACTGCTGGCGCTGTGCAGAGCGATGTGCTCGACACGGAGAAAGTATTCACCGTCCTCGAGGCATCTTGGAATTTGGACGTTGAGGGTTGTTTTGCCTACAACAAATTTTCTTTCAGCATGGATCAACAGTGTGGTTACTGTCGCAGTAGGGCAACAAACCTGAAGTTGGCCAAGTCAAGCCACCGGAAGTGACAGTTGGGCCATCGTTGTATATCTTGAACCACACTTTCCCGGCGCCGTTAAAATTGGTGATGCTGGTCCCAGAGGTTGCCTTGGCCATGTAAAAGTTGACTGGTCCGGGATGAGAGACAGACGCCTTCGCGTTGTATCCTGAAAGTTGCCATTAGTAACTTTCGTTATATCATAGGCCGACATGAACAAACCGATTGTAGACCCAGCAGTTACATCAAGGACCTTGGCTCCCTGATTACCAGATGCCAACTGGTAGCATGTCATCTGCTGGCTATTCACGTCTGTGACCGGTCCATTAGATTGATAGTTGGCCGTCTTTCGAACAACCTCCCAGTCCTGCGTTGTCTTGCCGTTATAGGTCACGGAAGGGAAAACGTCTACCCAAAAGCATAGTTAGGGCATACAATCTAGATGTGATGAATTTGGGTCATGCGCACAATGAGCAGTTGCAATGCTGGCCAAAGCCAGAACCACAGAGCAGACTTTCATAGTGGCGATAAATGTCGGTCAGGCTTCAAATGCAAAGCAAGAAACCGAAGAAGCAAATCTGATCAAAAAGTAGAAGTATCAGCTTGTTTGATACGAGTGGTAGTTGGATCTTCACAGAATGGACATGCCTGGGGATGTGGCATGGTCTGAACTTATAGTAACCAAAACATCTCCTATGAGACTACAAACTGCTCGGAAGCTTCACAGGATGCAAGTGCCACGTGAATGATACTAAGAATGGACAAAAGGTCAAGGGGATTTACATGCCGACTACATAACAGCCGGCGGGTAAATTGCCATCCACTCACGAACGTCCCTTATATCACATTTGAGGTTGAAGTAAATTGCTCCAACCGGCATTTGAATTCTCTCTCTGGGGTGTACTGTGAACAGACATGTCCGAGAGATGTGCGGTTATAAACCACTCCAGCAAGTCTCGATGCCCGGCCTCAATGTTATAAATTGCACACCACCATGGATCGAGATAACGGTACAACAGCCACTATAATGTAATGAACATTCTCTGATGATTTGCGCCCACATCCTTGCACGGGTCCCTTTTTCTATGTAAACGCCGGGTAATATACATGTCTTGCTCACCCTCTTTAACCAAACATGAAGCCAAGCCGGCTATCCAGGGCCAGACACCAACCCCATCACAACTTTTGTCGCCACTTCGCACTTTAGTCGTCATCAGTGTATCTAGGCCCGCTGGCAGCCGGTGTCTCTGGTGCACCGTACGCGGCTGGGGTAGGAGCTCCATAATAACCTGATGATGAGGCGAAGCCGCTGGCAGCAGGAGTCGGAGCACCAGCTGCTGGTGTTGGGGCCGATTCAGCAGCCCAGCCACCTTGCCATCCGCCACCGGGGGTCGGAGCACTGGCAGCAGCCGGGGTCGGTGCCGAGTATGCGCCAGGGGTAGGGGCATTCAGAGCACCCGGAGTTGGTGCGCCCAGGAGGTTTCCGCCAGGCGTCGGTGCGTCATAGCCAGACTGACCCGGTGTGTATCCCCAAGAATCACTACCACTGGCACCAGGAGTAGGCGCGGAGCCCCCATACGCAGGGGTCTTGGAACCAGAGCCCCACGCGTCTCCTCCATATGCCGGCGTCTTGGATCCCAGGCCAAAGGCATCATGTGCCGGTGTCTTCGCACCGGATTGCCATGCCGGTGTTCTTGAACCGCCACCATATGCGGTCCTGTTGCCGTCACCGTAAGCAGTCCGTGAGCCATCAGCCCATGCAGGAGTCCGTGAGCCTGAGTAGTCCTGACTGCTGGATTTCCATGCAGGGGTTCGGCCACCAGTCGCCGCGGGAGCTATTCCATGTTAGCAACTTGTTTGCGCACAATTTCACATAGTCTTTTACTTACTTCGTGAACCCCAAGCAGGAGTTCTTTCCGAACCACCGGAAGCGACTGGTGTTCGACCTCCCTGCCAATCTCCACCACCACGTCCGCCTCCAGGGGCACCTCCCTGGTTCGGTCGAGGGCCTCTACCATTGATTTCGATCTTTGCACCCGTATTCTTATCCTTGAAGCTGAGATGATCCTTGGGCACAGTGATGGTCTTGCTCTTCGTGTGCAACTCCACTCGAGCGTGGGTTTCTGTAGCGTCCTTGACAATACCCAAGAGGCCCTTGTAACCACCCTTCCGAATGATGACAGTCTGGTTAATCGCACGATCACGGCCGAAGGTTTTGGGTGGTGCCATCTTATTCTCTGCGCCACTGGGGTTGCGCTTCATGGCAGGGTTCATTTGGTCCAAGTTGGGACCAGCTGAGAGTACGCGCCCACCCTTCGCAGCAATGGTTGTGACATTACTGGCCTTGGTGACGAAGACGCCGGCATTTTCGTTGTTGTTGTTGCTATGCAAAAAGACGAAGGCACGGTGAATGTGAATGATCTTACCCTGGCGTTGTTGGGCACCGTACTCCCTGACGACATCATCCAGTCTGATTTCGGAACCGTTCCTATCAGCGGCAACGGCAATCTTCCTCTTAGGGAGTTTGTTAGCGATTTGTGACGGCATCACTTGTCGGGTGTCTCCGTTTTGATCAAGGACAACCACTGACTCCCGATCGACCTTAACGATACAGCCAACAGTAGTAGGATCTAGCTGGACAAGGTCGAACAGCTCGTACTGCCCCAGAGAGCCTTGTCCGCCAATGTCGCTTGCTTCACGAAGATCTTTGCTAAATACCGTGACTTCAGTGTTGGTTTGATCGGTCAAGAAAGTAACTCGGTCCTCGGTAATCTTGACAACCATACCAACCTCGTCACGGAACCGACTGCCGCTGGTGACTTTTACATGATCACCAACCCTGAATCGTTTCCTCAACCCCTTGGTGGGCACCTCAATAACTTGGCCTGCGAGATCTCCCTCGGTAACTTGCATGGTGACAATATCCCCTTGCACGTTAGTGGCTTTTCCCACAACACCCTTCTGCTCGCCCTCGTAAACTTCGATAACGTCTCCAGGCAGGTATGTAACATTGATGTTGCTGTCCTTGAGGCTAGCAGCAAGGGCCTTGAGGTCGAGGTTTTCAGTGCCATCCTCAGCACCAGAAGCAAACCTGGTAACTTCTTCCAAAGTTGGATTGACGTCTGTGACGACTAACTGTTGAATTTTGATATCCTTGACTTGGAAGCCATTCTCAAATTCATCGCCCATATAAGTCCACACTTTGGTTGTCGGATTACCTTGGATGTGCCTTGGGTGTCGTTTACGGGCTTCTGTCTCATTGAAGAGACGCTGTGGTGGCCGTGGACCGGGTACACCGATGGGGCGCTTCCGCTTGCCGTCATTGGTAAGAGCGGAGGCAAGGGCATCATCTCTCATGCCGTAGTCCAGACGGGGAATGAACCGAACTCGAGCTTCTAGGCCATTCTCGGTGACGTCAACGACCTGTGCAAGATCACCCGCGTGCTTGGCCGGCTTGCGAAGTCTGACCCAGGCACCAGGCTCTAGAGTGGGTGTCTTGGTAACACGAAGTAGGTCAGGCATATCCTTGATATCGACCAGAATCATCTTGGATCGAGGGTAGACGTTCATCATGCCGTCAAGGGCAACCATGATGTCAGTAGAACGGTTGGCTTCGACATAAATATAGCCCTTCATCACGGATGTTGGGCCGCCGCGTTCGAAAGCTGAAATGATGGCCAGCTCGTCCTTGGTGCCCATTCTCTCCTCGATGCGCTTCATGATGGAAAAGACAACTTCCCGCTCCTTGCCCTCCTTGCATCTGACAGCCCAGATAGTAGGATCCTCAACACTCGGCATCAAGAGGCGTTTCGGAACAACAGTCGAGTCGCCAAAACCCTTGGTGGGCCGGCGGTTGCCATATCGCTGTCGAAGAATCTCGGCCTGTTTTTCGGCATCCATGCTCGCCTCCATCTCGCGTCGACGATCCAATTCGCGGTGTCGTCTGTCATCATCAAGGCCACCACTTTCAGCAATGTCGTCGGGATGAGCATTGTCGATGAAGTCTTCTATTTCTTCACCGTCTTTCTCCTCATCTTCGCCGTCTTCTTCGTCTTCGACCTCGGCCTCGATATCGAAGAAGACAGCCCGACGGTCTCTGCGACGTTTGCGACGATGTCCCTGGTGGGCCAGAGGTTAGCAGTCTCTCCAAGATGCCACATAGGAATAAGGGGATCCGCTAGGGAAATCATAACAGAGAAGCTTCCGCAAGTGCCTGAAGCAAAACTTCATCTGGACAGTAGTTGAGGCGAGCGGAAAGCTTACCTGCTGAACATCATCCTCATCTTCTTCATCCTCATCTTCCTCGTCATCATCGTCGTTATGTCCGCCTTCTTCGTCATCTTGCTCCTCCTCGTCGTCATCGTCGTCGACTGCGCGAGATTTAGACGTTACGGCAGCGTCATCATCTGCCGCAGGGCTACTTTCCCGCGCATCGCTCGGTGCATGCCTGTCTCCAGAGTCTTGATCGGGTTCCTCGTCAGAGAGATCGGCAGGCGCAGGGTTGAAATCATCCTCATCCTCCGAGTCGTCAAATCGGTTGTGGTCGCTCGAGGCCATTTTCAAGATAATTGATCAATGTCAACGTCCTTGACTCAGGGATTGAATGAGAAGGCCAGGTGAGGAGAGGTTTGTTTGAACCTGCTCAAGCAGAGTGTTCAAGAGAAGAAGGGCGAGCACCAGCGGAAGTGCCTGGGGATTCGGTTCTATTAAATAGGTTATGTGGGAGGAAGAGAAGTGGGAAGAGCCACCAGATTGCTGGCCGCTGAATTGAGAAGACAAGGACTGAAAGTGAATCTAGGCGATCTGAGGATGGAAAGCTCAGCCAAGGTTACCTTCACGACGCGAAGTAGGCCCAGGTTTCGACCGAATAGGGTTTAGCGCCAAAAGACACCTGAGGCAGATTACTGGTGCAGGCTAATGCTGCGGGTAATAAATCGGGTGCGGTGGTTTGCAGAAGGACCCTCCGTCATCTTAGGTAAGCCGCAGTAACCCAAGGATCTGTCTAAGTTCCATTGTTCTGCAAGCAAGGGAAACAAAGTACTGGGCTGGTTTCTCCAAGGCACATCCCACAAGTTGGGCCGGCTACTGCCTCGGTTCTCACCAGTGCCTAATTAACTGCCGTCCCAACTTGGCCAACTATTTAGCTCATTCGGATGATTGGAATAACGTAGTTTCTTAATGGTCTTCTCCATGACTTGCGACTGAACAACCCACTGTCAACTTAATCCATTTTGTCGCGGGGACACAAGATGAAGGCCATAGTAATGAACGATTTCGTTACCGTCAGTCTTCCGCTCAGGCATCATGAGATATTATACTCATTGAGCTCAGGACTTGAACGAGATTAGAGTCTCGGAAATCGATAGACCCATAGCAAAGCCAGACGACATCCTCGTTCAGGTGAAGGCTGCCGGAGTGAACTATGTGGACACGCTATATGTTCGTAGACCCTTTGTGCTTGGAAAAACATTTGATCTAGACTTTGTCGACTAACAGCACCCTCCTTTAGGCCAAAGGCAAACACCAAAACAATCGGTCTCTAGTACGGCCACCATTTATCCTTGGCCTTGAATTCTCTGGAGTCGTGCTCTCAGCGCCACCAGGTTCCGGCTGGCAGGCCGGGGACAGAGTATTTGGGGGTTGTACCGGTTCGTACAGCGAAGTCATCTCCATTCCTATATCAACCCCTCTGCACCGAATCCCAGAAAAATGGACTTTTACTGAAGCTGCGGGAATCGCTGCCACACTTCCCGTCTCCTACGCCGCACTTGTCAACCAGGCCGGCATCAAGAGTGGCCAAACTGTTCTTATACATGCCGCAGCCGGTGGACTGGGAATTATGGCTGTTCAAGTTGCCGTAGCTTTAGGATGCCGAGTCATTGGAACAGCCGGGTCCTCAGCCAAATGTGCTGTGGCTACCAGGTTCGGAGCTCACGTTTGTCTCGATTACACCCAAGATTCGACGTGGTGGGAACGAGTACTGCAGTTGACCGACGGCAAAGGTGCTGACATAGTTTTCGACTCTGTCGGCCTTGTCGAACCTAGCTTGAAATGTATTGCTCACCGAGGTAAACTATTGATTGTAGGTTTTGCCGGCCTACAAGATGGGATGGAAATGATAGCGATGAATCGAATCCTCCTCAAGCAGGTATCCCTAATTGGTTATGTAAGTATCTTCTTTTGTCGCATCGCTGTTTACTCCAGTTTTTCATCCACCTGGTACTAAACAAAATACACAGCGATTCGGCGAGAGCGCTCGGCGATATCCTGAAGAACATAGCGCCATCTGGAGTGGGCTTTGGCCATTGATAGAGAAGGGCAGCGTACAACCTGTAGTCTATGAGTCTGACTACTACGGGCTTGGGAGCGTACCCCGCGCGTTGACAGACATGGTCGAGCGGAGGATCTGGGGCAAAGCTGTTATCAACCTAGGTGGTCTCTTGACAGACTCTTCACATGCAAAACTCTGACTGTCTCCCAGGGGCGGGCTTTTTACAGCTGGTTTGGTGCCAAAGAAGCAGCACACAATGATTATAACATTTCGAGACCACCTCTCCTTCCTACTATGCCCGCCGGTATATAGCCATCCACCATTCCAAGATTTTGTTTGTGGCCATCAACTGGGTTACGAACCTGTACTGCGGCACGCATGACTTGTCACCTGTACTTTCCCAGGGGAATTATCAGGTACACGTCTTGGTTCGCGAACAGTATCCCTCTTTGCAGTTGGATCAAGGCCCATTCCTAAACGCCAGGCTTCGCGATGCATATACCATAAGTGACCAGCCAGATCTATAGACAGGGTAGTAGCAAGACAGTCAGTTGACTATTGCTCTTTGCCACTTCTCCCTTTAGACACCGGTCCGCCCGCATGTCTTGACGCCCCAGAGTCCCCTACCCGCACTCACTCCAAGCCATTCTCCTTGGTCGTTAGAAAGGTGCGGTACCCACGCGAGGTTTCCAATCTCGTAATCGCATTGCCAGCTGGCAAATGGGCTTCGCGTGCTGTCCGGCTGGCCAGCACCGTTGGCAGACGGGCCGCCACCGAGTGAATGGTTGTTGTTATAGACGTCCCAAAGCAGGACTTGGCAGTCATCTCCTCCAGAAGCTAGAACGCCTCGCTTCAGAGGCGACCACTCGATGCTGTTGAGAGAGCCGGCATGACCTCGGAGTTCTAGGAGAGCCTGGCCTGGATGTCGTACGTCGAGAATGCGGATAACGTTAGAGTCTTGCGCGAATGTAGCCAGCAAGTGGGTATCGTGAGGTGAGGTTGCTAATCTCAGTAAGGGGGGAGGGTTGGACATGGTTTGCTGCGCCAGAGTGGGACTGATACGCCCGCCATTGATATCTAACATCTTGGGTTAGTAAGGCACGTTGAAATGTCAAGTCGGATAAAAGTATACCTCTTTCATCCTTGCCCGTGGGTTCGTAAATGATGGTACTATGTTCAAGACTGCGTAAATCAAACATACGGACACTGCCATCCTGTCCACAGCTCACAAACACGTCCACACTATTGGCGCAAAATCGTACGTCATACACCTCTTTGTCGTGGGCGATCAATTGCGTTTTTGCGGTCAACGAAGGAATATCCCAAATCGTGCAGGTGGTATCTATACTTGATGTGATGATCAAGCTTGGGGAGACCGTGTTCCAGTCCAAAGAAGTAAGCGGCGCAGTGTGATCGGGAGTTTTGGAGTTGGAGAGCAGAGCCAGAGGTGTCAGCTTCGTGACGGCAGGCTCCCTGCCCTGTCGGTTGATTGAGTTGCTCTGCGAAGCGGGACTTTCAGAGGGCAGAGACCACAGGCGAAGGTGGTCCCCGGAGGTCGCTAGTAGGTCCGTTGACTGCTTCTGAGAGGAAGGTGGCTCCCACAGCAAGCGCGTCACAGGATAAGAATGTGTGGCCTCGGCGACCTTTGAAAACTCAAGATTGTACTTGGAAGTGCCAGGCTGGTAGACGTCATTGGGGGTTGGCACCATCTGGGTATCGAGGATTTGAATCTGGAGGAATGTCAGTGTGAAGAACCATAACGATGTAAGGGTCATTGGAGCTCGTACGAAATTGTGCCCGTCCTCCAAATAACTTCCAACGGCGAGCTTTCCGGCCCCATTGCCTTGAGGAGGCCACTTGCACCAATCAAATGCATAAAGTGCCCACGGAGCGAGATAATTGCTCGTGCCGGGCTGGGCATTGGCGAGCTCATAAGCGACGCTGCCAGGAACACCATCTGACATGCTAGAGTCCGCGCGAGGCCGGATATCAGCCAGGCCTAGTGGGGTGTTGGAGATGTTGCGCTGCGAACCCGGGGCATTATACTTGGGGTCTGGCGGCGACATGAATTGAGAGCCCGACCCGCTCGGGGTCGTGGGGGTATAGGGCGCAAATGTCGCAGCGCCTTCGTAACCGGCAGCAGGGGAGGAGCGGGAGTAGCTGTGAGATAGGTTCAAGTTTGGTTTCGAAGGCGTCGAATAGTCCTGAGACTGCTGAGGCATGGTGGGTTGCATGCTGGCCAGGGTAGGCGCAGTGTTGGCAGTGATAGCGGGGGGACGACCACCGGCTCCGCCAGGTTGTAGAACGTTGGGCACCGACGATGTGCTCTGGAACTGGGAGGCGCTCGGGGAGGCCTGGTCCAGCTTGATCTGGGGAGCGGCGGAGGTGGTGGCTGAAGAGTATTCGCGGGGTGACAACTGGCCGTGCTGGATCATGCCAGCAGGCATGTGCAATTCGTCGTGTTGCGAGCTGTAGGTGCCTGTTCTGCGCGGTGCAGCAGGAGGAAACTGTTGTTGCTGCTGCTGCTGCGGCGGCGGCGGCTGTTGTTGCTGCTGCTGTTGTGTAGGTTGGGGTTGCTGGTTCATGGCCGCGACAGAGGAAGAGTGCGCGTGAGAGGGCGTGGAGGGCGATGTGACGGAGGAGGAATGGCCCGTCGGCGCTGATGTCTCAGTCGCAATGGGGTGGGCGGGCAGCGAATATGTCGAATCCCAATGCAGCTGCTGGCCATGTAGTACCGGAAGCAACGCAGGGGGGATGGAAGCACGCTGCTGTCGGGAATCTGAGTGGGAGAGGGAATGATAGGATGGGGAGTGCGAGTATGAGTAGGAGTGGGAATGGGAATGGGAGTAAGAGTGAGGGTGATTAGGCTGGAGAGAGCGGGACGAAGCGGAGTCGGCAGCGGTAGCGGCAGGAGGGGCGGCAGGAGGGGCAGCGGCGGCGTCGGCGATGCTGTTGAGATTGCGGTCGTGGTGATGGAGGTGCTCGGAGTCGTCCTCGTAGAAGAAGTTGGCGACGGCGTGTTTCTTGGGCACAGGTGGCCCAGTCGCAGTCGCGGCTCCTTGAGAGAATTGAGGAGATGAAGTTGGAGAAGACGAAATTGTTAGAGAAGGATGATTGGGGTTGTGGTTGGGTGGCAGGTAGTGGTGGTGGTCCTGCTGCTGCCGTTGCTGGTGCTCTTGCTGTTGCAGCTGATAGTGGCTGTTGTGGTGCTCCTGCTGTCCAGGCTCCTGCTCCTGCTGCTGGTGCTGGTTTTCAGGCTGTGACTGCAACTTCGAGCTGGTTGACAAGGAAGACGATGAGGGCAGTGTATTGGGCAGCGGCGGGCGGGTGTCGATGGCCGTAGCGGCTGTGGCGGCCGTGGCAGGGGCCCCAATGGAGCCTAAGGCCTGTGCCGCCTGCCATAGCGCTGAAGTTGCACTCAATCGGTGCTGGTGGTGACGCTGTTGATGCGGCTGTTGTTGCTTTTGTTCACCAATGCTCTGCTGCGACGCCGTGCGGCGATGGCCCAGGAAATGCATCGTTAAGGCTGTTGATGTCGTAAAGTCGGTATGTAGGTTAGGTTGCGTGGAGCCAGCGGCCCAGGCCAGAGACTGTTGTCCAAAGGAGCGTTTGGGGCAACACAAAACACAAACACTTACCAGTCGTAATCGACTAAGGTTGGGCTAGATACCGTCCTTCGAGAGAATTACAAGCAAAACACCAGGCGCGGGGAAATAACCCCCTTCCAGAACGATAGGCAGGAATGTGAAGGCAAGGGAGACGGCGTTCAAGTGTTATCTCAGCCTAGAGGTTACCTGACAGAGCAGGGGGCAAAGTAGTGTTCCTCAAATACGACAAAAAAGTGGTGATGGTACCAAGGGGTTTGACTTGAGCTTCGGCCGCATCTACTGTGTCGTCACAGCGGAAAAAATCGCTCTTCTACGTTATCACTCTGACTAATGAACGGGGAGGCCAGTTGATGGGGACAACAGACGGGGAATTGGGATAGGGATGCGCGTCGTTCCAAATGCTTTGGGATGTCGCGTAAAGCCTCCGAGGCCAACAAGCACCAAATTTAAAGCACTTTGCCTCCTCTTCCTTGTCTTGCCCCTACCCTGGCTTGCTGTACGATGCTATATCATCCGTACGTGCCTCTCACCTCAGCTGCCAGGCTATTGTTTGGGCTATTATGTTTGAATATCCGCGCCTGATATGCATACCTAACTGATTCTCTTTTATGAGGCATGGCAACTCCTTCCAGTGAGACGAGACAACGTCTGAACAGTGCCCAACCAGCCATTAAAACAAAAATGAAAAACAACACATGGGAAGCAAGGAAGACGTGACTTCTTAGTGTCACATTGAGGGCCCATCCCCATTTGAGATCCAGAGGGAGCTGTTCGTATGGAAAACTAAAAGACTGGAGACTTTGTCTTGACTCGGCTTTGGCTGCGTGAGTTAGAGTTAGGTCGAGCGAGCCAACGTAAGACAATGACTGGGCATCAAGTAATTACGCGTGCCAGACATGGGTGAAAAGTGAGGGGAGGGTGGGTTACGGACAACAGGTAGCCAGCGTAGACACCCGATTACCGAAGTGATTATATCGCTTACCTACAACATACCTCCTTACACCTTATCAATTATTTTACTCCACTATTTCAGCGATAAGATACTTCGTACCGGCCTAGTGACGTCTCTACTTTAAGCTACCTTGAGGTAGGATAGGTACGCTGGCACTAGAGGTGCAGGCTGGTCCAAAACCACCGCCCCGTGCCTGCTGTGGCACATGCTCAGAGCTCGTGAGCTCTATCTTTCTTTCCTCGCATTTTACTTACATCTGCCTACGCTGCGCTGGCACATTCCAACCGTGTTGCCTATAACAGCCTGTCGCATTTAGTGCCACATCATCTTCGTATACCCTTTCAAACATTGACTACCTTACTCTTTAATAACATAGCATATTGGCTTCTATTCAGACTGCATCAGGTACCATATCCGTGCACCTTAGTTTCAGCTTGTGCGCCAATCTACCTGCTCCAACAAACACTGTTAAACTGCCACGACGGCCTCGAAAGTAGCACCGATGTGCTCTGATGGCCCCAGATTCCCCCAGATTTCTTGATCGACTCTCGCTGAGCCGAAACAAGTCGCCTATTTTACCCCTTCACACCTCACACGAGCGACGTGCGAACGACTACGATCTCGACGAGCTATCTCCAAGACCCGATGACGCTCTGTTGCCAGGAACGCCGAGAACGCTGGCCAGAATGTCCAGAATACGTTCCCCATCTCCTGCAGATCCTTGGGATGACGATCCATTGAGTCCGGCTGGCTCCGTCTCGAAAATGAAACCAAAGGCAATGTTTACCGGTCCACCTCCACCCATAGCAGCCTCTATATTGGTTCAGCCTGCTTCGCAAGGAAGGCGTGATTCCCGAGAAGGGTCAAGATCAAGTCATAGTGGCCACGATACTAGGGGGTTGGCATCCAGCCGCGTTACGTTTGGAAGTATTCTATTTGATCAGAATTCGCATACCTCGAGCTTATCCCGCGTTGACTCGACATGGCGCAGTCTACAACATCGTGAGCGAGTGCTTCAGAAAGAGGTGCAGAATTTGCTCGACATGCAGGCTACAGGGCTATCACCTGGCGGCGGACCCCTTGATGCCTCAATGTCAACTGGGCTTGACACATGGAGTGACTCGGGGAGCAGTACACCGACGGGGACATTTTATTCTACCGCAACGTCCAAGTCGCGAATGATGGCATCACTAGACACTCCTGTACGCGCAACAGCTCGTGGTGATATCATACCTGTCCGGCAACCCAAGTCTTCCGGTCCACAAGGACTTCGAACTGCGCGAAACGGGCTGCGGCGCTCTTTGGCGGCTTTGACCGACTTGAAAACCGAGGAAAACGACTACATAGAGTTGGCAGTGTCTCAACGTCAGAAGGCCCTCTCCTACTTGAACAAGCTGGATACGCGCCAAACGAGCATCTCAGCGGAGCTTCATAGCTTAGCAGACGATAAGGAGGAGCCGCTGGCGAAGGAGCTTCAGGTCCTTGGAGAGCAGCATTCATCCTTGGGTCAGGAGATTCGTGAGCTCGAGGAGAAACTTGTTGGGATGAGGAACCGTCACCGGTGGCTTGAGCGTAAAATGGAGGATGTCCACAATCGCCGAGAGGCAGGATTAAGCGGATACAGAGGTGCACTGAAGGAAGTTGAGGGAGAGGTAGCTTCATTGCTTCGTCGACCCCCTATCGAGCCGCTGGACCCGGACGTTGTGGATGTTGTGTTGCGTGGCGAGCCTGCGACTATGAGCGACACGAAAGATCTGCCTGGGGGTGCCGAATTCTTCCGCATGATACCCGCACGACGCACTCTGAGCATGGCGAGAGACTGGTGGGAAAGTGAACTGGACCTTTTACAGAAGCGAAAGGCACAGGTCGACAAGGATCGTGAGGCGCTCGATCAAGGGGCAGCATTGTGGCAGGAAACAATCAATCTCGTCACGACTTTTGAAAAGGACTTGCGTAAATCGTTAGGCGGCGATGCCACGTCCAAAGGTAAACAGACTCCACGGACGCAGCAAGAAGCTGCCGAATCGATGCTACCTAGGATGGGCGAGGCCATCTTGGAACTTGAGGAACATTTGCGGACTGCAGAGCAGAATAGCTGGAATCTCCTAATCTGCGCAATAGGAGCCGAGCTCGAAGCATTTAGGGAAGCTGCGCGCCTGCTCCAGAGCAGTCTTCCACAGCCTAAGGCTCATGTCGACAGTGTTGAGGAGCCTTGGTCGAATGGAGACGGTCAAAAGGAACCTGCACATAAGGATGTTGTCGAAACGAGTTCAGTAGGAAGCCATCCCGAAGAGAGTGACAACGAGGTCCCGCCTGATTTGCTGTTCTCACGCCTAGAAGAGCATGAGGAGACACACACTGCCATCGAGAAAACTCTCGCTTCGTCAAGGCGAGATAGTGACAACGAGGTGCCACCGGAATTCTTGGCAGAGCACAGCAACGAGAGCAGTCTGGACTGAACCGGTTAGGCAGTGAGTGTAGAAGTGGTGAGGTACTCTTGAATTGCAAGTACAGAGTACTGGCTTTGACATGGTATGGGTCATGTAGGAGCTGCGGGGAAGACCTCTAAGCGATGGAGTATGCATTCTATGATTTGCATTGCAGTAGTTGGAATAGGGCACAAAGGACAGGATACCCCAGAAGTGACACTCGAGACGGCGTCTATCGGAATGACTAGGAATTGAATTGCATCAAGCCCACAGTTCATCTTCTCCCATGTGTTCCCCCGTCACGAGGCATTAAGGTAAAGTTGGGGTAGGTACAAGTCGAATGCAACTGTGGCTCATTGGATTGGTCGGTAACCTCGGCTATGTGTCTGTCTTGCGACGAGGACGATCCCGAAAGTGGGGTCTAAAAGTCCGGTTGTAAGGATACACAGGGTAGCCTACGCCAAAGGCTTTTATAAAGAAGAGCTGGGTGACAAGAAATCCCGTTCATTCACCCTGTCCAATACCGTCTCTTAGCCGCAGCAGCATTGATTCAGTGTCGCTCATAACGCTCACGGAACAGAAACTTGACCGAGAACGAAAACACCGACTGATCAGCCCACCGCAGGCTATGCTTCAACCTGCAGACCACCCGAACCTCGCCGAACAACACTCGCATGTCAAATCCTCCAAAAAGTCGCCGAGTTCTCGCATCGCTATTTTACACAGGGCCGACCGAACAGACGAGGGGTGTGGAATAGTCGTTAAATCGTCGCCACATCGGGATTCGTGAGAAAAAAAGGGGTGGGAGTTTCATAAGGTCCTCCTATCGTGTCCGCTCGAACCAGCCGCTGGATCCAGCGATCGCAACCGACTGGTCCATCACCCACTCGCCTACACCAAGATATTTGTCGATCCACTTCGAGACGTCCTTGTTCTCGCCCGCGGCTCTGTCAGTCTTGAAACTGGGCCTGACGATTCCCAGGATGGGCACATGTTAGCTTCTATGGGGACGTAGAACATGGGCAGTCTGATTGGGACGGCAATAGCATTTGAACCGAATCAAGAAACTCACGTCAAACCGGTCGAACGCTTCATGCCAGCGAGGAAGGCGGAAACTGGAGCAAGAGAGTCAGCGATGAGACGATGACGACGAAGAGGAATGGAACTAACAGAGAACCGCATCGAATGCGTAATGAGTCAAACGCCCAAACTTCGACCACAACCCCAAAGTCAGCAAGTTGAGGAGCTATAGGGAGGTTAAGACTGCGCAAGCAAGTCGAAAGCTAGGCAGCGAGCGAGTATGAAGATGGCTCGCCCGACTAGACTTAGGGGAGGAAGGCGGTACCAACCATCTTGGACATTCAGGTTTGTCAGATATTCCTTCTTTCGGTTTTGTTCGTCGTCGTCAAATTATTGTTTCTGCCGTGCAGGTTTTGGTGTTTGTTGGTGTTGAGGAAGCGGTATCGCTACTGAGTTAAGAAACAAAGGGTGTTGTCATGGGACAAGGCTCGCATGGACACCTGCATAGGTGAAAAGAACCCCACGGGAGGCTGGTGAGTGGTGCAGCAGTGCTGTGCCTAGGCGGCTGGTACATGGCCCAAGTGGACTGTGCACCCTGTTGAGTCGGCCTCAGGTTACAGCCGGGCCGGCGGTGGGTGAGAACCCGGGCAATTGCAGCGAGACATCGATAAGACGATAAGGAAAAGGGAGTAACTTCTTGGGGAGGTATTTCTAGGGGTTGCCCAAAGTACCTGTTGAGTCCAACTCTGTGTTTTAGTGGGCCCGCAATTCTGCTCCAAGCTCCAAGTGGGGGGTGTTGTTTACCTAATCCATTCTCTTTATTACATATTTCTGGTAATAGTTCAACAACGGCTTATCGGCCTCCAAGGCACCGATAGGGCGTCGGAGTGGATGCGACTCGGGGGTTGAGTTATCGGGACAGTTTGATTCGCGTCACCAAGAATGGGATTGGATGATCCGGACCTGGTAAGGACTTTTGCTCCTCCGCGGTTCAAATCCAAGTGGATAGTGGAAACGTCCGATAGTGCAACCGACAAGACCGCAGCCATCACCCCAGCACTCGAGCACTCAAGCGTTCTCTAAGGAACTCCATCAAATAGCCCAAGACCGCACCGCACCGCACCAGAGTTGCAATTGGCGTTTGGTGAGTATGAAGAAGCATCCCAAGTGGACCAGGGAACCTTCCCCACCGACGCTTGCCCATTTTTTCTTTTTTTTTTAGCTGGTGGGGGCAGCTCTGGAGTGGTGGCCATGGAGGGGCTTGGAGGGGTCGGGCTGCTGCTACCGTTGGAAAAAGCTGTGTCAAAAGCATGAGCTCTGGTTTGTTGAGTGTTTGAGGCTTTATCACCTAGCCCAGAGAAACGGAGCTCCGTCGCAGAGTGGGAAGGGGAGGGAGGAATGAAATGCGAGAGAAAAATAAAAACGAAAAAAAGGCCGAAACTAAACAATGCCATTGAAATCCCTCATCATATTCCATTGCATCCCGCCATCTCCGTTAGTGTCTTTTTTTTTCTCCCTCCTCACATTGTTGTCGTGGGGTTCACTTGCAATCTCCCTGTTTACTCTATTTTCTTGATACCTCATCGTCTCCAAATCACTCACCCGTTCAACGAACGACGACGGTAACAACGACCACAGCGACGTGCTCAAGCGTTGACAAGAATAAACAGCTGCTCAGCTCGGTTCAGGTGAGTGTCAAATTGCGTCGCTCTTGCTGCTTGCCCCTTGCTCTTTCTGCCTCTGGGACTGTTTCTGTTTCCTCTCTGATTTTTTTGGCCTTTTTTTTTCTTCTCTCTCTTTGGCTCTGGCCGGACCTTACCTCACCTCACCTCACCTCACCTAGTCTTGGGATCTTGCCTCACCTGCTTCGGCTTGCATGCTATTTATGTGTACTCCGGCTTGGTGTGCATTATAAATGGACGTGCGTGTTCAACAAAGGGAGTGGAACAACCCAAAAAAAGACAAGGAAAAAATGGCAAGACGAGGCAGGAGAGAATGAGCAAACGGTGCACATACCTCCTCCAGGACTCCAAGACGGGCAATACCAGGGTCCCGTCATGGAAAGGTGAGGTGAGGAAGGGACGAGGGTGCTGTCACAGGCACCTCATGTCGGTGGGGCCCCCATGTCGTTGCTGCCAAAGCTGCTTGCTGCATTGGCTGATCGGTGCTGGTACTTGCCCCTCGTTGGTTTGATTTGGGCTGAAAAATTGCCCCTCAATTCGACGCAGTGGCAGCACCGACACCGCCAGCACAGGCAAAGCACCGACGGCGGACCACCACCACTATCAGACAGCTTCACTTGAGCTGGGACGGGAGCAAATTATTTCTCTTGCTTCCACCTCGTGTGTCTTGTCCTGCCTGCCCTGTTGTGACGGCCACTGTCTTCGCCCTTTCTTCCCCTTCCTTCAACAAACATCTTGGTTGAGGCTCCCATTTGCATGAATTCCGCATTTTAGGGTCTTACCCATCAATCAACCTCCTTGAATGTTTTTTTGATTTTTATTTTTAAATCTCTCACACTCCCCAACTCTCCTGCACACCCGCCGGCTTTCCTTCCTCCTTGTACTACCGTCCGTACCCCACCCAGCAGGATTTAACAGCTGTAGCAGACCCTCCATCACCTCGACGCAATCTTCCCTTCTCCCTCCGACATCTACCTTTTCTCACCAATTCCCGCAATCTTCACAATGGCTACTGCCCAGGACCACCTCGACGTTGGCGGCAAGATCGCTTGGCTCTCTAGCCTCGACACTGCCTACCAGCCTGAGAAGAACTACCGCCGTTCTTCCATTATTTGCACCATTGGCCCCAAGACCAACTCTCCTGAGGCCATCAACTCCCTGCGCAAGGCCGGTCTGAACGTTGTGCGCATGAACTTCTCTGTAAGAACCTTTGCTCCCCCGTCGCTCTTATGCCAGTCTGCTGACCGTACATCTACCAACAGCACGGCAGCTACGAGTACCACCAGTCCGTCATCGACAATGCTCGCGCCGCCGAGAAGTCGCAGCCTGGTCGTCAGGTCGCCATCGCCCTCGACACCAAGGGCCCTGAGATCCGTACCGGTAACACCAAGAACGATGAGGACATTCCCCTCTCCGCTGGCAAGATCATGAACTTCACTACTGATGAGCAATACGCAACTGCTTGCGACACTGATAACATGTATGTTATATCTTGCCTCTCTCATCACCTGTTTTTGCTGACCCCTCCTTGACAGGTACGTCGACTACAAGAACATCACCAAGGTCATCGAGCCCGGCCGTATCATCTACGTCGACGACGGTGTCCTTGCCTTTGAGGTTCTGAAGGTCAAGGATGACAAGACTGTCGAGGTCCGCGCCCGCAACAACGGCTTCATCTCCTCCAAGAAGGGTGTCAACCTGCCCAACACCGATGTCGATCTTCCTGCCCTTTCCGAGAAGGACAAGAACGATCTGAGATTTGGCGTCAAGAACAACGTTGACATGGTCTTCGCCTCATTTATCCGCAGAGGTCAGGACATCAAGGACATCCGCGACGTCCTTGGCGAGGAGGGCAAGCACATTCAGATCATTGCCAAGATCGAGAACCGTCAAGGTCTTAACAATTTCGAGGAGATCCTCCAAGAGACCGACGGAGTCATGGTTGCCCGTGGTGACCTTGGTATCGAGATTCCTGCTGCCGAGGTCTTCGCCGCCCAGAAGAAGATGATTGCCCTGTGCAACAGAGCCGGCAAGCCTGTCATCTGCGCTACTCAGATGCTCGAGTCAATGATCAAGAACCCTCGCCCTACCCGCGCTGAGATCAGCGATGTTGGCAACGCCATCACTGACGGCGCTGACTGTGTCATGTTGTCTGGTGAGACTGCCAAGGGTAGCTACCCCGTTGAGGCCGTCTCCGAGATGCACGAGGCCTGCCTCAAGGCGGAGAACACCATTCCCTACGTTTCGCACTTCGAGGAGATGTGCACTCTGGTCAAGCGTCCCGTCAGCGTTGTTGAGTCTTGCGCCATGGCTGCTGTGAGAGCTTCTCTCGACTTGAACGCCGGTGGTATTATTGTTCTGTCCACATCCGGTGACTCGGCTCGTCTTCTCTCCAAGTACCGCCCCGTCTGTCCCATCTTCATGGTTACCAGAAACGCCTCTGCCTCCCGTTACGCTCACTTGTACCGCGGTGTCTACCCCTTCGAGTTCCCTGAGGCTAAGCCCGACTTCAGCAAGGTCAACTGGCAGGAGGATGTCGATCGCCGCATCAAGTGGGGTATTGAGCACGCTCTGGAGCTCAACGTTGTTAGCAAGGGCGACACCATTGTCGTCGTCCAGGGCTGGAAGGGTGGTATGGGCAACACCAACACTCTGCGTATTGTCAAGGCCGACCCTGAGCACCTCGGCCTTGGAATGTTGTAATTGAGGCGCATGTTGGAATGAGAAAAAGGGTCGCTGGCGTATGGGAGGAATCAAAGTACCTAGTTAAACCGTGATAGACGATGACGGGCCTCGATGCCCTTGACGCGAGTATGATTTACACCAATGAATAAGCAGATATCACCTTCCCGGCAAGTTAATTATGATCTTAGAGTCCAGTGTTCATCTGATGTAGCTACCTAATCTGGTTTTGGCAGGTCGTCTGGTTCGGACGAAGCTATAAAGCTAATGTAAATAGCAACGAAAGGGAAGTAGTACATTCTTGCATGTGTCGACAAAACTGTGGAGAAACCGAAAGGCAGAAGTCAGCACATTGTCATAGGTTGAAGCGAAGTCTTTCTGTTTGGTTTGAAATGACTAGACAAAGAAAGGACCTTGAGGCTCCAACAGCTTTTTGATCAAGACCTTTTTAGGTGAAAGCATGGTCTGATTTGAAGAGAAGAAGTATGTGCTTGATTAGTGAATCTGTTCCCAGCCCTGTGCTGCAAAATCATATATCTATACCATTTGTTTATCTAAGCCACTCACTTATTATACTCGCGAACTACAAGTTCTTTACCTCGTACTTCGTTCGTAGATATTCACCATATTTGATAATCAAGAAAGGAACCGGCAACATCGCGGCCGCAATGAATCCAAGGACACTGTTGCCCCAACCCACACCCAGATCCTCATACATCTTCAAGCCCGCAAGCGGGAGGACTGCTCCAGCCACGGAACGAACAACAGCATTTGCCGCCAGAGCTGATGCAGCATAAATGGTAAATGAATCGACAAGATACAGCTGAAGTGCCATGAAAATAATAAGATTACCGATGCCGATAACAGCTGTGCCAAGGATGGGTGCAATCCAGTGCACCTCGAACTCTGCAGTCCAGCCATATATAAAGAGGCCAGCGGGGAGGAAGAAGGCGCCGGCCGGGAGAGAGACGAGCCTGTATTCAGGTTTCATACCTTCACGTGCTTTGCCGGCTGCATCAGCTGCTGCGTCCGCCTCGGCAGCCTTTTTCTTCATGTATTTATCCGAAGTTATGCTGAAAAAGACCACTCCAATCATGGAGCCGACGCCTAGTCCGAGAAATGCTAGTCCAGCGGTTCCGGCAGTGAAGTGGTACGTTCGCATGAAGACGGATGTGATCGAGGTGAACATCAAGTATAGATATCCGTACACGACTGCAATGTAGAACCCACTAAAAATACACTTAGTTAGCGTGATAGAAAGAGTAAAAGTGAACAGAAGGAGTAAGCGAAGAAGCAGAGTTAACGCACAATATCATTGTTATGGGGGAGAAGGCAATCATTTTGAGAGGTCTTATTATTCCACGCTTGAAGTAGTCGGTTGAAGAAAGACCGATATCGAGCTTCGAACGTAACACTTCGTTGCCGGTCTCTTTGCGGAGGCGTCGTACCTTCCTGTCCAAAATCACTGTCGCAAACGTCTCCCTGAGGAAGATGAGCATGACAATACTGATGACACCAGAAACAATGACTAGAAGCCAGAAGCTCCAACGCCAGCCGGCTGATTCAGAGAGAAATCCGCCTGCCACAGGGCCTATGATGGGACCTAGAAGTGGCCCAATACTAAAAACCGACATAGCGAGGCCACGCTTCTCCTGTCTGATCATGTCGGCAATTGAACCTCCACCGTTGGTCATGGGGCAGGATCCAAAAATGCCAGCGAAGAAACGGAACACGATAAGGGCATTGAGGGTCGGGGCAAGTGCAGCACCAACGTTGAAACAAATGAAGCCGACGTTGCAAACGTGATAAACAATAGTACGTCCATAGATCTCGCTCAGTGGCGCGCAGAGCAAGGGTCCTGCTGCGAAACCGAGGACGTAGACTATAGCTTTTGATCAGCTCATTTCCATCACAATTATCTCAAGGATTAGAGCTCTGGTAGACATAGACCTACCTGAAACCACAAAGGAGGCCAAATAAAGGCTGTCGTTTTGAAATTCTTTCATGAGCTCTGGGACACCAGGAGCAAAAATCGCTGTGAAAGAATAGTCAGTTCTTTACTTGAATGCGGATATCAAGGGGCAAGCTCATACATGAAGCAAGGGGAGTAACAAATGTCATGGCACTGATCAAGGTGCAGGTCATAACTTTCTTCCACGTTGGCCAGTTGTATGGATTCTGGGGGTCATCGTCACCATCCCACCACACCACGTTCTCGTCTTCAGAGCTTTCACCACCATCGCCATCCTCTGTTGTTGGGTTACCCTTTTCGACGTCTGCAGCCCCAGAATGGCCGAGGCTTGGTTCCCGCGCATTAGATGATCGTCTCTGAGTTGCTATGGACTGCCTTCGTCTCTCCTCGCCACGTTCGTCAAGCACGTAACCCAGACTGGACGGGATGTCGGCATCATGACCCTCGGCGTACGCCTCTGCCGTCTTTTCTTCTCTTGTAGGCTCGCGCCGTAAAACATGGAGGGGCTTAGATTCGTCGTTATGGCTTGTTGCCTGACTTGCCGGACGGGTGTCGGAGGGTTGCCTGGTTTCTTCGGCAGTTGAATTGGATGTCATTGTATGATTTAAGGCGTCTATACAACAATTAGCACTTATTCAGGACGATATCGTTGCCATTCAATCACACTGGGTGACTTGTGTCAAGAACAGGGCGTCCACAAAGGTAAGTCATAGACAGTGTCGGGAAAGCGTACGTGATGGGCCGACTACTGTGATGCGATTTGTACTGCTCTTGGCACCAGGGCGGGAATACGGCACGATGTCTTCTACTATGCCCTTGGGCGATTAGAATGAGTCTTTCGTCATTGTAAACTTGGAGATAATTCAACTGATAGATACGCATCGAATGTTTACTCACTAAATGTAACGGCAAATGGCAGCCGTTGCCGTGAGTCGCTAAGGAGTGACTTGTCGCTCGTCCTTTAAAAGTAGAGCAAAGCGGATGGCAGATTCACAATGAAAACTATTTCTTAAAGATGCTCTTATTTTTGGGTGCCAAGCAGTGGCAAGCCGGTCTTCTAGCAGACACTTGATGTTCTGACAAACTTGAGAAGAGAACGGTTTGGTTAGGTTGAGCTAAAGTTGTGGTTAATTGGCAACATAGAAAGGAAGGTATAATAGAGGAAAGGCAATGGGCCAGCCTTACAGAATGGTTATTTCCCCCAACCTATAAACAACATGTCTGGGGGGCTTTTGTTGGCCCCTTGCCCCATTCTAAGGATTTGGATCACGCTTTGCGAGCCGCAATTGACCACACAGCGCGACCATCGACCAACGAAGTTGATCATGCCACCACCCGCACCACGCCAGCTTAGCCTGGGCCTTCCCTAGTCGATTCCCTGGGCGGAAAGTCTGGGGTTTAGCGCCGCAACGGTTCTGAAGTCCGACCCGAACCCCGTTCATGATTGGGGTCGGATCCTGCAACAGAGCGTAATTGAGAAAGTAGGAACTTATGCACGTTACATGAATCCCGCAACAAGACATGCTCGGGTTTTAAGCAGCCAATCTTGTAGCCGCATCTGCTCATCCTCGCTAACACATCGGAGCGAACATCCCGAGCCTGCGCTGGTATGTCGCTGTGTGAGTGCCCAATTCTTCCAGTCGAGATATCTGCCGTCTCACTCTGGATCCTGGCCGAACTTGTTTCTCCTGCGATGCAACATGTAATACGCAAGTGTTTGGCGACGAATGATATCAAAAGCCGTTCGTTATCTCCGGTCTCATTTCGCTAAACCCGTCAACCAGGCAAGCGTTTTGCTGAATCAATAACCCTGCATTCAATGACTCCCTCTTACGAGAACGGCATAGCAACACTTGGGACCGACAAATGGTTTCGCTTCATTCAGATCGTGGGCAGGTCCTGATTTTCTCGCTTCTGCCGAACATAGCTGAAAGTGACTGGGCGCGTCCCTTTCGCCCCTCCGTGCTTCTGCCAACAGTTCCGGTCGGGGCAGCTCGGGCAGATTCACGGAGTTGTAGACCCACCCAAGGCCGAAACCGGAGCAGTCGGACACCGGGCACCATTATTTTCGTATTCTAGGCTGGTTGAGCCTGAGCTGGAAATGGCAATGGCAATTGGAGATAGCTCGGATTGCTTTTACTGTCGTTTTAGGAAGCTTCAAAGTGTGTAGTCAGAATAAGGCCGAATGAACCTAACAAAACTTCGCTTGATTTTATAAGTGAATAGACAGAGATGAAGATCAGCAACGTTTAAATCACTCATGAGCATTTGGATTATCTTTCAGGTGAGAATCATGTCGAATTTTTGAGGTCGAGTTAATGATCTAAAGGACCCAGCTACCTTTATACGCTCGGCAGGTTTCCCTAAGTGCAGAGCGGTAGAATGTGTGCCAGATAGTGACACAGACGAAACGCTGTCGAAGAGGGGAGAGAGGTTAATTAACAACGTCGAAGAAGCGAGTCTCTATTACGGTGAAAGATCACTAAAGCAAGATGAGATGGTGCCGGAAGGAGCGATGTTCTTTATTAGTGAGGCAAGAGTGTCACCTGGCGTCAGGCAAATTCAGTCAGCTTCCATTCTCATACAATAACCCTTTATTGTATCTTCCGCTGTGTACGCTCAATGCCTCTCGGTGGCCACATTCACCTAAGAATCTCAACCTGCCTTGGGAACTAGCTTTTGTCCACCACAGCAGAGACAAAACACACTCCCACAAAGCAACCCGCCCCTCGTTTTCTCTCTTTTACAAAGGAAATTCACCACGAACAAACCTAAGAATGGAGATGAGAACGAAATAAAGATCAAGATTGCATCGAAGAATCCGGGGTTTACAAGACCACATATCTGCTTAAGCGGTCCCCATGGTAAGGCAACAACAGTAAGTATCCTATCACTTTTCCCAGAAACACAAGAGAGAAAAACGAAAACATTATTACATCCCTAACCATTGAAACAACCCTAACTCAAAGAAAGTGCCACAACTACTAGTAAAGAAGTCGATGGCGCACATAGGCCACATCTCGACACCACTGCCTCATCCATTCCCTGCTGGCCTTCCCCCAAAGGCAGTTCGCAAGCTCATGGAGCCTCCAAAATCTGGATGGCCCGATGTACCAAGAAACAATCTTCCTCCTTGGGACCGCGTCGTTGACATCGTCTATCATAAGTACCGTCGTGGCCAGAGCCCCAGTGACATAGATGATGCCTTCGGTAGATCTGTTGGGCTGTTTTTCGCAGATAGCAATCGAACCCAGGATTTGTCGCCCACGTCGCCTTATCTCAAACTCTCAGCTTCTGCTCGCTTCAAGATATGCCAAATCTTGGTCAGTGACCACAGTGCTGAGCTACCAATCTCGCTCACCCATAGTCGTTTAACGAAAGAGGTCTGGAAAGACGACGAATTCACCTCACTCGCAAACGCCCTCGAACCTCTGCAGCCATATCTGAGAGCCTCATTTGCCCTTCACGCCGACATTATGGTTGCTTTTCTGATGACAGAGCAATTTCATATCACTTATTCACCATTCGTCAATACATATTTTGACCCTCTGGCAACATTGTGGTTGAACAGGTACGGCCACTTCATGCAGGTGATTGTCCTGGAGCTTGATATGACCCGCTTCGGCTTTGGTCCTGGGATTCATGCCTATAAACTCCGCACGGGAACAGTCAACCTCGACATCCTTCTCAACATGTTTGTTGAAACACAGATGAAGCGCACTTCGCCGATCAAGAGTCTCGTCCTTCTCTGCCGGCGTTTTTATGGCCAGCGGCCAGACAGAGCTGCCCTAATGGATACCGAAAGTTCGGCGACAGGCAAGGAAGTTTATAAAGACGAGCTGGCACAGAGTCGGGTGACCCAAGTTGCGGAGGAACGCATCTATTACTGCCCGGACAAAGCGCTCGAGGTGTGCGAACCACTCGTGAAACTGGCTTGGAGGGTCGACTCAATGCGCCTGGTTGGGTTTAGTAACCAGTATACGCATTCCCTATTGCGTCGCATCTTCCCAATTTCTGAAGACAAGGACAGTCTTAGGCACCACTCATACAGAGTCGCGCCATCGTCTGTATGGCCGCGGCTCCCAGGGCAGTCCTCCTGGATTGATGCAGGACACGGAAAAATTACACTCGACGACCACACAAGAGATTACCTACATGGTCTCTATTCCCCCGAGGGCGCGATCCAGCTACCGCCTCCTTATTTCAACCCCTCCACAGGGTACATGTCGATTTGTCCGCCGGTTGAGTATATGGATGGTACTTCCAGGGAACACGACTTGAATAAGGCGAACAGCATCTGCTCGTATGAGACCGCAAGTAAGACTAAGGGTATGGTAGCCCAAGATGTTGACAGCTTCGAGAATGGAGTGCAAGGCTTGGTGCACAGGATTCGACGAAGCTTGTCAAAGCGAGACAGGGGCATGAGGCCCTAACCGGATCGCCAACATGTGGAAAGAACACCGCTTCCTAAGAGATAACAAGAAAAAGACCTAACTATCCTGATGGAAATAGACAAGGCCCGGCAAAGACGAGCATTATAGGTACAACGCAAACATCTGCTAGGAAACGTCAGTAAGTCAGAGGCTACTAGCATGACCAACAGGACAAGGATATACTGATATGATTGATGGCTACCAAGCAGTTCTAGTTCATGGAAGATTTGTACAAGCGAATGCGAAGAGAAGCAGGGCATTTATTCACTACCACTACAAACAATGGTCCTCATTTAAATGACAGCGGTTGAGGATACTGGCATTTCGGTGAAGCACAGGTGAGAATGCAAAGAGAAAGTGGATCCGAGTACAGTGTAAATACAGTGGGTTGACGTCAATGCGTCTTGGGGAGAAAAAAAATAAGGCAATGAAAACCCCGCGATTGTGCTGGTCTTATCGGGCTGTGACTGCCCCACCATCAATATTCGCAGCTTTACCATTCACCATTCAACTGCACTGGGCAGAGTTCATTTTGCGTATAAACAACTTTTCGACCACGTCGTACGAACAACGAGAAACGACAACTCCTAGAATCACTCAATATGTCCGCGCAAGTCCCTAATAACTTCAATGCCGAGGAGGCTGACAACCTCGAGGATGTGAGTCTTTGCCTTCACAGGCCGCCGTCTTCCTGACCAAGCAACAACCTTATGCGCTGACCACACTCCTGTCTTCTACACTTAGATCGAGAAGCAGTTCGCAGTTAAGGGTACTTAATACCTACGAATTCGATTTCAACCGCCCGAAAGCTGACTTGCCTTCCCTATAGTTGTGCAGCATATGGAGACCTATTGGAAGATCTTGGAAAAGGTCAAGGGTTCTACGCTGCGTTTGACCAAGATCGATGACGAGATTTACGAACATTTCCAGAAGGAATTCCCCGAATTCGACCCTGCTGCTACTATCAACGAGGATGAGATGAAGAGCAAGGACGGCAAAGACCGCTGGAGGAAGTTCATGATGGCTTATGAGAAGAAGGTTGACGATTACAACTTCGGCACCATGGTTCGTGCCAACCCGAAGTGGGAGTATGGACAGAACGAGGTCATTTTCGGTAAGATTTTCTGCGTGGTTGACGCATTCCCGGATTGCTGGAGCCCGTCGCTTAACTATGGAAAACAGTACCCCGGATGCAGTTTTATGCTGTTGAGATTGCCAGGTAAGCAGTCATATCAGCGTGTGCGCCATTCTTCTCTGTGGCCTTGACGCTAACCCAGCTTTCAAAGGAACCGCAAGGGCTTGAACGACTGGATTTATGAGAAGGCTCAAGCAGAGAAGGCATAAGCGCATTAAATACAACATTGTGCTAGATGGTGATGTCGAGACCTCCGCGAACCATACAACACTGGGATGATTTTCGCAACGGCCACCTTTCACAAATCCTTATCAAACTCGATTTCCGGTTTGGACGGGTACCATACAACCCTGATATTGAAGTTCAATCTTGCCATCGACTGCGAAGTTGGACATCATGTGGGGAATCGTAAGCTGGCCGATGAATGCACGGCGTAGTACCGGGGTCCGCAATCCCTCCGCCATCTCTAAAAAGTCCACCTCATATGTAGCGTATGACGAACGATAGATATACCGGGCCTCGTTTAGAAGCTTTGCTGTCTACGCTTGGCCGAGTTTCGCATCAAACGATAATCAGCATCACCTATTGCCACAGACGATACCATCCGCTACAAACAACATTAAAGACTTGTGTGACTGCGCAACAAAGAATGCTTCCAGCGGAATCTTTTCGGGTCAATCGATTTTGAACGCATTTGGGCCAAGACCTACAGCTCAATAGGTCATAGGCAAAACACGAAACAAAGACTGGTTTGATCATATTCATTTGCGGTTGTCCTATGCCATGTTGCTATATCCCTCCCTTGTTTTTGAATATCAGATTAAGGATCAAGGCAGCTATTGATGTGGTCTCAGATCAAAGGAATTGCATTGGATGATGAAAGCTACCTCGTTGACGTATATTAAAAAAGCACTGAAGTTGCAAACACAACACATCAACCTTTAGGGCCATTTTTCATATTAGAATCTGGTTATCAGTGAAGACCATTGTTGACATCCTTTGACTATACTACACCCGCCCTCGGCAGTGATGTGATTGCACTGATGACGTGCAACAGCGTCGCAAACTTCTGACTACAAAGAAAATAGATGCCTCAATAATTGTGCATGTCAGCTTTGGCCATCTACGTCAAGGGTCTTCGTTCTCTCAGTGGGGAGCAATTCTGCATGTGTCTCGATTTTGATTTGTTTCTACTTATAAGCTAGTAGCTTCTAATCTCAAAGCAAGGAAAGACTCTTGACTTTGACTGTTTTGTGTGCCAGCCGAAGTCCAGCCCCCGGACATTCTAATCGGAGGCTAGTAAATTATTAAGAATCGAGAGAGCGAATTACACGGAAAATGGCAACCTGGAAACACCTCTTCGCTTTTACAGAGCGTGAGCATTGGAGCACACTCTCTGCCGCTCTTGCTGCCGTTTGCGCCTGCGCGGCGGTACGAACCGCGTATGCAGTCACTCTGGGCCAGGTCTTTCAGGTTCTTACCAATTACGGCAAAGGTACTTTCGACTCCAAAGAGGCTCTTTCTCAAATATCAAAATGGTGTGTAATTATTTGCTTCCTCGGGTTTGGGGCAATGGTAGCCAACACTGCCCTCATGTCTTTTTGGCTTGTTTTTGGAGAGCTCCAAGCCAAGAGGGCACGAGAGATTGTGTTTAACAGTCTTCTTCGCTATAACATGGTTTGGTATGATGGCCAAGTTGATGGAACTGCCAGTCTCCTTTTCAGGATTAAAACGTGAATTCTCACCAATAACGTTTTTAAGCCGAGATCGACGTGTTACTGACTTTGCCCAGGCAAATCCATGAACTACAAACATCAACATCCCATATATTCGGCCTCTTAGCAGTCGATGTCGTCTCCTCTGCTGCATCTCTCATTTTGGCATTCTTTTTTTCCTGGAAACTAGCTCTTGTCTTGGTTTCCTCAGTTCCTTTGTCCGCTGTGATATTCTGCATCGTGAACCGAAAGATTGGGATCGCTATTGATAAACAGAAACACCATCTAGCCGAAGCATCAAAGCAAGTCAATGCCTCCGTCACCGGTATTGATTTGGTCAAGGTATATGACGGTGTTGCCCAAGAGATGCGACAATATCATCGTGCAATACAGGCCTCGAAGAAGCAGTACATGCAACAGGCCTGTTACAATGCGTTTTTAGTGGCCTACATGCAAAGTTGGACTTTAGTACTATTTTTTGCGGGCTTCTGGTTTGGTCTCTGGTTGGTCACCAAGGGATTGAGCGCAGCGCAAATCCTCACTACTTTCTACGCTACTTTGACTGCATTGCAAGGTCTCTCGAACATCATCCCTCAATGGCTGGTTCTACTTAAGGGCATGTCTGCTGGTCAATATCTGTCTCAAATGACAGAAAGCTCTCGAAATCTAGCATCAAAAGAGACGGAGAACGGTCTCCTCAAACCACGTTATTGTTTAGGCGAAATACAAGTCAAGGATGTACGAGAAAAGCCCTTTTAGTCTACGAGTGTTCAACTAACATTTACAGATTAGTTTTGCTTATCCAGCAAATGCGCAAAAGCAAGTACTTACAAAAGCCTCGTTTCATTTCCCTGCCGGCAAGACTTGCTTTATAGTAGGCAAGAGCGGCTCGGGGAAGAGTACATTAGGTGACCTTCTGGTCAACTTTTATGAACCTTCGTCTGGGCAGATTCTTGTTGACGGACAGCCAGTAGAAGATTTGGACAAGATATGGCTTAGAAAGAATGTGACATTAGTCCAGCAAGCCAGCGTTGTTTTCCACGGCACATTTCTCGAAAATATCACCCTTGGCCATGTCTCTCCTACACATGTATCCATGGACGATGCGAGAAGAGCCTGTGACATGGCTCTCTTGCAGTCTACAGTGGCATCTTTACCCATGGGGATGGCCACTGTCATTGATTCAGTTGGGAGTGGGCTTAGTGGTGGGCAGAAACAGTGCCTTGCACTCGCAAGGGCAAGGTTACGGGACCCTCCGATTCTCATACTCGATGAGGTCACAAGTGGCTTGGATCAAACAAGCAAGCATTTGATAATGGAGGCAGTTCGCACCTGGCGGCAGGGTAAAACAACGCTCATCATTACTCATGACATATCTCAGGTAGAAAAGGAAGATTACGTCTACGTCTTGGAAGACAGCCGTATTGTACAGGAAGGCACCTGTGGAAACATATCGGAGGACTCAGACGGTGCTTTTGTGCATCTTTCTTTGGCTCATGATGAAGCTGCACTGGACAAGGGCACCCTTGGTACAGTAACCAGTGATGCTGGCTACAATGCAAGCGAGCTAGACGCTTATTTTATGCGTCATGAAGTCACAAGAGGACTCTCTCAAAGAAGCTTTCACCATATGCATTTGGAGAAAGGAGCTGCCTCCCTATGGCCTAGTTTAACTGAGACGAGCTCAGCATCCACCAGCAGACGGGATTCAAGTATAGCCTGTCGAGATTCACGTGTTAGGTGCAGTAAAATGATTCTTCCGCCAACAGGTCCCAACGAGCTAGAATGGAAGGTCAACACGAAAACAGACTGGCAATCCAAGATACCCACAACCTCTTGTCGCTCATTCATGGAAATGATTCAAATTTCTGGACAAGCTGTGCGAGTATCAAGAGGAATATCTGAGCGTATGAAAAATGTTCCGAACTATTCTCCAGCTGCCAGTCCTGAGAATCAAAGAGAGTGTGGAAGAACATATGGCAAACAAAAAGCAGGAGCTGTTAAGGACGAGACACAAGAAGTTGAGAACATCCCCCTCGGTGCCATATTTCGAACTGTCTGGCCGCATCTATCTGCAAGAAGCCGGGTCAAGCTGATTGCGGGTGTAATTTCCTGTGTAATAGCTGCTGGTTGTAATCCTGTCTTCTCCTATTGCTTCGCTCGACTCCTCGCTCAATTCTGGGAGGCTGGAGATCGACAAGCCGCCAGTCAAAAGTGGTCAACTTACATGATCGGAGTTGCCGTCGTAATCGGAGTCAGCATGTACCTTCAACGGTTTTTCATGGAGGCTGTAGGTCAAGCCTGGGTCGACTCTCTCCGCCTAGAAGGAAAGAAGCGGGTTCTCCTGCAGCCGAAATCATGGTTCGATAGGCCTGAGAACTCATCCAGTCATATTAATGAGTGCCTCGACGGCGATGCAGAAAGAATGAGAAGTCTAGTCTCCCGCTTCATCCCCATCAACATAATGTTGGCTGTGATAATCGGTGCCTCGACAACCTGGGCTTTGACAATATCTTGGAGGTTGACACTGGTTGCAATTTCTACAACACCAATCATTTTGGGTACGATCAAGTTGCTAGCCAATATAAATGACAAATGGGAGTGGGCTTGCAGTCAGGAAGCAAACAAAACTGCATCGCTTATGCGAGATGTTTTAATCAACATCCGAGTAACTAAAGCTTTCACGTTGGAAGGCTACTTGAGCCAACGTCACGGCGTGTCAGTCAAGTCGACGTATGAACTCGGGCTGCAAAGGGCCTTGAGAACAGGACCACTTTTTGGTTTGAGCCAGTCAACAAGTTTTTTTGTCATCGCACTCGTCTTCTGGTATGGTAGCTACCTTACTACTAATCATGGCGAGATGTCACCAGGAAGCCTCCAACAAGTCGCTAATCTGCTTCTTTTCTGCGTTGGCCAGGCAAGCACATTAATTAGCATGATGCCACAAGCCTCGGTCTCGCAAACTGCGGCAACCAAGTTGCTGCGTTTAGCCAACACAGCACTAGCAGAGACGCCTCAGCCTGTCGAGACTCAAGGTCTCAGCTCGTTGTTTCCGATCATCATCCGTAACCTTGAATTTGCATTTCCGTCTCGTCCTACGCACCAAGTCTTGCACAATATCTCTTTCAGCATAGAAGCAGGAACATTCACAGCCATAGTTGGAGCTTCAGGGTGTGGCAAAAGTACTATCATCGCTCTCCTTCTGGGTTTATATGAACCATCTCAACGACCTTGGGCAGTTCGAGGCCAGGAGGCAGGCGTTACCTGCGCTGGAATCAACTTGCATCGTACCAAATGGTCACAGGTCTGCTCACTGATCTCCTTTGTACCGCAAACCCCATTTCTTTTTCCTACATCGATTGCGGAGAATATCGCTTATGGACTGCCGGATACATCTGTGTTGCGTCACCACGATAACTTGGAAAAAGCCGCTCGTGCTGCGGATGTTCACGACTTCATCATATCACTACCCCAAAGGTACAATACTATTGTTGGCGAGGGGGGCCAAACTCTTTCAGGAGGTCAGTCACAACGTATCTGCATAGCTAGGGCGCTGGCAAGGAGGCCACGACTGTTGGTAATGGATGAGCCGACAAGCGCACTCGACGGTCAGACGGCAGGCTTTGTCCGAGAGACGATTAGAAGAGTGCTGGAAGACCAGAAGGCTTGCGAGATGAGCGTGCTGGTCGTGACGCATGATAGGGAGATGATGCGTATGGCTAATCGTCTCGTCGTGGTAGAAGACGGCCGAGTTGTAGAAGAGGGCAGCTTCAAGACGTTGATCCTCGGGGGAAATGTGTTTCCCAAGCTCATCGAGGGAGTTCTCTAGATAGAAGTGACTGGTCCAGTGGAAAGTGCATATATTCTAAGCAATGACTGATAAGTCTTTATCGTGGATGACTGAGTCTTTTTTGGTTATTGAACCATGCAATAGACTGATTCTGGTCGTAGCTGTGTTAATAAGAACGCCAGAGGTAACAGTACTTGTTGCAACCCCTTTACAGCAAGATATGTGAACTGGTGTACAAAGCAAGGCGTAACACCTCCCCGCCCATCGTGACTAGTTGTTCTTCTGTTTGCACACCCCCCAGATGATGCTTCTTTGCTTACCTGCCCGAGTCACAGAGCCCCCCCATGCTAGGCACGCGTCTTGGTCAAAGACTGAAAGGCGAAAGTAAAAATATAATGGTTGCTTCGCATGCCTATCACATGACCGTCAAGGAAGTAGGCCTTATTCGACCAACCCATTCTCACGACTCGTCCCAGGATACTAGATTTAGAGTCAAGAGAAAATAAGTCACCTCACAGGCATCTTTCCCTCCAAACCAGAGGAGAAAAGTCCTCACTCAATCCCTTCTGCCTTCTTTCTTCACCCACTTTCCCTTCTGTTGGCAGTGTCAAGCTTCCAAGAGCCTGGCATTGCGGTCGGTCCTTTTCCATTCGAACGGGTTTTCCTTCTTTGGCTAAAGTTGAGCCATTGCTATACTCCCTTGGTAGGTCATATCTTGTTTTCCTCGGCTTACTTATCTTGCCTAACCCTCGGCGTGTCTTGCGATATTCAGGCAGGAATTGCGGAAATATTTCGTCGTCAGTCTCGCATACATAGCAGCCATCATGGAGCGACCAAATGAAGAAGAAGAGACTGGTCGTCTGCGTATTGTCTTTGTCACTCAGACTCGCGATGTTGACAACGCTGAGGCAACGTCAGCGAAGGTTGGCAAGTGGCATAGCGGCGGCACGATCGAGACTCGTATCCGAAAGACCTCTGGTGAGTATATGAATTGTGTCTCATATTCTCTTCAGTGACGTTACTTACAAGAGATGTTAGCCACTATGGCGGCCACAGAGATGACTACACCGAAGCCTAGCACCACGTCCACCCTTGAAGACATGACCACATTCTTCACCACAGAGGCAAAGGCTACGTCGACTGTAGCTTCTTCGAGCCAGTATAATAGTACCACTCGCTCAGAAACATCTGGTGCTCCCTCGCCTGACGGAAGCTACATTGTCATTAAGACCACTACACTCATCGCCGTCATAGGCGGTATTGTTGGTGGTTTCATTCTTTTATGCATCATCGTTGGCATGGTCAGTGCTTTCTTGCGCCGGAAGCAGGCTGAAGAGGAAGATTCCAATGATCTTGACGGAAGACAAGGCCAGAACACTCAGCTTCCCCAGTTTTCACCTATCTACGGCCAGTTCGCCCCCTCGCAAGATGATTCAAGTTTTCCATTCGACAACGATGGCAACCATCCTCGCTCTCAGGAGTGGCACCAGATGCGACGCATCGCTGCGCAGCTCCCTGCGGAGTCGTATGTCCAGCGTCTTCGGAATGCAAACTGAAAATGACTGCCTCGCTACCAAGCGCCGCTTTATGTTATGTTCTGATGAATAATGGTGATCTGGGCGATGAAAGGAGGGGACTGGAAATTACATCGGGGTACTCTTTTAACACCAGTTAGTGGAGTTGACGTCATCCCCGTCTAATTGTATGAGTACCTTGAGTAGCCCAAGCGTCAACAGCAGCCATCAGCGCATCCGATGCTTGGGAAGTGGATATAAGGTCTCAACTGCGCAGGGGACCAAAGCAAAGGACAGGGATTCGTTGCCAACAGTGGACAGTGATAGTTACGGGAATAAATGATGATTAATTCGTCTCATGCACTTAGAATTCCGTCTTCCTCATGATAAAGCCATACTCACTCGGAATTGATATTCTTTCCCCTCGTCCCGACCCTAGTTCATCTTGTTGCGTCTTGCCCAGGCCAATGGTTCAATATCACAATCACATCAGCAGCAAGTATTGCCGATAGCCGATCCGCGTACATGTCTCATTACCCATGTGCCGTCACTAAGGCTGCATGCCCAACCCGTCTAGGCGTTCGGGAATAACATGGGAACAAGACGAAAGCTCGTGTACATGCCGTTTTTTCCCCAGATGGGTAGGATAAAGTGCACCAAGCGGGGAAGTCGGACGGACGGACGATTCAGGTGCTCGCTAAAAGAGCTAGCTGACTTGCCCCAGATGACCCATGGCTCTTGGCAGCTTGGAGGAGGGGGGCTTTCCTAGCTGAATCCGATGGTTTCCATTCTTATAGTTTCGGCCTGGCCCTCTCCAGCCAGTGGCATCCTGATGTGAATGGGGTGTGTCTTGCATTTCAAGCATTAAACTAGGAGAGCGCGGCATTCGTGTGACAGAATTGGTATGGATAGCCCACCGGTGACCTACATCTTTCCAACAGACCCTACGGGAAAGCCCATGGTCCTCCTCTTACTACCTGCTAGCCCTTGTGTTTCCTAAGTCATCCCGTCTGGCATTTGCGGCCGGTTCAGTACGGTACTTACATCATGCCGAGATTTGTTTCGCCGAACTCGAGACTAAGATTCGCGGGGTATCTCTGCTAGGAATCATAGATCATTCTGACCCCCCTGCTGTTAGTATGCGCGTGCCAGGCACGGTGGGTAAACAAGAACTTGGAGGTATCTGTTGGCAGTGCTCCGTACGGTACGAGGGTAACGCCGGCTTTCCTCCCGCCTCGAGGTTCCGTGTGCCAAGCATCGAGCCTCCATTCTCCATTCCAATCAAACATCTAGGACCCTGACCGCTCAAAGACCAGGGCAGAGCACAGCCGAACGGGTCTCTTATTCCCGTTGATCTAGTCCGCATATCCGGTCCTATAATATAACGTCCTCCAGCGCCTACGATACTGGCTCCAGGATGTCACTTATTTCTCCTGACTCTGCGCTTTTTTTTTTGTTCAAGAAAAAAATCTTTTCGCCTTTGCGGTGGAGGCCATGGATTCTGGGGCTATCAAAATTTCGCCTGCAGATTCTTTCTGACTAGGTAGCCAACGCCTTTAGACTGTCGTTGTATCTACACCTCTATATCGACCATGTCGAAGTCAACAACACACGACATCGAAAAGACGCCGCGAGGCTCTGGGGTTGCAATGAATCTACCGTCACGTCCACCTAGCTCCTCTCAACTTGGCCCAGATACCCCTCGTCTTGACAGCCGCAGCCCCATTGTCTATCGTTATCTGACATTTGAAGCCATTATTCCTGAGCCCGCACTTTTCGAGTTGCCAGAGCCACAGTCGCTACCACCCGCACCGGATCTGACTCGTTTCACCTCTCCTCTAGAATGGCCGCATTCACGCAAGTATCTGCTGCTGGTGCTCTCGTGCATCGCCACATTCTTGACTGCCTACACCGCTGGGTCTTACTCGCCACCAGCGGCCATCATGGCCCATGACCTAGATTCAACCCGCCTGGCGATGCTCGCCGGCATCACCACCTTTTGTATAGGTTTCGCACTCTCGCCCATGGTTTTGGCACCTTTGTCGGAATTATACGGGAGGTATCCAGTTTTCGTCATATCGGGAGTTGTTTACGTCGTGTTTCAGGCCGTTTGCTCTGTGGCACCGAACCTCGCAGCCATGTTGATCGCCCGCTTCCTTGTCGGTGTCGGCGGCTCTGTTTTCAGTTCCGTCATAGGCGGCGTCATAGCAGACTTGTGGGAAAAGGAGCAAAGAAACACTCCTATGGTAATTACTGAAAGCTTACCGCAATGGGATAACAAATTAACACCTTCTCAGGCGATATTCAGCGGTGCCGTTCTGGCAGGGACCGGGGCAGGGCCGTTAGTTGCCTCTGTTATGGTAAAGCGCATGGGAGCCAATAACACGACAATGGCATGGGTAAGATTTTTCGATGCTTTCTATCTGGCGTACACATCCATGGTAACATCTTTCTTGTTTTAGAAATGGATCTTCTGGCACCAAGTCATTATTGACACTGTCCTTGTCATCGCGCTCGCCGTTCTTTTTAAGGAGAGCCGTGGTTCAGTCCTACTTTCGAGGAAAGCCAAAGCCATCAACAACTGGTATGAACAACTCGAGGCGGCTGGACACTACGGATTCTGGCTTCAGGACTCAACGAACAATGATGCCACGGATACATCCTCAGATACCGACACGCAACGATGCTCTTGCTCCGGACCTGAAAAAGCATCAGCAACATGCCGATCCAGTCCTCGTTGCTCCACCCAACTATCGCTGCAAAGACTGCGGTGGGTTGTAACGGAGGACGAGGAGAGAGCATCTCTAGTCACCATGATCTCGGTTTCAGTATCTAGACCGTTCCACCTACTGTTTACGGAGCCAGTGGTCTTCTTCTTCTCTATTTGGTGTGCATTTGCGTGGGCTGTCTTGTACTGCACCTTCGGAAGCATACCGCTTGCCTTTTCTAGGACGAGGAACATGGATATTGAGCAATCGGGCTACTTTTTCACGGCGATGATTGTTGGCTCTGTTGTAGCCACTATCGTTGGAGTGCTGCAAGACGAGTTATTGAAGCTGCCCCAGTGGCGTGCTGATGTTGCCCTCAAGCATCCGTCTCGGTTTTGGCTCTTTATGCGGCGGCGTTTTCCTGCCGAAGCCCCAGAGTCGCGTCTCTACTTTACTTGCGTTACGGCCACATTGTTGCCCGTTGGCCTATTCATATTTGGTTTCACGGCTCGCCGGGAGTACCATTGGACTGCACCCGCTTTCGGCATCGGATTCGCCACCTGGGGAATCTACTCAGTCTATTTGGCCACGTTCAACTACTTCGCCGATATCTACCATAAGTTCGCCTCCTCAGCGCTAGCAGCGCAGTCTTGCTGTCGTAACATACTGGGCGGTATCTTTCCCCTCGTCACGGGGGCATTATTCACCAATCTTGGCGAGGCTCGCGCGGGGGCTTTGCTCGGGGGCATCGCTACTGGATTAACCATCATACCATGGGCCCTCGTCATATTTGGTGAGAGAATCCGAGCCAAAAGCAAATTTGCCATTGTGAGTTGTTTCGCTCTCTGTTGTGTTAAAGATCAGTGAAACTAATAGTGGGCGACCAAGAATCTGGAGCCACAGAGGTGAGCATGGTTCTACACCAACGTTCGACGTAGCCGCGCTCAGCTCGTACCACACCTACCGACATCGCTGGGCGAATTCAAGGGTTGAAAGGTCAAAGTATGAAAGGGCGTGGTGAAACAACGCAAAACACCGATCTTCCTGACAGCTTTTCGTGAGCGATGGTCAGTTATGCATAAACAGGATAAATCATAGCAGTTACGCCAACTACATGACGACAGAATCGCCGGTGACGGCATCGTATATATAAATGAGCATATCTCAAAAGTGCTCTGGCTTTCAGCGGGACGGCTATTTGGGCCAGTACCGTGGTTGTTATTAATGAGCAAGCATACAATGCAAAATATAGATGTAGATATCAAGCATAATATATGAGATTCAGCATGCCCAAGAAACTCTAAGCATCATGGTCGAATGTATCTATAAATGCCTGTTGATTGATTATCTGTGTATATGTTCTATTGTTACTTGGCGGCCATTGTAATCTCATTTAGTCTACATCATCATCATTTGTCTCGGTCTCGTGTGAAGCAGGCCCCATTTGCTTTCTAGCCTCATCAAGGGCTTTGGTCTCGTCGTGGGCGTTGTGGTGGTCTTCGGAGGACGAAGGCAGGTCACCAGCCTTGGGCCCTTCCGCTCCGGCCTTGATCGAGCCGTCTTCATTGATGTCGGCTTGGTAATGGATGGTGAACAGAATGACAAGGTAGACCTGGTCGGTCGAGCGGTTCCGAAGAACGTATCTAAGCTGGTGTGAGCGCTTTGGCTCTCCTTCCCTGCGCAGAGTAAGAATGACATGAGAAAAGAACAAAGAAAATTCGGACACTCCCTTGGCGCCATGTTGCTGAATTTTGCTCCCGTAGTCAATAGCAAAGTGCCGGGCGGGACTGAGCGCGATGGACTGGACAGTGACGGGGGTAGACTCGCATATGAACACACTAAGGATTTCCGAACTGGAAGATAGGGAAGGAGAATGCTCACCGTAGGCCTTGTCCGTCCCAGTATTTCATAATGGCCAGCTGGAAGCCAGGCAGGCGGAGCGAGAGGTTCGAGAAGTCAAGGTACGGGTTGAAAAAGTCCATGCCGTAAGTCTTCCCGTATTCAAACAGCCACTGCTCCTTGCTGTCTTTCCTGAGCGCCCATTTCATGCGCTCCTTGGACGTGGTGGGTGCCCCGATCTTCTCTCTCATCTCCATACCGTCGTCGTCGCCTCCCTCTTCAAACCAGAGGCCACCTTTTTGCTCATCATAGGTACCAGCACCCGCATGGACTACATTAAAGGAACTCAAGGCTGGGCCGTAGAGATACGGGGTATCAGCGTACGCGTCGCCCTCTAGACCGGGGTCAATCCACCACTTGACGATGTTCATGGCCGTGTTGAAGCCGGGAGGCAGACGGTCTCTGATAGGATGATCAAAATCATTGCCGAACTGAAGGTCAGCGGCAGAAATGCCCTCCCCCGTGGCACCTTCAGGCTTCTTAGGTGTGAAGCGGAATGAAATGCTGTACTGGTCATTGTTGGTCGCATGTGGCTCGGTGGAAAAATAAGACGATGTCTCGGGCGACTGGCGGGGCAAACCAGCGTATTTCTGTATCCGCACATTGAGTTCAATGTCGGCCAATTCAGTGCTGATCTTGATGGGCTGTGGCTTGTTGACGGGTACTTCGACTTGTGAGTCTGCGTCGTAATTTGGGCCAGCTGTGACCCGCAGGATATACTTGTCAGTCATTGTGAGTTGAATGCCTTTCTTAAAAGGATTAAATGCAAATGAGTTTCAATATGTTCTTGGGCGTTCTTGAATCAGTCGGTCAAACAGTTGCTACTGATAGTTAGGAGCGGTGGTGGTCTTGATCCGAATTTGGACCTGGATGACGATGCAAGAGGTGCTAGAGTCGCAGAATGTGCTGTAAGGTTTCGAATTGTTAGCTTTGGTGACCAACACGCAATGATCGGTATGGGCGCTGTCGTCGGAAGACGTAGGCTGGCAGGGTAAAGTGATGATGATAAAGGATGAACCGATTTGTAACGTACTTCGAGTGTGGTTGCAATTGAGGTGAACAATGAAAAGGTAAGAGTGGGTGTCGTCTCAAGGTGTAGAGCCTTGGCAGAAGACCAAAGTTTTGAAACTGATCCTCAACCGTGTGTTTCGAGGTAGGAGAGACCTTTTAGGCTGAGGGAAGCTATGGCGCCTCAAAGGAATAAGGCTTAAAAAATGGGGGGGACAGGGAGCAATGACGTTGGTATGAGAGACTAAAATAATGCACTATACGAGCGTCAGAGCAGGAAGTGACAGTGATCTGCCTAGGTTACCTCACCCAGCTGGCTCAAAATTGCACGTGAAGAAGGTCTTTTGATTAAAGCGTCATAGAACCTCCAGAAAGCTTTAATCAAATCTGAATTGAGAATGATTGTTCCGGGACGAGGTGTCGGATGAAAACGGGGCACGATAAACAAGAAGAAAAATGGCGTGGAAAATTGAATTGACGAGTGCGGCGCCAATCGCCTCTCAACATGTGTTTAGCGGGGTGGCGGGGCTACAGTTGTCAAGCTCAGTTCGAGCATTAAAGAAGCAGGAATCTATCTAACCACGAGGGAGATCAAGTTGGGCGGAAATAATACACCACTGAAAGGAACTAGACATAAGATAGCATGCGTTTTCTTTAGATTCCTTCTTGCCATGTTCAATGTATACATTAGATTTCGTTAAGGCATCAATACTGCAATATCAATTGTGCGTGATCCATCATGAGTACCCTCTGCGCTGATTTGGTCAGTCTCGAATAAGCGAGTCCATTGCAGTAGTCAGAACATCGAGGTTCTCTCCGCTAAGGAGCTATGAACTCGTCAATATTCACTCGCTCAAAGAAACTGATATGGCCAAAAGTGACCCAGTACTGAGCAAGCCGGTTATGCGAAATAAGCATGAGCTGGGACTCGATGTATCTGTCTAAAAGACGCAGTGCGGTTAGCTTATGTAAAAAGTCAAGATTGGAAGGGCGTTTTCTTCTTCCACAAACCTTCCAGAAACCCAGTACCCGCCACATGCCCTTTGCTCCTTACAACCCGCGTGCCCTGAAATGGGGGTTCTTGGGCCAAACCAACGAAACCGGCGTCGCCCAGATCGTCCGCAACGAAAGTATACTCTCCTCGTGGCACATTCGGGTCCCCGGTAAGCTTGATCGCCTCAAGACGACCTCGGTGCACCCTCGCTTCTGTACGACGGTGTGCCCAGTCGTTGTCAGATTCATCGGCGCCGCGTACAAGGCCAAGTTCGTCATCAGAGACTTCTTCATCGTCTGGCTGATTGATCAACAAAAATTCGCAGCCATGCCCGCTGTAGTCCCCAACCCAGATACCGCGCCACGGTTTGAGCGGTGTGGGAGTGTACACGACAGGATCAAGTGTTGAATATGTCACCACTTCTTCGCCGATGTGTACGCCAGGTACACCTCGCCCCCCAATCGCCATGTTGGCATGAATCGCCCTTATCAGGCCAATAGGGCCCGCGCCCACCAACATACCTGGTCTTGGAGTGCCTGCCATCTCCATCCACTGCCGGATTCGGAACGCTTGATCCGATGCCTCGGCTCGCTGCGTTGGTAAATCGGTGGGTGAAAGACCAGCATCCAACCCCGAGGCGATACCGGCTACACGATGCCGGGCAGGTATGGCGGGAGGAGGCCACACGTTACCGTAAGGAAACGGTGTACCCATCTTTGAAGTAGCCGTTGCCGCATCCAGCGGCCGAGCCATTAGGAAGTTGCTAAACATAGCATCTGACCGATCATCAATTACCATGGGCACCTCTGCAGCAAACCGACTTCTCATAGCCTCGTAAAATGCAGATCCATCGTCGCGGTCACGTACGTGAAACTGAAGCACCGGTTTGTCGAGATGTAATTTGACACGAGGTTCAAATGCATGAATCATGACGCTAGTATCGGCAGGCCAGTGCTGGTATGTGGTGCGGTTGCTGATAGCCAAGAGCTGGTAACCTTCGATACAGCCCCTCCGCTGGTCATACCTCACAACGATCATCTTGCCCATAAGGTCTCGGTCGCAAAACCATATCTTGTATTTCGGCAAAAACCACCTCGGGTCATGTGCAGCGTACAGCTCGCGGTACGAGCTGCACGGGTATGGTGTCTCTAGCTTCGTTCCCGGTACGTTGACTTGGACTCTTTGATACCAGTGAACGTCGGATGTAGCATGCGCATGAAGACTGCGGCAAGTTTCGGATACGATTGCCAAGTCGCAAGGTGGCAGGTAAGCAAGAATCGTGTCTATGAGCTCGGATGGGAGTGAGAGGAGTCGGCAGCCATCGGTGGCAGGCGGCGAGTGCGCGTCTAGCACGGACAGGAAAAGTCAGACAACGTCACAAAAGCGGCATATTCGAGATGTCGAGCAACCAACCAGAAACTGTGCCGAGGTTGAAACCAGCGGGGAGAGGATAGTATTCGCCTTGAGATGATCCGATTGTTTTCCGGCGATCTGTTGCGTCGTCGCGCAAGCCCTCATCGGAGACATAGGGTAGAATATAGAGGTTTTCTTCAACCTCAGGGTCGATGCCGCCATAATTGCTGCTCGCATTGGAAGCAGTGTCATGAGCAGGTGCCGCTAATTCGGTGGTGGAGTTGGTCGGGGAAAGATTAGAAGCCATTTTGCCAAATTCTTCCATGTCTTTGCGCACGCAGAATGGAAATGGCAAGGGACCCCAAGTTGTAATGGCTGATCAGGGCCTAAGTTGTCGTGCGGCGACCAAGATAGAAAGAGGATTGGCAAGGCAGCTGCTACGTCTGGCGGTTGTGGGTAGATGCCGACATGCAAGATGGTCTTAGTAGATGTAATAAAACAGACGTCTCCTAATCAGTAAACTAAACTGTATCAAGCCATTCAGTCTACAGGGCGGCTGACGGTTGTTTTGAGGATAGGTGGCTTATGAAAACGAGCAAACCATGTAGGTTGGCATTGGGAAAGAATGATGCATAGAGGACGTGGAGTCGTCAGTGTTGGGGTCATGACTCCAGACTCGGGTCTCCACGTCTCCGACAAACCGGGGTGCGAGTGTGCAGTCAGTTCAACATGGACGTGTTTGGGCCAGAAGTTCCTTGTCGTTACTGTACTATGTAGTAAACCCCGGTTTCGGTATGCCAGGAGCTTGGTAAGGTATGCTGTAAGGTGTGCCGCCGTTGTCGGGGCGCGACTAATGCAGTGCCCGACGGATGGGATCTGGTATTCGGAAGAGGAAGGCTGTTCGGGGCGTTGCATGAAATGGATGCTGGGGTGGAGGATATGCATGCCGCTGCACTGTACATTAAGTAGGGTATGGCAGGCACGTTCCTTGTCGAGGGGCATCAAGCACGGGGCATCGGGAGCCGGAAGCAGATTGCGGGGAGCTGGTGGCTAGCGGTGGGAGTGAGCTTTCAGGTGTCTGTCTACCTTCGATGTGGGTGGTGGACAAAGTGAGCAGCCGTCCAATCACTACTACGTTGTACAGTACACCTTGAGAGCGCTCGCTTATCGGACGTATAGCCGATAGACGCAACAACGCCTAGCCTACGATAACGCCATCGATAAGCCCTGGTTTATCAGGGCGGAACAATCTACTTGGAGCAACACCATCAGCTGTTGGACGTGAATGAAGGCTGCCCAACTTTTGGATTCCACATCTTAGCCTCGACTAAATAGGATGTTATCTCGAGTCTGGGCCTGGGGGCATTCCTCTTATTCGTGCAGCTGCAGCCTATCAGTCCACCACCTCACGCTGGCCAAGCCGGCGCTTCTTGCGTTTTCCAGCCGACGCTGTTCAAAAGGACCTGGCCAAGACCTGTTGGATAGGAACCTTTGTGAGGAGCGAAGAAGGCGAGATAATTCGCTGGCACAAATGATACTTTTGGTCACATCATGACTCAAGGGGGGATTGCGGGCATCATCCGACGTTCCTTGCATTTAAGGATATGGAATAAATGGATATGACAGCACTATATTCAACATGACCCTCGTCTGCTTACCTTACTTACACACTTATGGTGATATTAATGGACGTCAAGGAACAGTTGCGAAACTGCCTACCCGATTAGGTAGGCACTCAACGCAGGGTGGTGGGGTCCCTGGGTGTTCTCCTTCCTCGTAGCACCTTCCTCGCCACATGGTAGGTACGCCTGGCAAAGTACCACGACAATTCGTTACAATTGCCTCAGATGCAATGAAGTAGGCGCCTCTCACAGCGTCACTCACCCATCATCGCAAACGTCGAAGCAAAATCATCTCATCTTTGCTTTTCTGTGTTCTATTCCTGCCTTACTTGAGCAACCTCGCCGACTGGATACAGCTGGCAGTTGTCGCGTGCTTCATACGACCGACCCATGCTCTTCAGCTCGCTTCAATCCCGCTTCTTGCCTTATTCATCTCCGAAACGATGCGCACCTGAACCATTCATTTTCGGCATCGACCTGGAGCATGGGCAGCATTGCCTCGTCTATACTATCTCTATAATCGAACACTGAAATCCGACGCATAGTCTACTCTGCTTCCATCAACCAAAGCGGCCACGCCCAATAGAAAAGCAAATCACACCGAGGCAAAGCAAGTAATCAAACCCCCTCGTCACATCGCGTCGGCCTTGCGTTACCACATATCACACTCACCAACCGCTCAGCTCAAAAGGCACCGACTATGATTTGGTCACTGGCATAGCCGTACTTGGGAACCCAGCCATTCGCTAGAGTCATTGCCGGAGTGCCCACTTCACCTTCCAACCCGTCCGACGTCTCCTTCCTACTTGGTGATAGCTTCCGTCCGCCGCTGGAGGGCTGTCCTGACCACCAACCCTGACCCGACCTCACTTGCCATCTACAGAGCACGCAAAGGCAAGCTAGCTAGGACCCTGCCAAACCCTCCCAGACCGCTTTCTATTATTCCAACAGTGAGCTGCTGCCGGGTCGTCGGACTCCCGCTTGGCTCCCTGCAGGTGACCATGTCCTCTTTGATCCCACTCATCAACGACTTGCTGCCTATGATCATTTCGTCCTCCTCGGTTCACATCACAAAAGCAAACACCCTCCATGGGCCCGATGCAAGTCCGGATCAGGGTCTCAATAAGGAGGCTGATGCCATAGTTGGCAAAAGCGATAAGCTCTGCGCCTCGGGTAAGTTAGCATGGCAGCTGCCTAGCAATACCAAACCCTTCTCTTCGCTTATAATGCTTTCCATGTGTAACTATTTAAAGCAGTTTTGACGCTCCAACCGCACGCTACATCCTCTGTACGTCATCACGGCGAGCAAGGTCAGGACCGGCCCCATCCTTCCCTTTTCTTTCGCACTCCCTACCTTACCATACTGCCACCTGCGGAAAGGTCTCTAATGTGTGCCAAGATACCATTGTTTACACAGTCTCCGGGATCGGAGTTTTACTTGTTAGCCCCGGCGCAGCGCAAGAAGCCAAGCGCCATGATATGGAGCCAGGAGACTTTGCCTTCATTCCGGCCTGGACGGAACACCAGCTGCTCAATGAGACGGACCAAAATACCGTGTGGGTCATCACGCGCAGCGGCTCGCAACCGGTGGTGGTAGGCTTGACGGATTGGGGAGGTGACCAAGCCAAGTAGTTTCTGATGCTGGATTGCGCTTTACAACTGGCTCATTATTTCATCGCTTTGTGTGGGACTCCGACCCTTCAGAGGCAAAACACGAGTAGCCAACGTAACCTTCCTTCTCTCTATGGATAGCTCTGCCGTACGCTATAGCCCTCGACTGTTATTCTTCGCAATATCCTTGCAAAACGTCCACAATCCGCCTTCTGTCACGTTTCGAGTCAAATACCTGTGCGTGGTCTGTTTGGGGAAACCATAGCACGTCGATGTCTAACCCAGATGAACGACAATTCCCTTTCACCGAACCAGGTATTCCGGCAACGTTACAACGGACCTGCTGACCCTCGGCCTGTTTCCATGCGGGGTCGCCTTTCTGTTCATCCTCGGCCAAATACCTCGCGACAGCGTGGCTGTCGACAATCAAATCCTGCCCCGATAAGCACACAGTGACTCTCCTCGTTTTGTTTTGTCCATCACTCGCTACAATACGAGTATCTTTCTGGGATTGCGATGCTACACAGCGCCCGACTAGCTCCTCGGCCCAGATGACATTCTCTCTCCAGAAGAAGTACCTACCGAGGCAATGGGCAACCCCGGGGTCTGTACTTGCAAAATACCACAGTTGCCATTCGTTCGCACGATTTGGCCGACGCCGTGTGAAGTTGTATGCTACGTCAGGAAGATGCAGCAGTATGCTCACGGGGTCGATGAGCACTACTCGTGGAATCCTTGCTTCCATCTCTGGACACTGTATGGCATGAGTTGTTAAGACTGACCCGTAAGAGTGGGACACAAGAACAAACTTGTCCCATGAATGCTTATCAAGAATCTCTGTGAACTGCTGGAGAAACGCCTCCTTACTCAACGGTGGCTTCGTGAGGCGACTCGAGATTGGTAAGATCTCGAGGACTATGACCCCGATTTGACCATGGCCATGTCTTTTGGCAGCGCTGATCTCAGAGAGGAAAGAAGTGTATGGCCAGAGGCCGATACCGATGCCATGGAAGAAAACAATTGGCAGGCAATCAGTCCGCTGATGTGAGCGATGCCAGTAGCTTAATTCCACCGAAGAGCGGCATTGGGCTGTCAGTTGCTGGATTCGGGGCGGGAAAACAGTAAAGATGTCCTTCTTGGGCTGAGAGTAGTATTGAAAGCCATTTAAAACCATAAGTATATGAGTTATGAAATCCACGATGGCCACAATAATGTACCACCAGAAGCTGCGATATCTGGTCTCAATCTTATCAAAGGTGAGTCGGAGGCTTTGAACTCGGCCACGGCCTGGTTTAAATGGCCGGCCTAGCAGCTGCTCAATGCGAGTGATGTATTCGTCGGCTTCCTTGTCAACTTCAGTGCTGTCTGGAATAGCATGCTCTGGCCCAGAAATGGAATCATCGCCCCGGTCAAAAAAGGCCCAAAGTATGAAATCTCGAACATTATCACGGTGTATGTCGGCTAGCTCTGCCCCAAGAAACCAACCACGAAGGTAGGATTCCGGGTTCGGAACTGTAGCCATGCATCGATCAAAGAGGGCTCGGCGTGCGACCGGTGACATTGGGGCCGGGTGTTTCGCTGCTTCGCCTAATCGAGTTGTGTATGGCAACCAGATTAACAAGGCATACGCCAGTTCAACGACCATAAAGGCGAAGAAACAACGAGCAGCTGCTACCCAGTGAGTTCCTCCTTGGCCAAACTTGGCACCGGCTAAGCAGGCAGCAAGAGACAAAATATATGGGATAATCGGATATTGTAGCAACAATATGCATACACGAATAAAGACATATTCATGAAGTGTGCGGCCGAGCATATTGACGTTTTGGTATAAAAGTGATGAAAAAGGAAGTACAGGATTGGGATCCTGTCTTGGCGAATATTTCTGCCTACAGGAAACAGTCAAAGTGAAATGTCGTTTTGCAATGAAGAAATTGGCATGAGAAATTGCCGGGGAGGTTTGAAGACCGCCTTTCGTCGTGGCTCTTAACCCCAGCATTAACTGCCCCGTGATTTGTTGAGGTTCAATTGGAGGATTGCTGTTGGGGGGAGGTCAAGCATGGCACGTGCCTGAAGTTTGGGATAGGCTTCCAACATAATGTCGCCACATTGAATCTAGCGTCAAGTTTCTTTGGATCGTCTACAACAACATATACCATTGAGCATCGATTTCCAGGATCTAGATGAGTAACTTTCACCCGCTCCTCGTGATTTTGAATGCTTTGCTCCCTCCTGCACCTCATTCCCACTTTCATTACTTCTCATTTGTTAGTTTTCTCTGCCTTACATTGAAGTAACTTTGGCCTATAATGATTGAATGTGGTGTCACTTCTCTATCCAGGTGGATACTGGCATGGTTTTCGGAGATGGCGGGCCCAATTGGTGTTTCCCGTTTCCTTACGGCCATACTTGACATCATTCAAAAAGGGTTGTTGAAACTCCGTATCGTGTTCAGATTGGCTTGAGGCTTGGTTTCTCTTCATATAACAAGTTACGCTGCCACTTAACCTCATACTCTAATATCGGGGTGTATTCGCCCCTTCTATTCAGCCGGCGCAGATCCTAACTCAGTGTAGGTCGAAGTATATTACCCGGTCCCCAAATAGCATTGTGGTTTTCTCCAGAGCCGGAATCCCATTCTCGGCTGTCGTCTAGATATTAAAAATACAGTTGTCCCTCAGCAGCCGGCGGGGAAGTTTACGGCATTTGATTTAAGTTACTGCCAGGAGTTTTTCCCAATGGCCAGATAGTTGGCTTTGGCCAAGACTGCATGCATAGCCGCCGGCAGTTGAGAGGCTTAGACAAATTTGACTTCTATTACCCAAACTACTGAATTATGTTTGGAGGAATGTTCTTGATGCGTTGGCTACCCATATTCTTCCGTTGCTCCGGGTCATCTGGCGACAACTCTTAGAAGATAAAACGTATCCCATGGCGTGGCTGATTTGAACGGAATTGATCTCGTTAGAACTCATCTTATTTTACCGCCAGCAATCAATAAAGCAGTTTCTGTAACTCTCATTATAATGTTGCTACGTCTGGCAATCACTCTGCTCACGGGCTCCGCCCTAGCGCTGCCTGCCGCAGACCTGTTCGAGCGACAGGCAGACTGTAGCAAGGTCAAGACCCAAATACCAGCTGTCAATGATGCAAAGCTGCCAGACCCCTTTACTTTCGCCGATGGCTCCAAGGTTACGACTAAGAATGACTGGGCCTGCCGAGCGACTGAAATCCAGAACGCCTTTCAACAATACGAACTTGGAGACTTCCCGCCGCCGCCAAACAAAGTTGAAGCCTCGCTTTCAGGCAGCAACTTGAACGTTCGGGTTACCGTTGGCAGCGCAAGCATCAGCCTAAGCGCCGCCATCCGCAAACCGTCCGGAAATGGCCCCTTCCCAGCGATCATTGGCATTGGCGGTGCGAGCATCCCTATCCCAAACAATGTGGCTCAGATTACCTTCAACAACGACCAATTTGCTGCGCAAAACGGACAGGGAAGTCGTGGCCAAGGGCTCTTCTACACCCTGTTCGGCAACCAGCACAGCGCTGGAGCGTTGACCGCTTGGGCGTGGGGAGTTGGTCGTGTCATTGATGGTCTCGAACAGCTTGGCTCAGCGCAGACGGGTATAGACACAAAGCGCCTTGGTGTGACCGGCTGTTCCCGCAACGGCAAGGGCGCCTTCGTTGTAGGCGCCCTGGAGAAGCGAATTGCATTGACAATCCCCCAGGAATCCGGCTCTGGAGGTGCGGCCTGCTGGCGGATCTCTGACAGCGAGAAGAGTAAGGGCAAGAACATTCAGACCTCCGGCCAGATCATCGGCGAGAACGTCTGGTTTTCTCCCAGATTCAACTCGTGGGCCACTAAATCATCCCAAATCCCCGAGGATCATCATTTGCTAGCAGGCCTGGTAGCACCAAGAGGTCTGTATGTGGCGGAAAACGACATCGACTGGCTAGGTCCCGTTTCCACTACTGGCTGCATGAAGGCCGGAAGGCTCATTTACCAAGCCCTTGGTGTCCCTGAAAACATGGGCTTCTCTCTTGTCGGTGGGCACAACCACTGTCAGTTCCCCAGCAATCAGAACTCGGAGCTTACGCAGTACATCAACTACTTCCTGCTTAACTCAGGAACGAAACCCTCAATTATTGAACGCAGCACCGCCAATGTCAATGTTCGGGATTATGCCACGTGGACAGCCCCTACTCTCTCTTAGTTCTGCTAAATATGCATAGCTCCAAGTACATATAGCCGGACCAGAAAAGAGCTCAACCAAAGGCACATGAAAAAACGCCAGCCTGGAAGAAAATAGACATACATATTTGGGATTTTGTATCAGATAGCATCAGATCCAAAACCAAATGCGAGTACTTCCCTGGAACAAATTGTTTGATAAGTGAAATTGTCACCCTTGATTTCTGGAGATTGTGGTTTCTTTGCGCTACGATACTGGCAAGGAGTTAGCAAACAGGAATCTCAGGTCGTAAAGAGCGGGACTGATTGTGAATGCCGAGAAGACTTTCCGTAGCAACCTGGACCAACTGAGGCTAATGATGTAGTTACATAAGCTAGAGCACCACCGTGGCTCCCAATAGGTTCACGGGTACCCGTGCGTGTAAAATTTCACGGGTACCCGTGGAAATGACTAAGCAACCTGCCCACGTCAATGAACGCGTCTTGTGTCATACACCTTTCACGCGTTATTTGCATCCAGCACTTCAGTCATATATTCTTAAAAATGGAAATAGCTCTCAAAGACTCAATACTCACATTCCCAGACGACAGTCTCCCCCCTGAAAGCGATCATAAATCTCGCGATGAGCTTTTTATGTCAATCAACAACTAGGCGGCGACAAAGGGATACGTATTCACTACCGGGAGATCAACAAAGGAGAAAAGCGGACGACAGACGATTACATATTCATGCGATAGGTCGTGTCATCCGCCAAGCACATCAATAGCGCGGCAAAGGCAAACTACTAGTAGGGGGACTGGTTGTCAATTTTCCGTCCTTGCTAAGGAATCTTTGGATAAGAGCATATGGAGCTTGAGACACCGGCCCGATAAGCGTTTTTCTTCTCATAATCATCCCCCAAGCCAACATCCGTCTGCTCACCTAACGCATCGCAAGCTATCTGAGGAGGATCAAGCCAAGGTAGCCGGTCTTTCAAACGCTGGCGTCGCACCTAGGGACATCAGAACATATATACGACAAACGACAGACTCTATAGCAACCTAGCAGGATATCTATAATCATATTGCAGCCGCTAAACGAGATGTTCGTGAAGGGCAGACCTCGATCTATACACTTGCTAATCAACTTGATAAGGAAGGCTTCTGGAGTCGCATGCAGTTTGTACTAGATGGCCGAGTTACGGCTGTCTTGTTCGCTCATCCAGATTCCTTAGCCCTTCTCCAAGCCTACCCAGACATCATGTTACTAGACTATACCTATAAGACTAATAAGTATGGTATGCCACTTCTTGATATAGTTAGCGTCGATGCTTGCTAACGGTCGTTCTGTATTGCGTTTGCATTTCTTAGCGGCGAGGCAGAAGATGACTATACCTAGGCTTTGGAGCGGGTCAAATCCTTGTATAGTCAGTGCAACGCTAGCCTACCTGCGGTTATCCTCACAGATCGCTGCTTAGCATGCATTAACGCTGTTGCAACCATCTTCCCCTCTTCTACATCTTTGCTTTGCCTCTGGCATGCGAACAAGGCCGTTCTTCAACATTGTAATCCAGCTTTTGACTCTACTAAGCCAAAGACAGTCAACAATCCTACAGCGCTCAAACCTTCAACTCAGAGCTAGGAAGAATTCTATAACTCCTGGCATTCGATCATCAGCTCGCCATCTGAGGTGGTTTTTGAGGAGCGCGTTTCCCAGTTTGAGGAACGCTATCTTCTAGACTATCTCGAAGAAGTCGGCTATGTTACGTCCGTTTAGTTAAAACCATACAAAGAGAAGCTAGTAAAAGCCTAGGTCGATCAGCATACCTATTTTAGCAATATAGCTACTTCGCAAGTTGAGGGTATTTATGCACTACTTAAATCGTACTTGAAACGATCTATATTAGACCTTTTTGAAGCTTGGCAAGCAATAAAGCATGCTTTACTAAATCAGCTATCGGATCTAAAGTCAAATCAAGTTAAATAGCAAATACGGATACTAGTTAAGCTTTCAGGGTCAATGTACGGCGCAGTGCTTGGCTAGGTATCGCATAAAGCCTTGCGCAAAGTAGAAGAGCAACGGAAGCTACTTACGAAGAAAGACACAAATCCTTCTACAGCCTGTACGGGGACGTTTTCTCGAGTATATAGTCTCCCATGCTTATACAAATTAAAGACTTTACAAGAACAGAATCTTGTTCTTCTACGTGAGCACTTCCATGCATATTGGCATTTAAGGCGTGATGGAGCGTCGCAGCTATTGCTGGAGCCTTGCCAGCGCATAGAGCCCAGGTTGCAATTAGAGAATCCCAGTATTCCCAAATCAAGCACTAGACGAGAGCCTAGCGGGTTCGAAGTTGTTGAAGTTGCTTCACGGGCCCTAAGCAAATGCAGTAGGTGTCATATAGTTGGCCATACTATGACTTCAAAGGCGTGCCCTCTGCGATACACGCATTTATTGCCTGAACCGACACCTACTCCAGATCCAGCTATAGTATCAACTACGATATTTACCAAGACGACGACAGATACACAATGTCACAGTTCTTCCTGCTAGCACGTGGCTACAACAGGCAGAGGTCGGAACCGTGATAAGAACAGAGATGTAAATAGAATGATGCAGAAGTCAAACAAACGGTCACAAGGCAATAAACAACGATGAATTGATAAACGTAGGTATAAGCAGTTGGTCTTCTATTGAGTTGGTCTACTGACGATGATGCTGTCGAGGGCGTCTCTTATACGGGTACGGCCAGCACGTGAGATATCACGTGCCCCTGATGACTGTTCATAGAACTGTGACAGGTGCCCCTCCCAAAAAAAGACGATCGTCCCGATCGACAGTAAAAATGAAAACTAATTACATGAATTTGTCCCTTCCATTACCCATCTATCGCGAAGAATCACGACCCTGACGATGAAATCCTATCCTAATCGCGGTCCAGCATGTTACTAAAGCGGCTCTGCTTAGCCGGGCCTGCGATGTTCTCGGTGGCGACGCGCTTGTCGCCCTTCTGCAACTTGGCAACAGCTTCGCGCAGTTCCACGATCTTACCGCGGAGGGCTGCAATTTCGTCATCCTTGGTAGCGATGACGCGGTTGACCTCTGCGGCGATCATTTCCTTGCTGGCAGCAGTCGCTTCGAGTGCTTTGAGGCGATCGTTGACGCTCGCGACGTCGACGGTGGACTGGGCTTTCTCGTCGAGTTCGTTGAGGCGAGGGATGATCTCCTCGTTGACGCCGTCAACGATTTTCTTCACATTCTTGGTGACCGTCTCGTTCATTCCGTGAACGTCACCTTCGAAAGCCTGAAGCGCCTTTTCCATATTCTTGAGTTGCTTGCGAGCGGTTGTATCGGTGGCGGTCATGTAGCTGATATTCACGAGCGGGGGAACAGAGGAGGTCGGCTCGGTGAACAGCAATGAGGTGGCCCGCGATGGTACCGTTGACCTGACCGTCGCCAGTATAAAAGACGGTTGCGAGAACCTGGGCGCGGGACGGCAAGTGTTCCGTGTACGAGGCGTTGTTGTTGTACGCGGTGTAGGCGCGTTTGCAAGCGTCCTGAACGCGACGAATGAACAGGTTGGAGGAGGGGGTGGCTGGGCCGGTGAAGTTGTCGAGACAAGCCTCGATCTCCTCGAGCAACATATCGTCCGGGTAGAAGGCGAACGCGTCCTGGGCGCGCTTTTTAGCGTCTCGGACCTGGGTGCTATCGACCTTGGTAGCGGCACGCTTCTTCTTCTTGGGGGTGCCGGACTTCTTGCCAGCCTTGGCCTTCTTAGCCTTGGGGGCGGGAGTGGCCTCGACGGCTGAGGCGTCGGACTCCTCCTCCTCGCTGGACTCGTCAACTGGCTCGGGGTTGCTCTTCTTGGCCTTCTTCTTGGCCTTGCCCTTGCTGGTCTTCTTGGGCTGGTCTTCCTCGACCGTCTCGGTAGGTTCGGCGTGGGCTTCGTGGGCCTTGTTAGCCTCGTCGGCGTCGAACATGGTGGTGTCCTGCTGGTCACCAGTGTGTTCAGTGGCGGCCACGGTGATTTCCTCGGCGGCGCTCTCGCTGACGACGTGAAGTTCCTCGTCGGCCAGGCCGAAGTTGTCTCCGAGGTTCTCGTCGTCGGTCTGGGTCTCGTTGTTGCCTACGTCGCTTCCGGGGGCTGCGACGGAGCCGGTGGGGGTTTCGGCGATCTCGTCGGTGTCTTGGCGAGTGCGTTGGGAAGACATCTTCGCGTTCTTGATGTCGAATCTCGCAATTGGGACGTGTAGTAGTGGTAAGTTGAAAGTCTTGATGAGAATAGAAGGGGTTTGTGATGTGTTATGAAGTGGGAGATTTGTTGATTTTCTGTTGTGTGGGTGGAAGTGGGATTTATATAGTAGGAAAAGTTCACTTTTTGTGGTGGTGGTGGTGAAAGTGAAAAGGCAGAGTTTTTCGCTGCCTATGAGGCAAGTGCCTAAGAAGGGAAGGAACGAGTGTTTTGTGCGAAATTCCATTACGTTAACAAAGGGAATAATCTCGCTGATATCGCTTTATTAGGAATCAGCTGTTTTGTCGCAGAATAGCGACATTGTTCTAGTTGTTTCGTTGTTGGCGTCGCTTGGAGCGGTAGGTTGGTGTAACCTCCGCGTCGACGGGATATCTCGCCTCATACTCGTTGACGAGCTCTGCTGCGTTGGTCTCAAGCGATTCGCGAAGCTCCCAGGTGTCGAACCTTGCGGTAAATCCCTTCCAGCGAACGAGATATTCGATCCTTGGCTCGCGTTTTCTCCGGTTGATTCTGCGGCTTACAATGTGGTCGATTTCCCATTCTTCGCTGCCGTCAACCTCGATAGGTTGGGGCGGCTGTTGTTCACGGTTGAATGGGTCGTCTCCCTGGGCTGGCTTGTATAGCTGCGCTACCGATAGGATTGGAAAAATTCGCCAATGGGCCGGGAGGTCGACTTCGTAAGCTGTTGGGCTCACAATTCGAACGATTCGAAAGGGGCCCATACGTCGTGACGTCCACTTGTTATGGCGTTGGCCAGGTAAGTGGAAGCCCTTCCCTAGTCTTATCC